ACAAACTGCATTAATCACCTTCGTTCTTGCTCAAGTTCTTTTTCTTTTTCTTTTCACTCAAGTTTCATTTTCTTTCCTTTCTAGTCCACTCTAGTCAAGACTCAAGATGTTTTGCAAGTCTCTTTTCTTATTCTGATCAATATCTTTTCTTTTGGAACGTCATCATGAAGTCAACAGACTATTCAGAAGAGTGGGGAGAGACTCGTCTTTTACATCAGTTTATCTGACTTATAAAAAAAAAGTTAGGAAAAAAATAAGTCGAGAGGGTTCATTTTTTGTTTTGTTTTTGTTTTTGTTTTTGTGTGTGTGTGTGTGTGTTTTTTTTTTTGAGGTAATGTTTATATATGTTGGATAGCCTCGGTTGAGGAAATTTTTGCCGATTCCGATAGTAATACATACGTCCACAACAAACAATGGTATTTGCTTCATATAGTAAAACTTATACGTAACTTTTTTTAACAAAAGGACAATCAAATATGATGGAAAATAACTATGGAAACAAAGATTTATACCAACAATTTTTGTAGTTTAAATCTTAGTCATTAATAAATTTATTATTGAACAATGTTGACCAATGTCCAATGAGCAATGGCTATTTATGTGACATGGAATATGGTTGAACAGCCGCACTATGTGAAAGTACTTCTTGCTCTATGGTTCAACCTGACTCAACTATGAGAAACAACTAATTCTTGATTTTAGAGAATGGGGTATGCTAATTGTCGCTCCCATAAATCCCGCCTCCTTTGAACAAATTTGCTCTCATCTTAAAACTAAAATATATAAATTATTTTCTTCCACCTCCCCAAATTCTCTCAACTCTAAACAAAAGATAAAAACATTTCTTCAATTTAGAGGCCTTAACAACGAATGATTAAACGGGTTTTGATGGAGACAATAAAAATCTATGAACAAATAAAATAATATTTCTAACCTTTTTAATTTTCATTAGTTCAAAATTTATTAAAAAATCAAAGAAAAATGATTTTGGTCAGGTTAAGTGCTTGTAAATTGCGCCCCACCGGTGATAGAGACGTCCAGAACAGACGCCCGACCGTACGAAGAAACATTTACATGAGGCACTTCAACCGCATAAAAGACGAAATATTTGGGCGTATGTCCTCCGGAAATGGCGTCTGATAATAAGGCCGTGTGAAGCGCTCGGATCTGCCGCTCAACCGGCAGTAGAAGTGTTCGTTTTAGACGTCTCTCAGGACGGCTTAGTGCCTTCTGTGCACGTTTTCACCGCCGTTCCCGCGCAATCGCCGGACGCCCTACGGACTACAACTTTTGTTTTTTTTTTTAAGAACTTGAATTTTTAGTAAAAAAAAAAAACACTCTCTCCCACAATATTTTTTTGTTTATCATAAATTTCAAAAAAAAAAATAATACGCTTATACATCGACCAATACTTTTTTGATTTTCCATTATTACAATCATAGGATTAAAAAAAAAAAAAATTTTAGAGTTTGGGAGGATTTGGAGAGAAGGAACAAAAGGATTTTTATGTTTTAATTTTATGACAGAGATAAATTTGTCCAAAGGGGGTGCTCCCTAAAATTTAGGGGAGCAATAATTAGCAGCCCACTTAGAGAATTATCAACAATATTCATTATATTCAACAAAGTAGCAAACATATATTAAATTATCCCTTACCTGGTGAACAAAATATATTATCAGTAAAAAAATTAAGGTTGTTTTTATTAAAGAGTCTTAATCCCACATCGGTGTTGGAAGACTCTGAGTATCAATATATAAGTTCAATGAGTTATTATCCTCATTGTCAATTGGTTTTGAGATGTAACTCCATAAACTTTTGTATGGTATCAGAGCCAACCCCCGCCCGATATTCAGACTCCAAAAAAACCCAACAAAAAAATAAGGTTACGACGTGAAACGGTGTTTGGGCTGAAAAATAGGACAAGCCCAACCCAAAAAATACGTTGGACTTGCGGGAGAATATTAAAGAGTTCCAATTCCACATAAGTTAAAGATATAAATTATACCTTTAAAATAAAAAAATATTTTGTTACATTTTTTTTTTATATTTTCCGTAATATGAGTTAACGATTTGAACACGTTTAATCACTTTTACATCATTACCATTCATTTATCATTTGGTTTATATGTTAGTTATCACAAAATTCTTATGCTTGGATGAATCAGTTGACAACACTACATATGGACTTCTAAGAATATAATATAATTGTCTATGGGCAATGAATTTTAATTAATAAAAAAATTTACATATTATATTCTCTCTTAAATAAGAATTATGTTTGTTATACTATTTTAATTCAACAAAAAGACTTGACTTTGAGATGAAATGAGTATATAACAATCTTTTCTTCAAAAAAGTATATAACAATCTTAAGTAAAAGATAAAATAAAATTATTTGGGCAAATATGTAAATATATATAACAAGAATACCAAAATGCATCTTTTACACAAAGTGCATCATTTTGAGGGAAATTAAAATTCATCACAGAGAAAGGTCACTCCCCATCTTATACTCCAGCTAACCCAAAATTTCACATTTTAATTCATTTGATGATTTGGAAAAACCACATCACCACATATAGGTAGGGTTTGTGTAGTTTCTGATACGGGCTTCCCGATCATGGTGCATATACAATTTGCCGCAGATGCATAAAGAATACGCTTTTTGAATTTCATTCATTTTCTTATCTTCATAAAGTATTTGTTAAATCCACCCTAGTAAGGAGTTAGTACTCTATGATCTCCAACCAAATAAACTCTTAACAAATTTGCAGAATAATTTTTTTTTCTTTTTTACAAAAGCGATAATCATGTTCTAAGAAAAAGAGTAAAAAGAATAATTACAAAGAGCTAATACAGTCAACCTTAAAAGTCTTCTTTAGCTACAAAGAAGGGTTGCTATCCCAACTTTGTGTACATTTACTAACTAAGCCTAATTTGACAAGATCGTGACAAGTTGAATTTCATTCTTTCTTAATGAAAAGAAATTTATAACTATCAAAAGAAGTTTTCAACCATAAGATATTCGTGGTAATGGCGATCACATCTGCAATAGGAGAGATATTCCCCTGCAGTCAAGTAAACATAACCTTAGTATCTAGTTAAACTTTCAAATGTTTAACTTTTCTTCTTCGAGCTTCGAACATTGTCGTTCTTACTGCTCCAGTTCTGCTGCAAAATGGTTCAAGATATGTGACTGAAACAGGGTTTGTGCAAGTACAAATTTGCCCTGATCATCCCGAATACATATACCTAGACCAGCTTTCTTACCCCCCTTTAACATTTCAGACCCCACGTTTATCCTTATCACACTGTTAGCAGTAGTTTGCCAGCCCTGGACACCTTCCACCCTTACCTCCTCCCTTCTTTGTGCCTGACTCTTTGGTTGAGCTTGCAGGAACTCATTCCATTCACCTACTGCTTTTTAGACCACCTCTATTGCCTCCATTTTCTACCTTCCAAACTGCCAATTGTTTCTGGCTTTTCAAAGGTGTCACAGGATGTATACTGTTAACTCTGTTCTTGCTTGGATTTCTTTCCCGACTCAATCTTCATAAGTTCACCCATCAATCTTCAAAATTTCTTTTCAATGCTTGCAATCCATCCAACTTAACATGCGCTAATTCCCATATTCTCTTTGCTAGTTCAAAGGTAAACAACATGTGTTCTATACTTCCAGCTTCCAAACCACACATATTACAAACTTCATAAAATATGTGGTCTATAATCTAATTCATCTTAGAACAAAATAAACATATACCATCAGGGATCGAAATGTTTGAAATATATTCAAAAGATTAAAATATGGGTTAGCACACTTATTATGGAATCTATATGTTCATATTTCAATGTAAAATAGTTTCCCGCGTACGATTAGAATCATACTTACTATTATTTTATTTTAGTAAACATATTTTTTTCGTTAGGACGATATGAGTACATACATGATTAGGCCAAATTTTATTGGAAGATTTGTTTTTTTTTTGATATGTATGTAATGATACGAATTTTTACTCCTTTGATTATTTTTTCTTTTACTGTATTTTTTTTTTGCCGTCAAGGAATGAGACCAAATACACTACAATCGCTCCCACTTTTCTTGTATTAAGAAAACATGATAATAATTTGATCATCAAAGTTTAAACCATAATAATAACAAAAAAAAAAAATGCCCAATATAATTAAAAACAAGTAAAAGATTAATAATTAAATTAATTACTCTATACTCCAATGAAAAATTTTGTAATCAAATAATTTAAAGTAGTCAACAAACTCCTACACTTAGCTTGTGACTTGATCCTATATGAACCAAACCGGACGCAAAATATAAAGCTGAATATATATATATATATATATATATATATATATATCTTTTAGAAACAATTATATCCTCATAAGATGGAAATTTTTTAATTTAACAATAATATCTTTTGGAAATCGACACAGAAAAAGAAAGAAAAACCATTTATATTGGTCAACGACCATAATTGGTCAACTCATAGGAAAGCTCCTCACCTAGAAGACCTCTAACTCAAAGCTAAAACAGACGTTAAACCCAACTTAAAAAGGGAAAATATTAGTAGTACTTCCTAATAAACGATAATAAAACAAGGGAGAGCTGGATACACGTGCGCGTGAGGTCACGTGCGTCCCAAAATCGCAAATAAACCCAGAGAACGAGGTCAAATCCGGTAAACCAGGCACAAAAGCAAAAAAGCAAGAAAATAAAAGAAAAAGGTTAAAATAGATTCGGGTTTAGAAAAATAAAAGAAAAGAGCTTCAAAAGCAAGTTCCCCGTTTAATGGGCCAATTTATTACGCAAACAATTAAAAAATTTATTAGTATATTTTTTTTTTCACAAATTGATTTTATTTATTTTGTTCTTTTTTTTTTTTTTTTTTCCTGCGGACGCCAGAGACGAAATAAATTAGAATTAAATGCCGCCGTTGAGATACACATACACGCAAACACACAGTCACACAGTCACATAGTAACCCAACCCAAACCCGGCCCTTTCTTTCTCTCTCCCATATCTTATTGCCTCAATCTCTCTCTTTCTCTCTCTCTCTCTCTCTGGAGAGGTTTTCTTTCTCTTTTTTCCTTTCTTCCTTTTCTTTGTCCCTTATCGCCTCACTCAGAGACCTTCTTCTCTCTCTGTCTCGGAGAAACTCTCAGAAGCAGAAAATAATAAAAACGGCAAAAAAATAGAGTTAGAAAAAAAAATTCGAATTTAATTTAATTGGTGAAATTGGAGAATTCTTGGAGGGCGGAACCTTTTACCCTAGCTGGAATTTGCTGCTGTATTTATATAACCTCCGCCGGAGAGGAGGCGGAAAGATCTTTTTTTATCAGTTGGTCAAGGAAGAAGATTTGGGCGGCGGCGTTTTTGTGGGTGGCAGATGCGATATAGGACTATAGGAGTAGGTGGAAGAGGATTTGATGCCGCCGGAGCCATTGCCTTGGGATCGGAAGGATTTCTTCAAGGAGAGGAAGCACGACAGGCCGGACCCGCACCACCACCATCATCACCATCCTGTTGGTGGCGGAGGAGGAGGTGGGGGTTACGGCGGTGCCGGAGGGGGATTCGGTTCTGCGTCCAGATGGAGGGAGCCGCCACACCCTCATCCTCAGCCCTACTACGGTTCACCTCGTTGGGCTTCTGATTTTCGTTACAGACCTCCTCCTGGTAAGTTTTTTTTTTTAGTCCTTTCCCCCCTTTATTTTTGTTTTTCTTAGTCTTCTATCCCCCCTTGGTTGGGATTCTATGGGTTTTCAAAGAGTGAGGGAAATTTTCCCTTGAAACAGAGGATGGATTAATTTGGTTTCGGCTGAGGTGATTTTTAGCTTCTTATCTCGATTTTGGTGGTCATGGTCAGGGGTGGTTAAACAATAAATTTAGTTTTAATTAGTGATGAAGCGGTGGAAGATCTTGGAGGCGTTGTTTTGCCATGTATAACTTGGCCGCCGCCTGCCTCTTCCCTAGTTTATGCCCTTGGTTTACATTTCCGACCCTGTGGAAAAGAGAGGCGTTAGTATTGGGAAATAATTGGGGCTAAGAAAGCTGCTTTGGTGTAGAATAAACTTCCTTAATTTTCCCCTTCAAAACATAGCGAAATGATTTTTTTTTTTTTTGAAAAAAGTTTCCCTGAGATTTTTTGTTCTTCTCCATCTGTTTTCTTTTGCCTAGCTCAAGTTGCAGGGTTTGCACGTTTGCAGATCTGTGCTAATGATTTTTTTAGATGAATTCAGTGCTCAGTTTTTTTCAGATCTAAGACTTCCTGTCCTCCTTTTGGAAAAAATTTTTAGGTTGTGTTGTTAGGTGGCTACTGCGTTAGTGTACTTTCCTGCTTTTGAAGGATGTTTTCTTGCACCGATTTTTTATACTTTCTGTTACCCTGTTTTGGGTATTTATTTTTTGGCTGAAGGTTATGGTAAGCAGGGTGGCAGACATCTTTATTCTGAAGAATCGAGTCATGGGTTTGCACCATCTCGTCCAGGTGAAAGGATGCCTGAGAGGATGTCTGATGACGAGGGAGGTCGGGCATCAGGGGCTGGGAAGTACATCAGGAGCAACCGCGATTATAGGGGTAATAAGGATTCAAAAGGTCAATATTGGGAAGTCAGTCTATCTCCCAATGGTCCTGGAAGACCCAATGGTACCTCTGAACAACGAAGGACAGTTGATGATGTGATAACCTGCAATTCCTCCCAACCTCAGTTCGAATATGGGAACTCATGGGATCAAAGTCATGTTAAAGAGCAACACGAGAAGAGCAGTGGTATGAATTTATCAGGAAGCTCGGGACAGAGACTTGAGAGGGAGAATTCGTTAGGCTCAATTGATTGGAAGCCTTTGAAATGGACTCGGTCTGGAAGTTTGTCTTCACGAGGCTCTGGTTTTAGCCACTCAAGCAGCTCAAAGAGCTTGGGAGCTGATTCCAGTGAACTGAAGGCTGATCTGCCTCTGAGTAGCTTATCTCCTGTCCGATCTCCGAGTGTAGATGCAGTGCTGACTCCTGCACCTTGTGAGGTATCTGCTGCTCCATCTGACGAGACAAGTTCTCGCAAGAAGCCTCGTTTAGGTTGGGGTGAGGGGCTGGCGAAGTTTGAGAAGAAAAAAGTCGATCCCATTGATGATAATGCTTCCAAGAATGCAACTTTGTGCTACAGCCTTAGCAGAGAGCCTATACATGTGCCACATTCAACCTTCTTGGCTGAAAAAAGCCCTCGAATCAATGGGTTTTCTGACTGTGCATCTCCAGCAACTCCCTCTTCTGTTGGATGTAGTTCCTCTCCAGGTAAATTTCAGTGTACGGATAAGTTCTCGTTCGGGTCACTGACTGTACTGAAGGGGTCATTGAACATCCCTCCTGTCTTCTGAAATAGACATGGAGAAAATATAAACCATTGCAAATGGATCTCTTAATCTGGCTGTTATACCCAACTAATAATACCGCTAGTTGTTTTGTTTTTTGAGGGACATAGTCAATAGTGCACAGATGCTAATTTACGTGTTTATCTTACGTTGTTCGCCCTTTCAGTGCAGTTTCTATTAATGCTCCTCGTTAATTTACTGACTTTTCCTCTAGTCTCATCGAAGTTTTTGGTAAATGATGCCTGCTGACAGGCTCTGATCCAATAAAATTTTGCTCGGAATTTGGATGAAGGTTTACAAAGTTCATTTCATGCAAGTGTATCATGCTTAGAATTACTGGTAGCTATTTCTTTATGGTTTATTTGCCGTTCTGATATATTCTTATTACTGGAACTTATAAAGTGCCAATTTGTCTGGCTTTTGATGATCTCTAATGTAGTGGCCTAGGAGGCTAACTGAAGATTGTTCATAGAGGGGTTCAGATTGCTCTTTGAATTTTTGGGCTGATCTTGTGTTCCCACTGTTTATGGAACAGTGTGTGGGCTTCCGGTGTTAAATCACTCTATTTACATATATGTGGGGCATTGTACTATTTTAGGGCTGCAAATTTTTTTATGTTACATCTAACTATTGCTTTTCACTAACTTTGGATGCAGTTTGTTTGAGTACTTTCTAAGGACGCTTTTTCTTAGACAATTAAATATTCATGTGTTTATGTATATGTAGTTCAATGTTGTCTGGACTCTGCTTGTTGAATAAGTTAATTCTGCAAGTTTACACTTTTGAGAAGTCAATTATTCGAATTTTGAAGTTTTTGTCGGTTTGTTACAGGTCTAGAGGAGAAACAATCCGCGAAATCTGTGCATATCGATCAAGACACTTCTAATATGTGTCTCTCTCCTGGTATTGTGTTTCAAAATCATATTGAGGGATCGACATTTGACTTGGAGAATTTGGACCTTGCACAAAGTGCTCATTTGAGTTCTGCAATCAACAACTTGCTACAGTTGGAGGATCCAGGCACCGTAGACTCTGGATTTGTTAAATCTACTGCTATAAACAAGTTGTTGGTGTGGAAAGATGATGTTTTGAAGAAGCTGGAGGTGACTGAGTGTGAGATTGACAAGCTTGAAGTTGAATTAAAATCATTGATGGTTCTTCCTGAGAACAACTTTCTCCATGCATCTGCGCCCAGTTCTCTTCCTGTGGATTCAATTCCTCCAGAACAAGATGCTAACTCCAATACTACAGGGAGGCCAGCTCCATTGGAGCTTGTGTCCATACGAGATAGTGATGTGGAGATCCCTGATATACCGGGGGGCGACCTTGCTGAGGTGAAACATGTAGAGGTTGATAGTCCGGGTAGTGCAACTTCGAAGTTTGTTGAAGTGTCATTGGGTAAAGATGTGTTTCCTTCTGAAAAGGAAGCTGCTGTGAAAGGTCCCTCAAATATAAGTATGGATAAATCTCCAAGTTTTGATTTGAGGAGTGACAACAGTGTGCATGAGGGGAGTGGAGACAAAATTAGTGCTTATTCTGATGTTTCTCAAATGGTTTCCAGTTGTCCGACTCAGGTGGATGAATTGCATTTATTTGGTGATAGAGACCATAATATATGTGAATCTATTCTTGTTTCCAACAAAGAGTCTGCAAACAGAGCAGCCGAGGTGTTTAATAAGTTATTGCCTACTGGTACTTGTAGCTTTGAAATATCAAATGCTCCTATCAGTAGTTTTGAGAATGATTCCTTGGTGAAGGACTTGTATTTGAGGAGGAAGCGTTCTGTGCAATTTAAGGAAAGATTGATCTCTCTTAAGTTTAGGGCCCTTCAGTATCTATGGAAGGAAGATGTTCGATCACTTTCTATGAGGAAATTCCGAGTCAAGTCTCATAAGAAATTTGATCCAAGCTTGCGCACAGTATGCAGCAGCTCTATAAAGCAACGTTCTTCAACAATTCGTTTGCGACTTCCTTCTGTTGGTAAGCTATTTACTCAGATTTATTTATTTATTTATTTTGATTCATGCAGCTATTTACTCAGTTATTTTTTTGATTCATGCGATAAGGTTTAACAAAAACTGTAAGGCTTAGGAGACCTGGGTTTTCCTTACCACCCTCTCCTTCTCTCTCCCCTAATATTTCGAAAACCATGTATGATTTGTCAGCTGAAGGCACATTTTGCACATTGGTCTTTAGTAGTGTAGTCTTGATTGTTCTTTAATGTCTGTACTCCTTCGAACTGATGACTTATAATATGAAATGCCAATCTCCCCCTTCCCCTCTTAGTATTTGTCTTCGCATTTGATGAATGTAAGACTTCCCCTCTTTCCCCTTGTGGGTTTGTTCCGGGGGTCCTTTATGATGTTGGTAGGTCTTTACACTTTTCTTCTGGGATTTCATAGGGAGGATTCCATTGTAGGATTATAACCCACCTAGAATTGTCAGATTCTCCTGCTCCATAAGCGATTTCCAAATTAATATGCCAGCATTGTCTTACGGTATTTCTTCACTTTTCTTTTCCATTTTGCATTGTGAAGTAGATGAGGAGGCTGAGTTGAAACAAAGAATTATATCTGTGTAACCCTGTGATCTATCCACATATTGTCATGCTCCGTGGGAAATAGCTGTGTAATTGTTATCTGTTTTTAATTCATCTTCTTGACAGTTTTTCTTGGTAATAGAAGCCTGCAAGAGTGCATAGTTTGAAGCCCTATTATTAATTGGGTAAAAAGAGACATGTCTCACTGTTAATGCCAATAATTTACAACTACCGCTATCAATGATTGACTTACTGATTGATTGTGTTTACTTGTATAATTTTTAATGAATCGACAATTTCATAATTTTTGGCCTGTAGGTAGAATGCTGAATGAGTAGGGTAGTTTTATATGATGTCTGGTGATGCTTGTTATCTGTGGGAAAAGCTGATTGTCTTTTGATTTGTTTCTGGATTAAGAATATTCACAGGAGCACTTACGATGTTCATATAATAATGGACTTCTTTTTAGTGTTTGCAACTACAAATTAGGCTTCATTTTTATTGGCATGCAAAGTTGCTGAGTTGTTTTTTAAGTGGTCTTCATCAGCTAAGTTAGAGAGGGTGCCATCTGTTTCTTCAAAAGGTCTTAATAATAATTCTTTTCTTGTCCAGTTGTGAATTGAATAATTCTGAATCATATACGAATCTCTTTCTTTTTGACACTTGATGAAGAGATTAAGTGATAAATGATGTGTTTTGTCTTTTTATTTTTTTTGACATCTTCAGTTGTCAATATACTTCAGGAAAAAGACAATGTTGTTCTCTGGGTACCTGTTTCATTCTGTTTTAATCCATCATTTAATGCTTCTGCTGTCTTTTTTCCACATTTTATGTTTCAAGATGATTTGTTTGTGCTATCACATTGCGGTTGCCCTGTAGAAGATGGACTGCCGATGTTGAAATATTTTTGTTAACTTAGCATCGCAGGTAGCGAACAGTAAATGTATGACATTTGTTGGTTGAATCTGTTCTCATTTGTCTACCTTTTTGTTGTTCTTGCAGCTGGAAATCTAAGTTCAGTACCCAACAATGAGTTGAACAACTATTTAAGCAAATTGCTTTCAGACTGCAATGTGAAGCCCTATAGAAACAATTTGAAGATGCCTGCTTTAATATTGGATAAGAAGGAGAAGATGGCAACCAGGTTCATTTCACATAATGGGTTGGTGGAGGATCCCTGTGCTGCTGAAAAAGAAAGGTCCATGATTAATCCATGGACATCTGAGGAGAAGGAAACGTTCATGGATAAGTTCACTACATATGGCAAGGACTTCTCAAAGATTGCCTCTTTTCTTGTTCACAAAACAACTGCAGATTGTGTAGAGTTTTACTATAAAAATCATAAGTGTGATTGGTTCAAGAAAACAAAGAAGTACCCCAGCTTGTCACAGCACGGGAAAATGCATTCTGCTAATAATTATCTGGTTGCCTCAGGGAAGAGGTGGAATTATGAGGCTAATGCTGCTTCCCTTGATATACTTGGTGCTGCTTCAGTAATTGCCGCAAAAGCTGATAATGGCTTGGAATCTCAACAGAGGTGTTCATTGAGTTACTTGCGTGGGAGGTCCAGTGACCATAAAACATCAAGAGGAGATAATGGTCCATCAGAACGGTCGAGCAGTCCTGATGTAGATAGTAATGAGAGAGAAACAGTGGCTGCAGATGTTTTGGCTGGTATATGTGGTTCCTTGTCATCAGAAGCTATGAGTTCTTGCATTACAAGTGCAGTTGAAGCTGGTGAGAATTACCATGAAATGAAATCCCAGAGAGTGGGAGCATTTAGCAGGTGGTCGTTAACAGCAGAGGTGAACCAAAGTGCTGAGGATGAAACTTGTTCCGATGAAAGCTGTGGCGAAATAGATCATGCCGATTGGACTGATGAAGAGAAGTCTAGTTTCGTTCAAGCTGTGTCATCCTATGGGAAGGATTTTACTATGATCGCTAGGTCTGTGAGAACTCGATCTAGAGATCAGTGCAAGGTTTTCTTCAGCAAGGCCCGGAAATGTCTTGGATTAGATCTGATTTGCTGTGGATCTAGCACAGTGGCCAGAGATGATAGCAATGGTGGCGGAAGTGATGCTGATGATGCTTGTGCTGTGGAAACTGGTTCAGTCATATGCAGCGAGAAATCAGGAGTTAAAATGGAAGTTGAACTGCCATCTCCTGAAACAACATTGCACACTGAGTCTGATCTAGCAGCAGTCAGTGCCAAGCCTGACTTGAACCAGTTCAATGCAAATAATGAAAGAGCGGAGCTTGGTTCTGTTGATACTGAAATTCGATCCAAGAATTGTGTCGATCCATCGCAGGTGTGTGATAAACCTCATCGATTGGATGGAGATGATAATGATGATGGAGATGATAATGATGATGGAGAGATCAGATCTCGTTCTAGTGATGAGCCAGTAGCCCTTCAGGAACAAAGAAGTGTAAGCATTCCAGTTGTGGAAGCCGTTGGGCAACCTTGTGTGCAAGCTGATAGACCAGATGCCCCGGATGATAGGGTGCATGCTGAAAAGCTTCCGGAGCATCCTGATGCTGAATCACCAGGTGTGGCTTCCTCAGAGATTGTTAGAAATGATGTAAAAGAGAAGATGAATGCAAGTACCTTGGACCTGGATTTTAGTTCTGCTGGGCAAGTGTCTGACAATAGTTGCAATGGTCCACCTGCAAGCCAGTCTGCCTTTTCTGATGGCTTAATTGGAAATCAGAAGCCGTCTCAGTTGCAATTTCTTCCATCAGCTGTATCTGTTTCCATGCAAAATCCCTGTATACCTCCATTGCAGCAGAATGGTTTCCCGGTTCCCATAAATCTGGTACCGCAGGTTTCTGCTGTAAACTGTGCAGAAGTCCCCAGCAAAGCTACATCATCATTTCCTCAGGTTATGACAAGTAATGGTGAGCAGGGTCATCAGGCTATTCCGAAAATCAATGGTGAACAGGCTATTATAGTTGGACAGAAGTTTCTTTCTGAAAGTTCTTTCTTGAGCAGCTTTGGTTCCTCCCATATCCTCTATCCTGTTCCAGGGTCGACCATTGGAGATGTCAAGGGTGAAACCGGTATAAGAACTGTTACATTTCAAAAAAAGCTGGACATTAATAACCATCAGGATCAGCTGTTGGGGCGTGAACCATTCCTCCAAAAGTGCAATGGGTTTAAGAATCAGAGTTCGGTGGCTGAACTTCCATTCAGATCGCTTGAGCAGGTTCGGGATACTAGTCATGGTTACAAGTCCAGCAGCAGTTCATCAGATGCAGAAAAGCCTTGTCAGAATGGTGATGTGAAACTGTTTGGTCAAATTCTTTCAAAGCCTTCTTTGCAGCAGAAATCAGGCTCTGTTGCGCAACAAAACCGTGATAATGAGAATCAGCCTTCTGCTTTAGGCAAACACTTGAGCCCAAGGTTCTATTGTGATCAAGCTGTGAATGGATCCATATCTCAGACAAAGGTGGATCGTCACAAGCTTCTGAGCTCTGAGAGTCATCCCTTAAGAAGGTACTGGGATGATAGCAGGGTTCAAACTGGTTTCAGCTCTCTGCCAAACTCTGCCTTATTGTTGGCGAAGTATCCTGATGCATTTGGAAGCTATGCAATGCCTTCCTCCAACATAGAGCAGCTGCAACGTAGCTCAATGAACAGTAGTGAAAGAAGTTTGAATGGGGCAGCTATTTTTCATGCTAGGGAGATTGGTGGCAGTAATGCTGCTGCTGATTATCAATCATACAGGAGCCGGGAGTTGCAGCGGCAGGATGTAGTACTGTCAGAGATGCAAAGGAGGAATGGGTTTGATGTTACTGGGGTACAACAAGCAGCAAGGGGGCTTGTTGCGGTAAATGGTAGAAGAGGTATCCTTGTAGGTAGTCAGTGTACTGGTGTGTCAGATCCGGTGGCGGCCATCAAAATGCATTATTCCAATGCTAATGGTGACCAAATGAATGGTGGGCCTCCTGGGAGCGTAATTAGAGAGGAGGATTCTTGGAGAAGTAAAGGGAATGTAGGCAGGTAGTAGTTCAGAATGGGGGTTTTCAGCAGAGAAAGCCCTCTGGTGGCAAATGATCAGGTTATTTTGCCACATTGTACAATAGTATTTTCCTTTTGTAACTTGAATTCAGAAGTGGTAGGGGTAGCTGACCGATTCAGAAACCATCTTTTTTGGCAACAGCATTTTTAGGTGCTTTGTAATATCCCTTCAGCCTGTATTTTGTTGTATTTGATGATGATAGAGTACAGAAATAATCTGTGGAAAGGTTTGGGAGGTGGATTTCAGTTTTTGATGGTAAATTCTTTGTCCTTGCCCTAATTGATTTCTATGTTATCTGGTGTCCAGTTTAGTGCCCGAATCTTCCACTGCCCGCCCTATTAGTGACATTGCAGTTTCTAAATACAGAGTACACCTATGTCTCTAATCTCTATAGCATTACAGATTGGAGGAATGTATTGTACACATTGAAAACAGCTGGCGGAATAGTAGTTGGAAAAAAACAAAAAAAAGCAGAGAGTAGAGCGATGACTTTTTCACAGGGGGTGTCAATGTCAGATTTCCCTGGTGCTGATGGTTATGTAGATATTTCAGACGTGATTATAGGCGCCTACCACTAATTTGTCTCTCTATCTTTAAACCACCAACCAAAAAGTGATGTGTTTACAGCTTAGACTCTTAGAAGAATGATCCCCACCATTCAATTTTTGGCACAAAAGATGATCCGCTTTCTCCATCTTCCGAGGAAAATAATATAAGTACATTATGTTGTACCAATAAAAAGATGATACTAACAAAGTGAATTGTTTTTCTGGAACGGAGGGAGTATTTTGTTAGTCGTAGACTAGCCTCAAAGGTCAAAAGGATATCGTTGAGACAACAGTTTTCTTTGTACGCAATTATGCTAAAGCATCAAGCTATATACACAGTCATATTTCAAAAGAACAAAGAAGAAGAGTCAGGAAAGCATTCAGATTTTTCATTGATCTTCAAACTCTTCCCCCTCCATTTTTCATGATTCTGGAGTAACATAAGAGAGAGGTGGTATCTCTATTCCTCTGATTCACGGTTAACATAGCCATTTAAAGATAACCAAGAAATTTTCAGATTACCACATAGCTTTGGAAGTATGACAAAGTGCAATACTGCAAATTAATGACACACAAGGCACTGAACCAAACAAGAGTTTCTGGATGGCTAAAAATGTCTTATGTTAAGAGACACTTATCTTTAACAAAAGAAGCAGTAGTACCATTGGACTTCAGCCACCGTCATGATGTCGATCCTAAGGTGTTCTCCAGTTACTCCTTCTCTTCTTGCGTTTGCAGGATAACAGGTAGGGGCGCAACAATTTCAATTAGCTGCGATCACAGGAGGGTAACATATAAGAATACATTTCTTGATACAGCAGTTTCAGACAGAAGTATCCAAATTTAAAGACAAGAAGCGTTACTAGTCAAAATAGTTGATATAGATAATATATCTGGGAAGACAAAGTTCAACATAAAACACACTCTAGAAGGAGTTCCATTTAGGCCAATGGCTGGTCAAAACTTGGTTCAAACAAGTTGCGCTGGATTTTTATGGTCTATGCTGTTCTGAAATAGTCCGAACTTAGAAATGTGCAAATGAAAGAAATCAATTAGAAGAATTTATCCCTTATTCACTTCATGCTTAGGCACATTTACCTCGTTGGTAATGGGGTGAGCAAGCAGTAACCGGTGTGCATGCAAATGGTATCCACAGTCTCCTGGAACAGGATTCTCAGGTCTCCTATATCCTCTGAAAAAACAAAAGGAAGTGACTATATATCATGAATGGCATGTCACAAATTTATCTGCAGAAAACAGCAGTTTAAGTTCTGAAGCTGAATTCAGAAAAAAAGATATTTCAATGGTTGGAGGATTTATCAGCGTCCAACATTTATTTTGAACTTTCAGATAATTTATAAAGGCCTTGCAAACATGCTAGCGAAAATGTTACAATGTTGTAACCCGAGGTCGCAAGTTTATTCAAAACGTCCTTCTTCCAAATTCAGAGCTGAGATAAACTCTTGAAACCAATTGCATTGTCTAGCAGAGGTTTATCCAACATCAAACAAACAATTAAGAATGACCAAATTATGCCTAACTCGATGTTGGCAAGGAAAAAGGAAAGCTCTAGTTGCACCAACTGCAACAATGCGAATCTTATATGCACATATGATATAAACTACATAAAATTCTGAGCACAATAAACTGCTAAATAGTCACCAAAATCTATAACAGAGATGGTACAACCAATAGCATGGCATAGTATTTCTACAATGATGATCGCTGATACAGTGCCAGGGGTGGGGGGACAGGGAGGAATCCAGTGGCCAAGCAAAATCATTTCATATGTTTTGACCTCAATTCAGAAGTAAGTTGTTTGCCGAGTTTAAGAGCACTATTTAAGGGGTTTTAACTTTTGGCTTGTGACCTGCGACACTTTTATCATTGGGCCATTGCACATTGTCTATAAAAGATGAGTAGGAGATGGTATCGGAAAACTTGTGATGTAAGATTTTTACCTTCATGATATGAACTTCTGCTAAATTAAATTCACAAGTCAAGCAGTTTTAATGGAAATAGAGGCAGTCCAACTGTTTTGAGTTTACTCGTTAGCAAGAAAAAAGAACTAGTGGCAAAAAAAGATTTAAAAGAAACAAAAAGATCAGATATCATTTGTATCATACCCATCCTGCGCAAAACTTTCATCTGTAAGTTCTGCATTAAAATTGTTTGGATGGCCACCGGCAACATAAAGAGGATCACCTGCAAAGCAACATATAGACTATGAAATCTTGATGCTCGAATTCCAGTAAGTACTTAATGGCATAAAGTATAGTTCATTCAGAAATCTCAAGATTAATATGAGAATCTCTACATGTCAATTTATCAATGGAGCACTATTCTTTTAAACCAGATGTGATGGTTAACTAAATGTCATAATATCACCAATTAAGACTTTACCTATTAATGGGTGTCCAATAAAAGAAAGGTGAATACGGATTTGATGTGGCCTTCCTGATTGAATCTCAACCTGTAAAACATTGTGCAATGGGAGGATGTAAGGATATGCATTTTGTCCCCACGTGGATCAGCTTTCACGAATGTTTTTGAAAGTTAAAATCATGTATCATAATTGGAAAGCTAATAATGTCAATCTTCTGTAACTGGTCAAAGCTTTGCAGAGTTTGTTCATTATATTATCATGATGGTAATTAGTAGTGTTCTAGGAGACATGGAAATGATTGAGATAATGTTGCACAATAGAAAGAAAGCATTCTCAAATTTCGTCTAACCTAAAGTTCTACTCTAAAGATTGTTAATTTACAGCAAACGGGAAAAATATATTTTGTTATTCACTCTTACTTTTTGAGTTTTCTGGCTGTAACTCTGTTCGGTTAACTTATGTTCTCGATTTGTATCACCAGTGGAACGAACTCCAGTCTGGTGTAATGGTTCCCAGGATTGACCAGGTTTACTATCCTTATGAGTTTTCTACTGAAACCATAATCAACAGAAGTTGCTGCTTTCTCGAGGTTTTTCAAATAACGTAGACCCTCTGTATCTGTTGAGTGAAGCTATTTTGGAAACATTGTTTTCACTTTAGAGCAGCTGAATTATTATAGCAGAAGCACTCCAGTGTAAAAGCATTCTCACATGTCCAGCCATGTACATTACCTGAACCAGTGTAGAGCTAACCTTCACATCTCTTTCAAGTATGCTGACTTTGCTCAGAGCTGGTTTCCCTGGCCAAGAACAGGACTATAATGTTGAAAATTCATACAGAACAGATCAAAAGTCATGAAAGAAAAGCATAAAAATAGCAGGGATTTAAAGAAGGAACGACGACGGACCTGAAGGAGAAGCAACATAGAGTCCTTTGGCCACACCAGGATATTTGACCAACCCAATAGGTTGGTCTATAATAACCTGTCATGGATTAAAATTCAGTCACATCCTAGTTGGAATAAAAAAAAAGAAAGGAGTTACTCGATGCAGAAGAATAGTGTGTAACCCAGAACCAAACACCACCCCCCCCAACAGCAGGAAAAAGGAAGCTAGAAAGGCTGCATGAATGGAGTGGACTACTACAATCACCTGATCCTCATCAATGACCCCGCTGACTAAAGCCCGATAATACTTTGAAATTTTCCTTGTTGAATTGAGTTCCGCATCATTGCTCCTGAACATTTGAAGAGATATGATTGCTTTATAAATTACGAAATTGTAGAACAATCTGAGAAGAACAATGGTTCAATCACAGCTTTAACTAACATGCATGCAGCTGCTAAATCTGGTTCTCATGGCCGTTGCATTTTATACTAGAAACGGAGACTAAGGAAATAACTCAAGAACTTATTTGCTTCATTTTAGATCATGATTAAACCTGAATTCGAGAAAGTAAATGATCAGTTTCATGATGTTCTATTCTGTATAATAAATTCTTAACTCAGATGGTTGAGAAACTTCAAATTTTGCTGTCTTCTTCTCCATAAACTTCAATGACTTTTCATGGATTTGTACACAAGCACCTAAGCGGAAATTTTACTCTTAGAAGTCAAAACTCAAAACAGCAAACTTCTCTTCTCTAACCTTTTATTCCCTACTGCTGAGGTGCCATCAGCAAAGTATGCTGAAAGGCGAGATTTTGCAAACTGTGTCTTTGCACAAAGCAATATTCCTGTAACCCATAAGAAGGTTATGAAGAAATCCAGAAGGAAGGAAAAACTATAAGCGTTGACTATCAAAATAAAAGAGAAAAGTTTGGGGCAAACACCATGCACATAACCTGAACAGATAAGTAAATAGGCTTGCACCCAGCCCCCAAAGTGGATCCTATTTCAGCCATGCGAATATCCATATAAAATTAAGTATATTACATGACAGTCAAACATCATGGCATATCTTTATGAAGGGTAAATACCAGCACTTATCAGATAAGCAGAGTTCTTGTGCGTAAAAGTAGGATTTCGTTGTCTAATCGTATAGTCAAGACAATAATAAAAGATAAATCAGCTGTATAATCTTAGTCTAGGGTGCTCATGCCAAATCGAAAGGTTCAGAGCTAGAGAATTTCCAATCATGCAAGAACCAAATATTATGTAGCCACAAAAGCTGACCTGATGTCCCCCTTCCGAGACGATGAACAGGAGCCGGATGAGGTTGCTGACATAAAGAAGCTCCCTTGCTTATATGCCACTGGAGCTGTGTCAATACAGTCCGCTGCTGGAATAGTCCTCCAGGTAAAACTTGAAGACCAGAGGGTTTATTTAGAGCAACCTGAACATGTTCCAGCTAATTTAAGAAGTGAATATACCAAAACATCAAAGTATATTTGCATTTTGCATAGTTTTTATTTGGTTATCCGTTCGTTTGAGAGTGTGCTCATCTAGCAGTCAAAACCATAGTTGAGTTTCATCTTTAGCATCTACTTAGTTTGCAAATTTGAGAATTAATTGAGGGAGCAAACACGGAATGCAGCATCATCTCACAATAAAATAGACAAGAAACAAGACACTATAGTAGACCGGAAGGAAAAGTCTCTCCTTTTAACAGCAAACCAATATTCTCCCTTTCTCTTAATGGTTTCTAAGTGAAAGAAGAGAAATTTTCAGCTAGGAAGAAGAATCCTGAAGAAGAAAATTCCTTCATCTTGCAAACTGAGTTCTTCACAATTCTTAAAATTGCTATTTTAAAGAACAATGTGTTTGTTAGTTCTTTCGAGACTGGGTGTAGACACTAGACAGTACTTGCTTAACAGAATTCAAAAACATTGCGTTAATGATTATTATTATAAATAAATAAAGAAAATGTCAGGACTCCTGAGAGGATTTGAGCGCTGAGTAAGAAATCTTCCAGTATCTTACCAAATCATCATCTTCAAACAGAACTTGCAGTTGGTAAGGTGCATGGGGCTCCTTCCATGGAAGCCGGTGATAAACTAACACCGAGCCATCTCTGAAATACAAAGAAAGTAACTAATAATGGAAAGCGATAACAACAATACTCAATCAATCTATCTACTCCACAAATTAACGGCATTGAAAGTAGCCATTAACTGACCTGAGGATTGTATTTGGATCTTTAACAACTACACCATCAATTGTTATCTAAAAAAAACAACAATTATCATAATCAGTTGTGAACCAATCAAATTTATGCAGCGAAGTCGAAATATCAACGTAGGGAGCAAGAGAGAGTTGCACCTGTTCGTTCTGTATCCTCTGCAACCAACTTCTCCATGTAAAAAACAGCCCAAAAACCAAAAGAATAGAATAACCCACATCAAAATCAGTATGAGCAAGAGAAAGAGAATAAATGGGCTATTGAATAATATAGAGGTTCTGAAAGGGTAGTGAGTGAGTACCCATGAAGTGGAGCTGAGTTATGGTGCTTTTTGGAGTAATACTCAATCACACTCAAACCGGAGCAAGAAGGCGGAATCAAGTCGGTGTAACTTAAGCCGTCGTTATAATCGGGCCATGGTTCCCCAAAAGTTGCTAGTGATGATGAAGAGTTGGACATGGTTTGCCTGTAGAATCTTCAAACAAAGAAAGCCCTCAAAAAAAAAAAAAAAAGGAAGAAAAAACTTCCCCAATTAATACTGTAACGAAAGATGGTCGTCGTTTCTCATCCCAGTGCCGGTTGATTTGTAAGTTCCGATTCAGCATTCATTAAGATCATGTCCTTCTGTACTTGGGAAACAAAAGCATATTTCAGTTGAGTTACTAAAACTGTTTTCTGCTTTTGGAAACAGGTAGATTTATGGAGCATTTTTACTTTAGTTTCCGTTGGATCTGTTCTTTGCCAGAAGAAGAATGTTTTGTTAATGGACGCAGTGATGTTCAACTTTTGTGCATAAGATTCATTCAGTTGGCAAACGTAAGATCATCGCACAAGTTCATGCGCATTGCAGGACCTGAAGAGGACACGAGGTAAAATGTACAATCGTTCAATTGATTGATCACATTCAAAGATTGGATAAAAATCTCTCTCACAAGAATATTTTTATTCTTTATTCAGATGTAGTTTTCAATATATAGAACGGTACAACAAAATAGTCATAGACACATTATCCCGGAAACAAGCCGGATTCAAATATCAATTTAATGTAGAGAATGCCAGACATCAACAGAGCACATCGGCTGATGAGGACGGTCCAGTAATCGTCCTTGGAGCTTTGTTCCAATCAGCATCATCACCACAATGGCGACCTTTGATAACAGGTCCACAATTTGTCCCATTGACTGATGATTCAACCAGATTTAACTGTTTAGCTGCAACAGCCTTCAGCCGATATCGTTCTGCTCTAGACCCAATAACTTGCCCAAGAATAGAGGCTGCAATGGTAAATGCCATGGCTGTCTTTGGCATCAGCACAGATTTTCTAAGCATGCCTATAAATGGAACAGCTGCATGCACAGCTGCGAACCATGATGGAGAGAACTTTTCTGTATGTTCTCTCCAAATTCCTAGGGGAATGTTAACAGCCATTCCCAGAACTCCAATGACAAGGATTTTCGCAGGCAGAGGCTGTGGCCGGAGATTTGTTGCAAAGGCAGTTCGTGAAATAGCAGCTCTAGCTGCAACAACAGCTGGTGGACACCTAATTTTCATGCCTGCTGGGGGTTGAAGGGCCTTGGCTACTAGGGGTAGGACACCACTTACAGCCCTATAAGACTTTGCAATGGGACAATTACCGGTTTGTAACCACTCATTGCTGACAGCTTCGTGGTTATTACTTCCTCCCTGAAAATCAGAGAAACTATGATCAACAAGATGTCAAGCAGTGAAATATCAACATGAGCTTTTTTTAATCCTTTGGTTCTTGATTTCCAAATGCTTAAACATGTCATAATGTTATTTCTAAGTATTATTGGATGACAGATCCCCCATCAGAAATATTCAGCGAGAACAATTTGTAAAGGACCAATCCATACGAGCGGAAAACAAACTGTTTTAAACCTACAAATTTGACACACTAATACTGTTGTAGATCTGGGAATTTGAACAACTTCGTATTGAATCAATAAATAATGGTCATGGGCAAATGCATTAAGCATTTCTTAGGGTTAAGATGCATTGTGGAATTAATATGTGCAACAAAAGCAGTCAAATACCTTGGAAGAAGAATCTTTTTTGGATGATTCCGACTTCTTTTTTTGGTTTTTCCACTTCTCATGGAATGCGTCAAACCCAAAAGGGCCTCCCCCAAAAGATGAAAGACTAATGGTGGCTGCCTTTGCTGCCAATGGGTTGAACTGAGCTGGTGCAGGGTGAGACTCTTGTTTTTCTTTTGCAACGAAGGATTTTTCAGAAAGTGGGACAACACCATTCTGCCCATGGAAGAGCCTGAATGCCATATCAAAATTGGGGCCATCTTCAAATATTGGACCTTTCCCTCCAGGGGCCTGATAGGGCATCCCAACAGAATGAGAAAATGCACCAATAAGACGAATTTATTGCAAATTCACTCAGCATGCAACTAAGCACATTTAAAGTAAAGCAAAAAACAAAGAAAACACGCAAATAAGGAATTAACCAACTACACTTAGCGAAATTTTGTCACTATGTTACAAACTTACAGGCATCGGAAATGTCATTGGTGAAGTGAAGGAAAAGTTAGTTGGCTCATTGATATTCCTCAAGAAGGGGCATTTAACAATGCCTTGTTGAAATGGCAAAGACTCCTCACTCATGTTTCTGAAAAAGCAATCCATCTAGCACAGTGGATGATCTGCAGAAACATAATTAAAAGTTCAAAGAACAGAATAGTTGCCGATTTAATCTATTAGGAAAACAAAACAAATCCTGAATAAAACAAGCAGTATAAACCATTAAAATCCCTACTTTATAATAAACATCCCGAACTATCATAACATGGAAAACATAGGAGCTATGTGAACATAGACAAATGATATTCAGATAACCACCAAGTCTTTTTTCCTAAGTGTAGCCTATTTTCCAGTAGAAGCACAAAAGAAAACAAAACGGAACTCGACGAAATTAAGTTCCCTACTGCAAGACAAATAAAATTGGTATAAAGTGTCATGGATCCAGATAGACAAGGGTGAGTAATTTCATTTAAAGCCGGCAAACATGTAGTCTTTCTCCCAGTTTAACTCGAAGGACGGAAATTTCTAAACATTAGAAAGTTAAAGATATTATAAAACGGACGCCTGCTCAAATTTGTGAAAATAGAAGCCCTGCTAGGATCTAGACGGAACAGTTTGAATTCTAGCCTGGCATATATACCGGGAAAAAACTAAAATTGCTTAATCTGCGGGAAAAAACTAAAAGTTTCCTAATCTGCGCACAAAAAGGGTTAATCTTTCTTTGACAAATCATCAAATACACAACATACAGAGATGCTAACGGCAGGCATCCAGAATTTGAATGAAAAGCACATAAAACATAGTTGCCGAAGGGAGTAATCAATTGTGGAAAAACAGATTAAAGATCATATGTGAAAGACCAGTGATCAATTGGGGTCAGCTGCAAAAGATGAAATGAAGCAAATCTCGAAACCAGGGCTTCGTTGACATTGTCAACAGCAGAAAACAAAATTCAACAACAAAACTAATGAACAGAAACTCAGAACAAAAACCCAGAATCAGAAAATCAACGAACAGAACTAAAAACATAAAAGCCAACAAACCCAAAACAGAAACTCATGAATCACAACTCCACAAATCACAAACAAAAAAAACTAAGGAAAACCCACATAAAAAAAAAAAACTCAATCGTACCTCAAATTAAGCTATGGGTCAGTCAAAACAACAAAGTAGAAAGGATCTCCGATGAAGAGCAATTGAGGGGAAAACAAAAAATGAAAAAAGAAAAGCAGAATTTGACAAATATAAGAACAAAAAAATGAAATGGAGAAAAGATGGAGTAGGTGGGCTGGCAGGTACCAATAATTTAACCCAAAACAAGAGAGTGGGGTTGAAGTCTAAACAAATAATTAAAAAAAAAAAAATGAGGGAAGCAAACGAACAGAACAAAGGGTTGAGAATGATTCTTATATTTCTTACCGGAAGAACAAAACGAGGGGAAATTCATTCCTACTAGTAAACGACGACGTGGTGCACACACGCCAAAATGGTGGACCGAAGTTTCCACAAGCCGGCTTTAGTTGACAACTGACTTTATTGAACCCAATAAATATATAAATAAATAAAATAAATAATTTTAGGTTTTAAAAAATTTTAGTCAAAGCTATCAAAGCTAGTATTTTACTAAAACAATGTGAGTAATCCCCCTCTTAAATTTTTGAAGATTGTAAAAGATATCCAGCATTTTTTTTCCCCATTCATTGGATTTGGTGCAAAAAGAAATTATTATGAATTATGAACGAGTATTGTAAATGTGATTTTATCTAGAAAAATAGAATGTGAGATAATGTACTTGTATATTACAGTACATTACAATACAACTAATACTCATTCGTTTAATCTGTTTCGAGATGGAAATTTTTTTAAATAATAATCTTACTGTATAGAGATAATGTTTCGTTTCATTATATTCTATTTTTTATATTTATTTATATTAAAGATATAGGAAAAAACAGTAATGTAAAATGATAAATTATTAGGTAGAGGAAGATTCTTCTTCTTTCATGCAAACAATTGCAGCATGTGGATTTTTCTTTTTCTTCCAATAATTCATTATTGTTTGGCAACCCAAATACAGCGTGTGGTTGCCAAATTCCCATTTCTCTCTTGTGAAGACAAAATTGATAAGTCAATTTATGTGTACATTTCGTAATAGCCAGACACCTCGCTCCTTTTCTTTTTTTTTTTTATCTTCTCCTTTTAAAAAAAAAATTAATGGGGTTATGTATTTTCGCTTGGAAAATAGAAGAATATTCGTTTGCATATCCACCATGGGTCACTGCTATTATTCACTAATTCAAGAGAAAAATCATGATTTTTTATATTGCAAAATGACGCATAAAAGAAGAAAACCAACTAGAACTTGGGTAAATACTAAATACGTTTGAATTACATAAAACCTTATTATTGAACCAAATGGGATTTGCTCAAAAAAAAAAAAAAAAAGAAAATCAAATGGGGCAGGTTGTAGTAGCTATTAACTTCTACAACTTTTGAGATAACTCCAAATATTACATTTTTTTATTTTATTTTATTTTATGCCATTAGTTCAAAACCAACAACTCTACCGAATAGAATAAGTTGAACAGTTCAATTGGAATAAGAACGACAGCTGATCTGAAACTGCATGAATCACGCTAGACGATCAGAATAACATCTAATCTATAAATAAATGCTAAAAAAAAAAATGGACTAATTGCGGGTATGTACAAAAGATAGTAGCAGCCAGCTGCATGATTCAGCATCTTGGATGTGGTCTTTGATGCCTTGCTAATGTTTGTTTAATACTAGCTCTCTGTTTATCCTTCACTCTGTAGTAAAAATGATTATGTAGACTGGTAAAATGCGACCACGAAAAATAATAGTAGTAATATAAACATTAATAACAAAGTCAACATTTTCATTTATAAAGACTAAAGACTGTTACTTTCCACTATTCTTTTTCTACCAAAACAGGGGTTTGACTTGAATCTTGAAGCCAGCCAGTCAGCTAAACAAAATGTTCCCTCTATCAGTCATAGATGACCAGCAAATATAGTGTGTTTAAATTTCAGCGCCAGTCAGCTGCTGCTTATGGAATTGCAATGCTTCTACTTCGAACTATAGTGAATTATTTACAAATGGGTTTTTGATGCGAGAAGGCAGAATAAGAAACAGGACTTGCATCACGGTGCTACAAGAAAGATCCGGTTAGGTTGATGCCAAATGTTCCGAAAAATCCATATCCAGCAGACGCTATTTAGAATCTGGTTCTGGCTCTTCTTCAGATTTTTTGTACTCCGGCTTGAGCTCATAAGTTCCTTGATTCGATCCCTTGTTGTTGTACACACACAGCAGTTTCAGCATGTCCTTCATAAATTGCTGGATGGGGGCAAAGGGAAGTTATCTTTCATTAGTAACTAATAAGACAACAAACACACACAAAAAGCAAGAGAGTTGAAACTTTCAACATTGTTCTCAGTCAGCCAAGACTCAGAACTATTTATAAATTAAAAGACGGAAGTTCGCCCTGAATCTAATACTCTAAAATAAACTAAAGATAAAAATAAAAACATCACGCACCTCTGGTTGGTCAGTTTCCTGAATCAGTTGTTTAAGTGTCCAATTTGGTTGCCTTTCAAAGAGCTTGAACATAATCTCTTCCATTTCATCCTTGCCCCTTCTTGTTCTTTTCATTTCTGATCCCTTAACAGGCATTTTCCTCTTCTCCTGTTCAGTAAATGATAGTTTTCTTCAACTCCAATGCTGCACTTAACATAATATACACTCTACTGGAACACAATATCTGTTCGGATAAGGTTATGTGAATTACTTGGTGTCCTGAAGCCTTTATAGCAACCATTCCTGGCATTGGCCTTAGATGCTGTCCGCTATCATCATCAATAACCTGCAAATGGCAGAAGTTATCAAAATCAGCAGTTCTTCTTCCTTCCAAATAAAAATGGGTTTCATAAATCAAATTATTGACAAATTCATAAACCTAATAAAGACCAAAAGTTTCACCCGAATCTGTCTTGTTTTAGTCATGTATTTGTTTGTCCTTTCACGACATAGTTTTCCATAATCCGCAATGGTTTTACAGTGAGGCTTCATGTCAAATTTGTGATAAATTTTCCCCTCCACAGAAAGCTTTCCTGACAAGGAAAATATATTACACGATCTTATAAATTCATCAAGAGTGTAATGCAAAAAGAATTTTGGGATTCATATATTACTTAATCCCAGGAGTAGCGTAAGAGTGGGGAAAGGTGATTTCTTCGTGCACCAAATCAATACAAAATCAACCACAACTACTAGAAATAACAGATACTGATTACTCAACCTGGGAGAATTGCAGTCTCCTTTTCAGTTGAAAATCAGGTAGCTATTCCATCCACTCATTTCAAACGGAGAACAGATGTAACCCACCCACCCACACACACAACAACAACAACAACCACAAAAAAAAAAAAAAAATAGAGACAACCGAAAAACTTTATAAAGTAAAATAGGATTCAGAATGTGGGAACCTTGCTACAAAAACAAGCAAAAAGGGGTGTCATATAGAAATACGTCAACAATCTACAATCAAACTAATGAAAAAAACATAATCTGTGTGGCTCTAAGATATTCTTGCAGTGAAAACCTCAGAAGGACCCAAGTTATAAGCCAATATATTCTCACTGCATTGTTTGTCTCGCCTGATTTTCTCCAAGTCAACTAGGAAGAGCCACAAAGTAAATCTACAACCACAAAGGAATATCTGCCTAAAAGTAAATACAGGTATTGAAGTTTGAACCATCAGATTTCAACATGTATTGATAAAAGATCTCAATTCTGAAAAGGTTTCTCCATATAAGGATGGTTATGCAACCACAAAGGAATATCTGCCTAAAAGTAAATATAGGTATTGAAGTTTGAGCCATCAGATTTCAACATGTATTGATAAAGATCTCTATTCTGGAAAAGGTTCCTCCATATACAGGATGGTCATATTGTACAAGAAATGCCAATTTCATCATAAACATTGTTGATTTCGGAGAGCTAAGCACTTAATCAACTTGTTGGCTTAAAATAATGACATTCCAGAAATGTGTAAGAGGGCCACCTTCACTTCTACAAATGATGTACCTCGCTTCAAATTACCACTATTCAAAAACATAGATTCTCAAGGGTAATCAGGCTACAAAGGGTTCCTACATGTCATATTGCATTGTACTTACCTTGACCCGACTCGGAGAATACTGACATTGGAATAAAATCGGTCGACATGTCCATGGAGTAGCATTTGGGAACATTTCCGGATTCGGTGCCAGCCAATTCCATTGTGAACTGATCACAACAAAAAATTACAATGAAACTCGAAAGTGTCTAAACACGACAAGAAGAAGAGAGCAAAGAAATAAGATCTTCATTTTTTTTCCTCGACCTAACAGATAATCAAGTCATAGGAAGGTAGACATATCAAACAACAAACTCTAAAGGCACTTTGGACATGCATTGCACAGTGTATACACACTAGAATTTGTTTGCTAGAGAAAGATTGTAATGGTATGAATGAGACTCATCCAATGATGCGGAGATGGTGAAGGTGCAGAAACTAAAATGTTACAGAATACTAAAATATAATTGTAAAAGCTTCAGATTGTCCAACTCCAACCCTCAAAATTCAAGAAAAAAATTTCCAAATTTCTTTGCTGTTTAATCACCAATCCTGAAAGTAGAAATTTTAAGCTCTGAGCACAAATGTTATGCGTCATTCAACAATGGCTGCTACACCAAAATCTTAGGGGAAGCATCTGGGGAGGTTCAGCATGAAGCAAAATAATCAGGCAACAAAGTGGAGAAGAATTGATCAAATATAAGACATGTAAACGAACAACACATAAGTATGCAACATCACAAGAAAGAAATGCTATGACTTCCATCTTTAACGAAAATGAATTGGTAGAAGTAAAATGTTTGACTATAAGGTCATTAAACCACAAGATTTGCCACCAACATAGTTGATTATTCTTGAATGCTTAAAAAAATGAATGCGGCTAATACTAGATTTAAGTCTGCAACCCACACAATAACTGGACACAGGAAGCAGAAAAGAGAACAGGATATCATGATCGTGCCAGTCCTGATGTACTTTACAATCAGTCCCACCGCTCGAAGACAAGAATGGATAACTATCTACCTATTGGTGCATCAGCAAATGTATGTTGGTCATTATCCCTAGGCTGGGAAAGTACAACATCCACATTGACACATATCCAATCACCAAACCAAATCAGATAGTAAAACGTTTTGCTCCCTCGCCATGATTGGATCTAAGACTACGTAACTTACAGGATACAAACAAATATGCCGTAAACTACGTGGAGACAGGCCACGCGAGTACAATCACGGCCCCTTCAAGATGACGAGGACAATTGTATTCGCCAAGAACTTTTGCCACTTAGGATTGCATTAAAGTCTTCCATAATAATATTCCATTAACAACACATGTCTAGATTTTTTTCCTCTCAAATGTGTGTGGACATCTCATACAACTAATTTACAATAGACAAGACCTCCTTATCTCAAGGTTCCATCTCCGTCTCTTACAAAATATCAAGTCCCTCCGTAGGCTATTACACAGAGTAGTCTTGTGCTATGTATATATTGATGATAGTATTTAATAAAACCAGGATTTTTCACTTAATTGTTGGACCCACAGAGAGTAAAACTCATGTAAAATGAAACAAAAATTGGGGCTCCGCCATGGTCATATCTTCATCAGGAAATAACTACAGATTGAAAAGAAACATTTACGTGCATGCAAGGATCCCACAGAGAATTGACGAATTAAAAACACACGGACAATAAGAATTAGTTAAAAAAATCCACATGCAAAATGTCGCACAAAGAATTAATTAAAGCAAAATCACTCAATAAGACCCACTGATTATAATTAAATTCTTCCCCCCTTTGCATGCAATAGCGAAAAGTATCAAACGAAGGAGAAAAATCCAGAATGCCGCACCTTAGTGGAGGAATAGTTGTCATTGGGGAGGAGTGGGTCGACGGCGACGACGACCTTAGCGATGGGCCCGTCCGGAAGGAAAGAAGAAGCGGCGACGTCATTTTGGTGGTGGTTGCCCTGTAATTGTTGTTTGTGTTGGTTGTGGTGAAGGGAGCGAGAAACGACGGGAGGGCATTTCATTAGCCACACGTGTCTCTCCGCCTTGCTGGTCTCCACCTGCCCGTTGCCGACATTGTTGGCTTCATTGGGGTGGTTGTTATTTGTGCCGCCGGCGGTGGCGTCCGCCATGAATGGCTGAAGAGGCGGTGGTGGCGGTGGTCAATAACGAACTGATAAGTATGACTCTGAAAGGCTCTCTCGACTTTTGGCCTACTAATTTATCCTTCAGAAAGAATGGGCGTATTTATACGAATCAGCTTTTTTTGGGTTTTTTTTTTTTTTTCAAGAAAAGGAAAACATTAATTAAATAAAATGAAGTAGTAGAAGATAAACCGCCCGAACCGAACCAGTATGGGATAAAATCCGAACTCAAAATTTTCCAACTTTTTCTTTTTTCCTTTTTGTGTGGGAATCAAATTTTTTAATTTGTCCACACTCTTATAGCCAGACCAATTTGTAGGGAGCAGATTTATAAAAATTGTTATGCTTCAGAAACGCAATTTGTAGAGTAAATAAACCACTCTTCTAACGTAATTTCAAATACATGTTCCCTCCATTTACCGAAAAAAAAAAAAAAAAACTAGTCTACATTTGATTGGATTTTGAAATTTAGCTCAGCTGAATTTTGATTGTTCTCTTAAAAACTTGAGCAGGTTACAAGGTCACATTTTTATAAACAGTGGTAATGAAACAATAATTGTCACCGCGAATGAGGAGTTGGTTCAGTATAACACCAACCTTACTCCAAAAAGAGGTCATAAGTTCATTCTTCCATTCCAACGAAAAGTGAGAGGTTGGCTCTCATTTCGCCTATTTGGCACCTCTAAGGGCTTGTTATGACTAACCCACTAATGAACCCCCGATTTCATACCCGAACTTGTCATCCCAGACATACCTAGGATAGTTTACTTCCCACTGTGATTTGCAGACTATTGCAGTGGAATGTGAATTTACCCATTTCTGGTGAGATTCCGGTGTTATATAAAAAAAAATAATACTCAGTCACTCTCTAGACTTAAAACAACTTTTGTTTTGAGATCCGAGGATAAAGTTATGAATTGGTTTTCTTTTGTGTTTAGTGGACTGGATCTCTTTTCTTTTTGTTAAACATATTCTATCTGAAACAAGGGCTTAAATATGCACAAAGCATTCGTTTGTATTTTGCATCGAACTTTTTAAACCAGTTTGCATTACAAGCGCCCATATTACTACTTTTGGAAGCACAATAAATAAAACCCATATAACAGCCCACAAAAGTTTCAACACTAATTTGCTTAACTCGGCCAAGAACCCCAAAAGACAAGCCGCTTCCAAAATATTCCCTTTAAGAAGTCTGATAACTGTACTTTTTGTTCATGATCATTGCAACTAGGAACAGCTGCATCAAAGCGACTGATTCCCAAGGTGAAAGCTCATGCGCAGCTCCACACGTTTAGCTTCCACGTACCACTAAACAGCAACTGTATCTGTTGAGCTCACGGCAGTTGAATTTGCTTTCCTTTCGGCTTGGAGTGACCTGCACAATGCCTCGAGTTTTTCTTTCTGATTCCGCGTTCTCTCCAGCTGTTTCTTCAGGTGCTCGCGCTGGTGAAAATGGAACACCAATATCAACAAGAGATAACAGTTGTCATGTCAGGGCGAAAAGAAAAGGTCATATACTTCAACAGTCATATATATCGCATAAAGGTCGCAAAAGTGTAAAAAGATCGACTCTCGTACAACTTGCAAACTGATGCAGCTAGTTTCGGACACGACGCATCGCAATTATCATCTACTCAAGGGTTCAATTCTTATTAGTGGAAGGGAGTGTCTTACAAAGTTTTCATCTGCAGCGTTGCAAACAGAGTGATATTTCCAGCAACTAACAAGAAGATCAAAGGATCAATCACGCTACAGCCACCATATGAAGGTCTGACATATTTATAAAGAGTTACAATGAAACATGGCTAGGATGGGTTCTCGTAATTGAGCAGCAAGGGGTACATGTTGCCAAAATTAGCTTCATTATTCAAACCACAAGAAGAGAGAAGGTTAACCCTGCAAACCCCAACACCCTCCCACAAACCAGCACACCCCCTCCCCCCCAAAAAAAAAGGAAAAAAGGATGGAAGACGTGCATGACAGAAGAGAAATTAGAAGTGGAAGCAGTACCTCCTCAACAAGCTCTATCAGAGAAATATCCGATTTCTCGCACTTGCCCTTCAAGAATGTGTTCTCCTTTTTAAGTTCCTTGAGCGATTTTGCCATCTAAATCCAAAGACCAAAAAACACAATGGCAATAAGGACCATGCTCCTTTAGAACATTGGAGAAGTAAGCAGGATTACCCTAGTATGCGAAATGATATTGCATACTACAGCTTCCAGATACAAATATAAAGCAAGATGGTTACATGCTTACCTTTTCAATCTCTTGCTTGAATGTTTCAAAGACCTCATTGCTTTTCAGCAATGCTTCCTGCAGAGTGAAAATATAAAAACAATATATTCAGTTCACAACACTTAAAAGAAAAAACACAGATCTATAGGAATTGAGAACACATCATGGACACATGAGCCTACTTTAATAGGCAAAATAGGATTTCACAAGGAGCATATCATTAACAGCATGCCACAATTTAATTCAAGAAGATCTGTGTTTATAGAACCTAGACATGCACCCATATCCATTTTACGCAACTTTAAGAAACAAAACTGGATCATCCAGTTTACACGACTATGTGGAAGTTCAGCAGCTTGACCATGACTCCAGAGCTTTCACTCAACCATTAAGTACTATCTTTTTTACATGCCATGGATGTCAGCAAGGTACATGCCTATACATCCAACGCAGGTGAAGCATATCAAAATTTATGCAGAACCATAATAAACTGTGGTTAACCTGAAATTGTTGAAATTTTTCTCCATCAGCAGTCAGCTGCAATCTCAAATTCTTTTCAGTTGCTAATAATTGTGAGACTTGCTCAGCATACAGTTTCATCTGGGACTGTTCCTGGATCAATTTTTCCTCATGCTGCTTAAGCTTCAGATCAGCAATCTGAAGTTCAAGATTCTTCTGCTTCAACTGTAAAACCATAACACAAAGTCAGTTCAGCTACACTAAAAGTAAGCTCGCAAAAGAAGAAGCAAAATTTGCCATGCTTTTCATCAAATGAAACAAGTAGACTATGTTCACAACAAAAAAAAAAAAAAAACAAGTAGACTACCTTCTGAGCATGCTGCTGTTCAGAAAGTGCGTATTGATCAGCAAGTTCTTTCAGTTTGTGTCTGAGCCTGGAATTCTCAGGATTGAACACATCATATTGAAATCCAAATATTATTATTATTAACAGAGGAATATGTGATGGGGCATCCTAGGGAAATATTCTGGTTCAAACCATTCTTCTCATGACAACCTGATATCAAGGTTTTGACAAATTTTACATGGAAGTGAACATTTTAATAAGCTTCCACAATCTTACATCTCATTCTCTTTCAACTGGGACAAACATTCGTCTTTTTGCTCATCCAGCTTAACACTCACTTCCTACAGAAAACAAAGAATGAAATAAGAACAGAAGTTCAAAACAGACAAAGCTCAAGAGGGAAGGAAACAGGAAACAGATTAAACAATATTCCAGAGGATACTGTTCTCTGGTGGGTGAATTGAATAATTCTGCTAAGGCAAGACACAAATATGTATGCATACACCAAATGAATAATGATGATACAAGACATTGGAAAAAGTGCGATTCAGTTACTTCGCTTTCAAGTTTCTTGCTCCTACTAGCAATAGTTTGCTGCCCAAATCCTTCAAATTTCCAGACAAGTTGGTAAATAATTGTCATCAGAAATTGGTATAAAAGAAGTAAGGGATTTCCGAATGTCTACACGATCACTGTAACTACTTGGCAAGCCTTTGTGGCCCAAACTAAAACAAGGGAGAACAGTAATCAGGATAAGCAATTGCTTTTAAGCTTCAGTAACCATTGATTTTAACTCCCTGCCATCACCAACACCCAGGCCTCACTCCCTGCCTTCACCAACAAGCAGAGCATCGAAGCTAAATTTGGTAACACAATGAACCAAAAGAACCCAGATATTTTCCCAAATTACCTACGGTAAAAGGTACTCCTTAATGCACCCACTTTCCCAACAAAATAATCATAACATGATGTATCTAATCTTATCATGCTGCTAACAAACAAAAGAAACAGAAAGGTAACTAAACCTTAATGGCATCTTGGAACTTGTTTGATAGATCCAACCTCAAATTCTGACCCTCTGTGGACACACGTTTACATTCATCCTGCAAATAATCAACACTCTATTATGAATAGTTTATGCTTGAAATTCTTGCTTGGTAGAAATTCTGACCCTCTTATTCTTATATATTGTCTCCGAGATTTCTAATTTATTGCTTTTGTTAAAAGGAAACAAAAAGGTGATAACCAAGCATGAGATTTGTGACAAGATTAAGTTTCAAGATGCAATGTAATGGTGTAGGGCTTTTATAGTTTTAATATACGCTCATTTTCAAAAAAATAAAATAAAATAAAATAAAATAAATTTCAAGATGTGTCATCTACTAAAAGTTACTAGCAGGGAAGCATACCATACCATCAGGATTTTGTTTTGACGTTGCAATTCCCGACAGAGAGACTCCAGCTTATCTCGAACGGCAATGGCTGCATCAGTAGGAACAAATAGACACAAGATAAGAAACCAAAAGAAAAAACCTGTTTCAGATTATGTCAGAAAATAGAGCTGAGTGCATGCAGTGTCTTAAGAAGAGCATGGTCACTTCAACAGACTGCTTTCGTAAAGTTAAGGATGTGAAGTTCTGCCTGCAGCGTCTTAAGAAGTTTACGGTCTCTTCAACATGACTACTTTCATAACATTAAGGATGTAAAATCTCAACATTTTCTCCATGCTCAATGAGACATTAAGACCATCCAATGATTTCTCCGAATTAGTCAACAAATTCCCATTACTAGTGGATGCCATGGACTTGCAAATATGTTAACAAATACAGCAATGCTAACATTTTTACCACCAGTTTATTGTAATGCCATTAAATTCATGGACTAGGAGTTAAATTTTGGAAACAGAACAGTGAGGCTTGCACATATACAGTTTATGGCTCCATAATTTATTTACTCTAAGCCATTGGAAGAAATTTTCTTTTACCTTCATAAAGCAATTAGAATAAAGAAATGGTAAACTTTTGACAACTTTGAAGAAATTTTATCTGATCTTCACGGAAAACATAGTAATCGTCAGGATTAACAACTAGAAACTTCGAAAATTGCCTCCATAATATGTAGATCAGCAACCTAAATACTATTCATAACTCAACAAAATTTCATACTTGATTAAGGAACTCCAGGGTTGTATTCATAAGGGCCAAGGGGGAAACAAATGAACGTTTAGCATCCATAAGGAACTGAATATTAGTAAAAGATTGAAAATAAAGTACCAGAATCTCTTTCAGCAAGAACCTGTTGATACTTTAAAGTGAACTCCAAAAACTCTTTCTCTGTTTTGAACGTGCGTTTGGCATTCTTGCGTTTCCCTTCAGGTGCCTCCTGAACCATTAAGCGGCAACCACGATCAGGACAGTGTCTCTGAAGTTAAAAAAACTTAGAAATGAAGAAGAAAAATGTAAAATGAAATTATGCTAATTAAATGGATAAAAATGTTATGACCTTTCATTTTGAACAGAAAATTATGACTGGCGTCCAATTCAGAAAACGTAAAAAGTACTCCGTAATAAATATGTTGCCAGTATGACAAAAATGACACAAACCACAGACATCAAGAATTACTAGAATTCCAGAAGTCAGCAAGAAGCACTGACTCACATCTAAGACCTTAACATAACATGTTGGCCAAATTAGTACATCTCACTAAGAGATTTAGTCAGTGTGACAATTAAATATTTAGTAATGAAGTTGAATGGAGCTCCCATAGACATTTTGAAATAGCTGCAAATAATTACAGAGGGATCGATATTCCATTGGAATCTCAAAGCCGAAGGAGTTAAAATCAAGTCAGTAAATTGCTACACGCTCAAATAAGTATTCCAGTTTGTTAATGTGAACTGCTCACATGAAAAAGAAGCAAGGGCGAGCTCACATGTGTAGGCTCCAGGTTAGTGCCAGGACGTTAAGGGATGCATTCTTATCTTATATTGTCTATACAAGGCAGTTTTTGCGACAAAAGCCTACAACCTCAACTCACATAGTAACAGATCTTACTGCCGTGGCAAGGTAACCACTACTCCAAACTAAAATAAAATAGTACTCACTTGAGGTCAAACAAAAACAAAACGTGCCAAACTAGAGACAGCAGAAAAAATCATAGAAATTAAAATGAGAAAGATCAGGCATAATAATATGAAACTGCCAAAATGATCCAATCGAATATGGAATAGGTATTACTGACTGCTTTTTTGTTGTTTTCTGTATTGCCTAATGAAGATATCTCCTTCACATCTTCAACTTGAGGGCCCAAGACTTCAGTATTAGCTGCAATATTCAAGATAAAATCGTAAAGACAAAAGAACACTTTCCAATACTAAAAGATAGAACAAAGTAGAGTAATTAAGACTAAAACAAGCCCAGAAAACTTGAGCTCATGCATTACTATAAACAAATGGCAAAAAATAAATGCACAAAATGACTACAAAAACAGAAATTAACTAGTAATCATCAGGCATGACACATTTCTGATGCTATTGGAACACCTCAAATCTTAAAAGCATATCTCATAGTTGTTCTATAGAATAACAGCTACAACGGAAAACGTGGACAAGATTCCTCTTTCCCGGGTACAATTGCATCACCATAGCCTTCATTTACCCCAAAACCCAATGGAAGCATCAAAATCGATTTCACAGAACAGCTTTTTCTCCGAAAGTGAGTGGAAAGTGGAAACACTTATTATATTACAGAAGTTGTCCTTAACATTTCATCCAATAAGATGCTTCATCCATTGTATTAAAATTGAACATTTAAACCTCAAAATCATAAAAGGAACTTTCTAATCTGAAAGAAAAATTCAATCCTGGACCAAAAAGCGGATGATTCGCATATCAAAAAATGTTCATTTTCAATTTGATAGATTAAAAAGCTCATTTACGCATGTGAGGGATTAAGGATGCTCATTTTCAGCATGAAAGACAACAAATTTTGGTCTGATTTCTGACTACTTGTGAGTGACAAATTTTGGAGTTAACTCTAAGGAAAACATTGTACATATAGGCTTCTAAATTCTAAGACTAGTATTTAAAACTTGCAAGTTTAACCCCGTAAGGGTGGTTAGGGACCAGTGTTTCCGAAATTGATTCTGCTTAAATTAGAACTGCAAATAAATCCTTCCAAAGTAGAAATGCATTCATTCCGCCTCATTTTCCATGACTTCACACAAGAAATCAAAATTAGTTTGCTCAAACTATTTTTCAGAAATAACAAGCCAGCAAGCCATGTTCCAATTGAAATTTGAAAAAGAAAGATAAATTTACTTTTTTCCGAACTTTGACATTCTTCAGCAACCACTGATCGTGGCCTCAAACTGGGGTCAACTAACTTCTCCTCTTTATAATCATTCTCGTCCGGGTCTTCTTCTTCTTGAGGTTTTGCAGTTTCTGAAACCAACTGGTCCGGGGAGGAGCTCTCCACGAACCCATCAGGCAAAGAATCCGCCTCCGGAAGCTCATTAGCATCTGGGTTTTGCTTCAGGTTGCGGTTTGGATCCTCCATAAGACCTGCAAATTTGTAACAGACAAAAAAAAGTACTCAACTTTCATGCCAAGCAAATGCAACACCATACAAACTAATGGGTTCCATTTTATTATTATCAAAGAATGCAGAAACAAAAACCATATCTCAGTAGCTGTAGAAAGTAAAGATATAATGTAATGATTTGAATGAACAATTTCAGCAAAAAAAAAAAAAAACTTTTCTTTTTCCGGTTTCCTTGAGAGCAGTCTTTTTCAATTGGAGGGTTTTGGAGGTGGATGACGATAAATCATTTGGGGTTTGTACCTTTGATTGATCTGGGGGTTGTACTTCCTACGTTAATGTGCACTGGTGATGCTGAAAATGAAAGAAAGATCGCTTTGATGTTAAAGCTGGGAGAGCGGAAATGTGAGGAATTCAAGTAGTGAAATTTTGGGTTTTTGGCTACTAACTTTGTCTATTTGTAGTTTGTTCCAAATAATTCGAAAAGAACACATTTTTTTAAAGGTTTTTTTTTTTTTTCCTTTTTTTCTTTAGTGTATGTAGTAATCAATTTCTTTTAGGTACCAAGATGGCAAAGTTTTAAATCATGAGATGATATAACATTACAATTTGCACAGATAAGTAGAAACGCTCATTCTAATCACATTCTTAAGTCTAATCATAACATTGTATTCTAAGTTCCTCACCATGGTCTTAATTCTAAGAATGTATCAGTCAAGTTTTGAATATCCTCACCATAAACATCTTAATCCTCACGGTTCAATTCCTTTTCTGAGGGTGTTTTTAAAAGATTTTTAGACAAGAAAATGAAACAAGAAAGTTCACAATGAAATTTATGAACAATAATAAACTATCATGACTCGTGAAGTTTCATTATCTCTTCATATGAAGTATGAATTCACAAGACGCTAAATAGTTCAAAATATTGCACCACCAGTGTCCTAAAATATCTGATCAGCATCTCTATAAACAAAGATTGGCAAATGTTTACACAAGACCAGACATTGAGTTGCTATGACTCTATTTCTACAAAAGATGGTGCAAACCTACATCTCTCTCTAGCTTCATGCTAAGTCTGTAAGTCACCGGGGGCCCCAGGTTACTATCAACTAGATAACTACACTTGCATAACACGAGATTTTGCTATGTTCTTTGCCAGAGATCAACCGACTTCTACTTAATCCTACTAAATGCTTGATCTGGTGCACTTTACAGCTACAGACGATTTTAAGAGGCGGGCTTTTTAGACCTTTTCTTGGCAGTCTTGGCAACAGTATCTGAAATCTCTTTTTTCCTTTTGGACATAGCATTGTTCTTTGGATTAGTGGTGGCATTCTTGTTGTTTGCATTAATGTCGTCTGCTCTCCTTGAACCTGTGTCCTGGGTGCTCAGCACATCCTTCAGGAAGAATTTTAGCCTCCATAGTGTGGATTCACTCTGAAATTCAAATCAGTAGTTGAATCAAAATACTAGTATAATGCAAGAAGATAATTTGTGTTAGCACAGATTCGATGATCATGATCACCTGAGCATCGATATCAAGGTCCAAGTCCTCATCTGTCAGATGGAAATTTGAGTTGTCTTGAGCAACTATGTTCAGTGCCTTACTAAGATCTTCGGGAGCTAACTTACTCAGAGCTATTCCAATGTTTCTTTTCTCCTCAACAGACAGTTTTCTGCAGCATTGGTGACTTAGTCACAAATGACATATAATCAATTCTATCTCAAAATAATCTTGTACATTAAAAAGGCAGTTCTGCATCAAAACAAACCTGCATTTTTTTACTATAATCCCCCTTAGTTCTTCCAACTGTGAATCAACTTCATAAAGCTGAAAAAGGTCAATCAATCATTCAATATTCAGCGCACAACGAACAGTCCAGGTTCATACATCACAGGTGGTGGGCAAATGAAGGAAGAAATAATCAAGCTGCAGATTACATTGCGACCAAATTATTAAGCATGAAAAGATGGATTTCTCTGGTACCTCATTGCTTAAATCTCTGGCTGTTTTGGCATGTACAGCTTGCTGAGCAAGCCGCATATTAGATTGTGCCTCTGCTTCCTCATCTTCACGTCTCTTTTCCTGCACGAGTACAATATAAGCAACATTGCTGGAGAAAAATACAAGAGAGACCACAAATTCCCCAGAGCCAATAATGCCAAGATGCAACTGAAATGTCATTTCTGGTGTGGCACATGCCAACAATTAGAACTCGGTGAGATGCAAGTTGGATGAAGTTTCCTGAACATTGGTTGAAAGTGAAAAACTGGAAAAGGATACCCTATGCTTTGAAGGGTAACAGTGTCCGAAAACAGGTGACTTATGCTGCTATAATAGCAGGTTATTATTGGACATGGAAGTGTAGAAATCAGATGATTTATGAAGGGAAGATTAGACAAGTGGAGGCTGTTGTTGAAGAAATCCGCAGAGAACTTAGATGGAGGGTGAGATGCAAGTTGCAGAATCTGAAATATAGTGAGCAGAAGATGTTGCAATCACCGTTTATTTTGTAATAGCTTTGCTAGTTTATTATTTTTGGAGCTCCAATTCTGATGATGTTAAAGTGCTTTGCTGTTTTATAATCTTAGCAAACTAGATAGGTGAATGTAAATAAGTGTAGATCAGGATTTTTATTTTTGTGAAGGAAAGCAATATAGATTTACATTGTACCTTAAAAAAAATAAACAAAAAAAAAAAGAACTGGGAGCACCATGCTTTTTATCACAGTGAGTACCTCTTCGTTGACTTTTGGGAGCAACTGTAGCCACTTCTCTTCAAACTTCCCCAGTAATGTTTTTGCCATCTTGTAGACATTACTCTTTTCCTCATTGTAATTCATTGCATTTTGGAAAATCAACCTCACATCTGCACATATGTCACGAACATGCCTGTATCCTGTACCATCCTTTGCCTCCATTTGGTTTTTTATCGTGCTAAAATCCATAGGCCTGTCAATCACCTACAATGAATAAATCAATGCGAACTCAGACCCTAAACTTTTGACTTAAAGTCAAACTGACTTAATATTAATGGGAGGTTCAATGGAACAATATCCAATAACCCACACAAAGGTCGCAGAGGCACATTTTAGCTACATTGCATCATTACAAAAACATACTTACACGTAGCTATGCCTTCAAAACACAGAAATTAAATAACCCATTTTTTATTATTTGATTTCATTTAAATCTCACATTTCTGAATATCAGGTTTCCATGCTTACAAATTCCCATAAGGAATAAGGCTGTTTTACCTCGTAATAATCATCCAACCCAAGCCCTTCAACATCAACAGGCTGCATAAATGGCCATGCGCACTTGTGCTGTGTTATCTAAGATAAGAATACAGAACAAAGTATAATAAGCTGTTACCCTACAGACATCCAAAGCCAATACATGCAACGGATCGTTGTAAGTTTTTCAACCCCAAAAAGTATCGGGCTACAAAAAATCAAACTATGCTGCAGTAAATGGAAATAATTTGTATCATCAGCACGAGCGGGGTGCGGGTGGTTGATGGGGTTAAGCAAAGAATACATCCTTAAACCTTTCAGAAGAAATGATTGAAGGGAAATGTAATACTTGTATGACTTGCTACCTTTCTAGGGTAATGATCTGATTCTTTTCAAGGTTTAAAGGTTGAAAAGGTTAGGAAATAACCATGAAGAGAGAGAGAATTCAAAAATTCAAATTACAGCCCTTAAATGCCAGATTAAAGGTGGAAATATTACCCAAAAATAGGCAGTTTATGCTAGATTAAATATCAAGAGAAGGTCCAGATGATTGCCTGACGTAGTATTGACCCAAATTGGCGCATGAGGTCTTGCATTCTCTTAGCAGCAGCTGCCTCTCTTCGTGAGGCATCCTGTTGTAGCTTCTTAAAGCTGGGAGCAGGTCTTTCCTTATCTTTATCCTTCGTTGCTGAAGTGCTGGGGAATGACATCGTATTGTTTAGGGTCTGCTCAACATCTTTCACTCTTTGCTCGAGCTACGAGTTTAGAAAATGGTATGATTAAAAAGTGGCAAGGCAAAAAAGAACTGCGTAGTTCATCAAATAGTACAGCAGAAACTTACATTGTCAACTTTCATCAGTAGCTCATCAACGCTAAGCTTGAAACTATCCATTTCTCTAGCATCGCCGGCTTTTCCAGCAACAACATTGTTGCCATCTATGTTAGATACATCCATCTGACACCAGCATTACAGAAAACAAGAAACAATTACATATAAATCAAAGGGGATAACTATAATAGTATGCTTAAAGTGAATGGATGAGATGAATGTAACAGACTAATTGAACCGGTTCAAGAAAATGATACTGCTCTCTGTTTCCCAAATCGGTACATAAGTCCACAAAATAACTACAAATTGGTAGCAAAAAGTGCGCAGCCTCTCCATCATACACTATCGAATTAAAAAATCAACCCAGGACTTCGTAAGCAAGAGAACAAACTTGCAGCAATGAAACACGAATTCCACAATCGTCACTCAGAAATAGATAATCATCCATAATTCACCTAAAATTCTGATTCTTATGAGGGTCCATAAAAGGAAAAAAAATTCACAGAATTATTACTGCGAATGTGATGCTCGAAATAATCAGTAAAAGCTTCAAATTTTAGAACTGCGTGGAAGGGATTCTATAATATAGTCATGATCAATCAGGGGGATTATTATCAACTAATTTATTTTCAGTGTAATATACATAAACTGCGAAATTCGCAGAGAATTTACCTAGAAAAAAATAAAAGGGCGAATGGTGAATTCCAACGGCAATTGAGGGAAGCTGGCGTTGAGCACTGTTTGGGTATTTGGAAATAAAGCTAGGCGTGGACCGGAATAGCTCCGACAATGAGGTTGTTATTTGCAGTTGAGTTATCCGACTTTCCAAGTTCCGGCGACGGCGGTGATGGCGGCGACGAGCTGTCTGATGTAAATCAGCAAGCCTGCTTCACTTCGGCCTTTGGGCTTAAAAGGTTCTGATGTAAAATTACCGGGAGTACTTGCTACACTTCCAATAATAAATACTCCTACAAAAATTTGAGAAAAATTGGTATATATTAACTTGAATAGCATATACCCATATACGTATACGTTTAATATACGTTTAAATTATTATCCGGTTTAAATTTTTATTTCTGATACAATTTTTCTATGTATAACTAAAAGTGAAAGTCCAAATATCCAAATCATTTGGGGCGGAAGTAGGATTGTCAGATCGGGCGAATTCGGGTGGTTCGGATGAGTTTGGTTCGGGTTAATCGGTTTTTCTCTCACAACACCCGTCTGAAACCGAACCGCAAAACATATTTACCGAACCGCACCGCCCGATTAAAACTTCGGGTTAATCGGTTTGGTTTTTCGGATAACCAAATTTAACCACACACCTGCACCTTTTCATTTTCGATCCATAAGGAGTCAAAATCTACCACATTTAACATTCATCCCTCCCAGATTCACACAAACATCCATGTCGATTCAACAAGAAAGCACGACAAATTGAATCTGAGATTCAAAAATCCAAAAATTCATATATGAAAATTAAAAAACAATTTCAGAAAGCTTTCAAACAAATCCAACAATTCCAAGATTCTTCAACCTCCAAAAATTCAGATTCAAAGAGGAGGGAGATCGAGAGAGTGAAGGACCCCGTCAACCTTTGGACTCCGATTTGCTCCTCCTCCTCTACTTTCTTCTTCATGTTCACGGCATCGTTTCTCCTCTCCTTTTCTTCTGGTCTCAACTCCGGCACTGACAGGCGGCAACGAATTACACTGGAAAAGAGCCTGATTGCAGGGTTAATTTCTATGCAACCGCGGTCCTTTTTGGGCGAGTGATGAAGGCAGAGGAAAAATCAAGAATTGGAGATGGCGAATGGAGAATGGAGATGAAGGGATTGATGAATTGTAGAACTGAGTGTGAGTGGTGTCGGCAGGGTGGCTAGCTATCAAGTACGAAGAAAGAAGAAAAATATGATGAGGTGAGAAGTGGAATTAGAGAATTTTTTAGGGTTAGTAATAATTTATCTATTTTTTTACATATATAATATAATATATTAAAAAAATGAATAGTTCGGGTTTTCGGGCGGTGCCCGAAATAATTTTATTCGGTCCGCACCCGCAGCGAATTAACAATACGGTTAATCGGGTAAATCCGCAATTCCTCGAATTACCCGAATAACTGACCCGTTTCACCCGAATCGGGTTTGGTGCGGACGGATTTTCGAGTTCACCCGATTAACTGACAGCCCTAGACGGAAGGAGTAGCCCTTAACACAAATGCATAAACGCTCAGGTGTAAAAATTGAATAAATATGATTTACTTCACATCATTTTAAGCATTGTATATATATAATTACTATTATTCATATGTATGTACATAAGTGTGCGAAAATTTTATAAAGCCACATATTTTACCACTATTCTCAAATTTCAGTGATACACACTCTTATTCGACTACATTATAAGATGAATCATGATCCATAGTATAATTTGTCGCCATACTTGATACAATAGCTGGATAACGAGTCATAGCATTATTTGTATTTGAGCCGGGAAAACAATGGGTCAAAAAAAGTTGTAATGTTGTGAGAGCTAATTTGAAGTAGACAAGACTAGACAAGTTGTTGTTGAAGGTATACTCCACGGTGTGATAGGCTAAGAATAATATTGCATATACATGAAGCAAATGATCCCGCACACGAAATATAAGTATTAGTATTCATTCTCTTTATCCGTGAATAATAATACTCAATTTTTATTAGTAAGGGATCAATTTTTATTTTTATTTTTTTCTGGACGGAGAATATAGTACTACTTTTTATCATTTTCTTTTCCTTAAACATGATCACGCAAATAATGCACAAAATAAACTCTTAACAAATTAGGGGAAAACCCGTCATGAGTTATGATTCACAGAACCACTTGTATTTATCTTAGATGAGAAGAATACTTTAATTTACAAATAAACCCTGTGGCACTAACTAATAGTAGATCATCGTAATACAAACTTGGCAATGTAGCACTAATTGGCGACTTTGACCCAGTTGCCTCCGTTGGCGCCAACCATACCGGCAGGAATGCACCCAAAAACAAACGACCTGGTCAACACATTACTCAGGTGGGCCCTCCCCCTCAGCGACGACTTCACCACTCCCCAGTGACTGCCGCTGCTACCCCTCTTCCGGCCGTCGTTGACCACCGCCTTTCCGCCGTCCAGCACCGTGGGAGGCGACAGAAGGGTGGTCAGACGCTTGCCTTGGCGCTCCTTGATAGCACTCAGCTCCATCTCCGGCTTGAACTTCACGGGGCCGAACATGAACATCCTTCGCCGGGACTTGGCCGACATCGAAGTCAACGAGCTTATGTTGACTTTCTGAACCTGATGACGATGATGGTGATGATACGGGGAAGAAGAATGGGTCTGATTCTGAATCTGAGATTTCGAACCCGAAAACCTTAATGACTTATTGTTATTATCATTAGTGGGATCTTCTTCAACTTCTTTGTGATTGCTTTCGTAACAACGAGATGAAGGCTTACGGAAAGAATTGGATTTGACCATGGCCAAGTAATCTCTCTTCTGGTATTCGTTAAGTTCTTCTTGTTCTTCATCTTCCTGAACCATGAGTTTACCGCAGAAAATGACATCAGGGGCACTGTGGTAATTGGGATCATCATGATTGAGGCTGGATGATTCATTGGAGAACTCGAAGAAATCATTGGCTATAGGGCTTTGATGGGCTGATGATGATGAGTTGTTGCAGTAATCTTCTTGCATGGTGAGGTTGCATAAAGAAAGAGCGTCCTCTTCATCGAATGCTTCCCAATCCCCATTATTAGCTTTGTTATCCATTTTCCAAACAGAAAAAAAAAAAGGGCTCAATTTGGGATCAAAGACTAAAAAAGAATGATATCAAGGAGGATGTGTGAATTAGAGGGTTGTGGGAGTTGGGATATATATATGAAGACTGGTTGTGTTTGGCTGTTTGCTAGGAAAGGGAGTTCAAGTGATCGAGATGGTGTCTTCGTCATTGAGTAAAGGGGAGAAGAAAAAATTAATGGTTGGCTTCTAGATGGGTAGTTGTACTTAGTTGTTTATTTTATTGTATTATTTATGCTCAAAATTATTATTCAGTTTATAATTTTATTTTTAGTAATTCATACCGGAGGCGCAATACAAATTCCAAAATTTGAATTGGTTTTGGGACAGAAGGCGCAATACAAATTATAAAATTCAAATTAATTCATTATTTTGATGGTTTTTCATATTTCTACCCTGAATGAATGTCTTTATCTCATTATACTTTTTTTACATTTTCAATGTATTTCATTATATTTCCAATATAAAAAACATACATAAAAATAAACACTAAAAAGACGTTTTAATTCGTTTTTCCTGCGCTGGTGGGTGGGTCACTTAAAACGCGCAATTGGAAAGGGGGAAGAAAAAAGAAATGGAAAGGAAAGTAGTAGAGCGGAACTAGAGTTTAGTCACCTACGTTGTACCGTTATAGACGTAGTCTAGAAGAAATAGACGAGGTGTTGTTGATTTTCAGCCAATTTCCTTCCAATGCGACAATTATAACATCATTAATTTAACTTCTAGAAAGGGTTGTGTCATCAATATAAAATATTTATTGTTGTTGTTGTTGTTGTTATTATCTTACATGACTTATACGCATTCGGCTTGTTAATGCCACCGTTACAACCTAGTACGTTTTCTAGATGTTCTTTCCGGACTTCCCGAAAATAGCTGGTAATAATTACTATTAATGGTAGTGCTATGTATGATGGATGGATGGAAACAGTTTTGATTTTTTGATTTTTTGATGATCTCGTGTTGCCGCCGCAGCAGGTTCCAAAGAGATTCCAACATGAAATCTTCTTCTTCGCGTTTGAAAGAAGAGGACTGAATATGTTCAAGAGAAAAATGAAACCAACCTCTCTCGTAACTTTTCTTCCTAATTCGTGTCTCTCAATTTTCCACTCCTCCCCCCCTCTCTTAATATACTGTAATATTCTCTCGATTTCGAAATTATTCTTCAGTTTGGATCTTTACTTTTAGTTTAATTTATATTCCGGATGAAAATCTAAATTGGACAATAATTTTTATAACAGAAAGATAATATTATTTTGAGTGAATCACAAAATTGATCATTTAATTATTGAGTAATTTCATCACATGTCATCAATTAATTTTATTCTCCAAATAGGATACCATACTAAACCAAAAATCCATCCAAGGTTATTCTGTTATTACCATTAAGTAGTGATGAAAACGTCGAAAAGTCATTTTTCAAATACTTTTGGGTCTATTGGTATTTTTTTCATTTTCTATTTTTAATTTTTAATTTTTAATTTTTTGACAATTCTTCATCTTATACTTTTAACTTGTATATGTTGGTATTAGTATAATTATTAAATTTCAAGATTAATTTCTCTTTTTTATTTTTAATTCTAGATTATGATTTTTTTAAAAAAAATAAAATAAATAAAAAAGAAAAATTTGAGTTGTAGTAAACATGAAAGTTAATAGTTTACCGTTAAAAAAAATAGAAGAATCAGGTAACACGAGTCATTTTTTTAGGTTATTTTGAGTGTTAAATCGTGACGGAAAGTTACTTTTCACATGCTTTTGGGTCCATCGGTAATTTCATCATTTTGAATTTTTCTTAAAAATTTAAATATATATATTTACAATTTTTCTTCTTAGACTTCTAACTTGTATATGTTGGTACTAGTATCATTAAATTTCAAAAACCAATTTACTTTGTGTATTTTAGTTTGTACATTATAAAAAAATTTAATAATAACAAAAAATGAAGAAGAAAAATTCTAGTTGAAATAAACACGAAAATTAATAATTAAATAATTATATTCGAGTTGAAAATAATTAAATAACCTAGAAGAAATAACTTGTCTTAATTGATCCTTTAATTTTTTTTATTTAAAATGGTAAACTGTTAAATTTTTATGTTTACTTCGAATTTTTCTTCTTCATTATCTCTAACTTTTTAAAAAGAAATTATAATCTAAAAGTTAAAATACAAAAAGTAGATTAATTTTTGAAATTTAGTAATTATGCTAGCACAAACATATGCAAGCTAAGAAGTATAGAAGAGAATTTGTAAAAAATAAAATTTTAAAATTTTAAAATATACAAAATAATAAAAATACCCCTAAATCCAAAACCATATGAAAAATAGCTTTCCGTTACTATTTATCGGCAAAAATTAACATAATCACCTGGATGGATTTTTCATTTAGTATGGCGGTCTATTTTGAGAATAAATTTGATTGGCGACCTATGATAAAAATACTCAATAGTTAAATGACTTATTTTATGATTTACTCTATTTTTATTATTGCTTTTCGAGTAATTTATATACTTGGCACGAGAAAAATCATGTTGAAAAGGAAATTTCAAAGTTGGATCGAACAGAGAATGAGTTGAAAGGAAGTGGTGGTGTACTTAAAACATAAAAGTCATTGAAGTGTGGGCAAAGAAAGGGGTGGTGCCGTGGTGTTGAATGAACCAATCGATAAGTTCGTGGCTTTTGATTCACACAAATGACAGCATCTTCATAGTTTACTATCAATTCACGAGCCATGACTCACACACAAGTTTATTGCAAATCATGACATTTTTTTTTCAATGTGCTTTGCCCTACACATTTTTATGGTTATTTAAAGTTGAACTGAGAATAAATAAAGTTCAAATGGACACAATAATCGATTAATCGTATCTTATATTATCGCACATTAAATTTTAGGATTTGAATTACACAAGTTTTGAAAATGTACCACACATGTTTTTACTTCAAAAGTACGGTGAACTGAAGGAAAATATTTTGCACGACCCTATACTATCTAGAAGCATACAAAACATAAAATAGAAGAGAAATTCTATAGCAGAAGCATGCCAAATTGTTTTGACGGAAACCCAAAAAAAAAAAAAAAGAAGAAGGAAAATGTAGCAGATAAATTCTATAGCAGAAGTAGACGAATTGTTTTGACGGAAACCCAAAAAAAGAAAAAGAAAAATGTAGCAGATAATATTGGTTTGAAGGGGGAAAAAACAAAAAAAATAAAATTAAAACAATAGGGGCATTCCGAGAATTGAACTCGGGACCTCTCGCACCCTAAGCGAGAATCATACCACTAGACCAAATGCCCGGATAGCCTTAAATAATGAAAATAAGTTTATAACATAAATCTGTTAAACCCTCCTCTACAACTTGACAAATAGGAGAGCAAAACCCTTGCAGCTTCGCCGGGATCACCACTGTGAATATAATCGGTCATCATTTATTTTCATCTGGAATTGCAAAGCCTTCTTCAAGTGGCAGGTGAAAAATGTCAAGAAACGCACTTCTTCATTTGGTTCGCTCTCAAACCCATCATCTCAAAAGGACAGGCTTCAGCTCAGGTTCTCTTCTTTGTCTTCCCGTTCAAACTTCTTCTTCTGCCTGGCTTGATCTTGTGGGTTATTAGTTTTCTTGATTTTTAATATTGATACGATCCTTGTTATATTAGTTTTTGTTTATCTTTCGGATATGTTAAAAGAGGGTTCAATTTAACACCTTCATGATTTAAAACTCGATCTTACAGGACGGGACAGGACCTTCTCACTTCTCAGACTAAAAATTGTTTCTTTATAAACTAATTTTGAATTTTGTAGTATTTGAATCCAGAAATGTGAACCTCCATTTAGTTATTGGTTTGTTTACTATGGGTGATGAAGTTTTGGAGTCAATTGTATGTTGCACCGCACTATCCATCCCTTGGGATTCGGAAAACGCCATAATGACTTGATTCATCTTCAAATCAAGTTAGATTGGCTGCATTCATAGTAGTCCTTCACAACATTTTATGCTCTTTCTGGCTATGGGACATTAGCTAGTCTATGTACATTTTCCCCCTCCCTTTCCTCCTCTGAAATTTACTGTACGGGATAGGACTATCAGAGTGTTGAGTCAAGGCACGAGCTTGGGCTGATACCTAATTTGTTTACTTTTCCGTCTTTCATTTCAGTCCGATGCTTGTATAGATTTGCCAATTGGGTGTCGAGCAGTGATGAGATTCTTTTATATAGATAATGTGCTTTTCATAGACAAGCTGTTGCCATTGCAATTTTAGATGTTTGGTAATTAAGGAATATCTGTATTCTATCGTGTTGGGTAGTTGTTAATCTTCTGCCTCTAGTTTCAGTACCTTAATGGCTGATTAAGTCAGGGAATGAGTGACGTTTTATTTTCTGTGACATTTATTCACCTGACAGCTTTAGATATGGCGTTTTTCAATCTGTTGTGATAGATTTAGAAAATATCCTCCTTGAAATATCAATCTTAACAGGGATATCTTGTTGATCGAGCGTTGAGAAGTGATCTGTTCTATCCATTGAATATTCTGGTGTTTAGAGATGCTTGTATGTATATAATGTTCTTTTTATAGACAAGCTCTTGCAATGGCAATTTAGATTATTTGTTGTCAAGGGATATCTGCATTCTGTTGTGTTCGGTAGTTGTTAATCTTCTGCCTCTAATTTCAGTACCACAATGGCCGATTAAGTGACCGAATGAGTGATGTGTCATTTTATGTGTCTGACATTAAAAAATTCTCCTGACAGCTTTAGATATGGCTTTTTCTATCTGCTGTGCTAGATTTAGAAAACAACCCCCTTCAAATATCAATCTTAACGGTGTTATAGACAAAAGAATGTGATTGTGGATCAGGTTTGGTGTACATGTGCATCAGTTAGGTAGGATGATGCTCTATCTTTCTTGGTTGCCGTAATGTTTTGTTTGGAGCAACAGCCTACATGGTTGGTGCTGTTTACGGTACTAGCTTGGTACCATTTAAGAATAAAGATTATATTTGACTGTGTATTCACCTGTAAGCGTGGTTTTATATCTTTGTCTGAACAGAGTGGTGTCTTTTTTTACTTCATGTTAGTATTAATTCTGTAATATCTGATTTGCTTGTTAATACTTAATAGTCAATATCTGGTTGCTATCATTTGCTTCTTTGCTCAAGCCTTAATTTCAATGCATTTACATATGTTCATTTGTAAAAATGTGTTTAGCAGTCCTCTTACATGCTGTTTTGTAGTTAACATATTTTCCCTGCAGGTTACAATCTGAATAAGGCCAGGCCACTATTGATCACTACAATCAATTCCTCCATAGCCCCACAACCTAATGCTTTCCAGAGGCGATGGTGGTCTCAATCCTCGTCAGCTGAGGGAGATAATAAGATCAGTATTGGACCTCAGAAAGGGGTTGAATCGAGAAAAGATGAAAGAGACTCAGGGGTTGTGTATGATGGCCCAATATCAAGCACGATCAAGAAGGTCAAACTTTTGTCTCTTTCAACCTGCTGCCTCTCTGTGTCTTTGGGCCCTGTGATAACCTTCATGACATCTCCAGACATGAATGTCATTCTGAAGGGCGCTGTGGCATCTTCTGTAATCTTCCTCAGTGCTACTACCACTGCTGCTCTTCACTGGTTTGTGAGTCCTTATGTACATAAGCTCAGATGGCATCCTGGTTCTGACAGCTTTGAAGTGGAGATGCTGTCATGGCTGGCTACTTCTATTCCAAGAACTATCAAGTTTGCCGATATCAGGCCGCCAGAGACCCAAAGGCCTTTTGTAACATTCAAAGCTAATGATAAGTTCTATTTTATTGATGCTGAGCACTGTCGAAACAAAGCTTTATTAGCAAAATTGACGCCGCAGAAACAAAGTCACGATTCAGCATTCAAGAACTTGTGATCAGCTTTTTTCCATGTCGATGGAGGTTCAAATGCAGTATGTAATAAACTTCTTTTTCGGAACATTTTCGTTTTCCCATACTGTATCAATTCATATGTCGCTGGCTAATGGTGGCCACTCTTTCATTGTTGTCCTTAAAAGGGAAAGCAGGTGATGAAGTATCCATTCATTCCAAAATGGCATTTCATATCTTGCCTTCAGATATTTAAAGTTTTTGAGCTTAAGAATGAAGGGTTTCTTCAAACCAAATTGTACTCTTTTTTAAAAAAATTAATGAAAAAAAATCATAAAAAAAATCAAGTACATATTCCGAGACTAAGATATAGTATGATAGATTTTAAGTTTATTATGTGAGTAAATTAATCAACAATTTTATTTTTACAACTTCCACAAGAATAATCTACTTTCCTTTTCACCATTCACACCTCAAACACAGTCTTCTTCGCATATGCAAACAAATCTTTCTTCAAATAACTCCTTATCATTGTCGAGGTAAGGCATGCCCAAATGGCAACAATTCACATCATCAACGAACTCTATACCTGAAAGTAGGCTAGCTTTGAATGGAGAACCTGTTTGATAACACTATTTCCTCCACAGGAAAATGTCGCTGGTAGATTATGCTTCATCCTCGGATGAATTAGAAGAAGCAAATGCCATTGACCAATATTCTTCTTCTCCAGTTGCAGCTGCTATGACGACAGAAAGTGTGTCAAGGAAGAGAGACTTTAAATACTACTCCCTCCGATTCTTATTATAAGGTATTTTGATTTTGTCATGAGTTGCACCTAGTATGTTTAGAAAATAGAATGATCAAACGGTCATAAGTTTCCAAATGTCACCTTCCTCAAAAATTCATACAAGTGAGATAGGAACATCGTGGTCATCAAACGGTCTGTTAAAAAAATAAAAAGGACATTAAAAAAATTACTGGTTTTGAAATTCGGTTTTGATTGTCTGACAAAAGAAAAATAAGAAACCAAAGACACGGTTCAAACTTAAGACTAAAAACCAAGAGCCTAGAAATAGGTAGCAAAAAAGCTTTTAAAACTATCTATTGGGGTCAATTCCAGTGATTTAACTAATCCCCCACCATAACTAAGCTGGATTTACCATATATGTAGGAGACTTGGAGTAAGTATCAGCCAATAACAACAATATTAGTAGTGATGTTGATAGTTTGTATTTCTTACACCCCATTACAACAGGCATACAATTTTGTCTCATTACCATAAAAATATATACTCTCTCCTCCGGTCCTTATTATAAGACATTTTGACTTTTCCTATTATTCACCTAGTACGCATTTTTAATTGGCAAAAAAACCTTAAAAACATTTCATAACAATCTAGAAAACACGATGAATGTGAAAATATATTTTTAAAATTTTTTTGTCAAGTAAAAATGCATATTAAGTGAAACCCAAGACAAATCAAAATGTCTTAAATTAAGAACCAGATGGATTACTATTAATGAAGCATGCATGAAAGGAGTATATAATTTGCCCCAGAAATGTATGACAAACTACATTGGAGTATCATCAACTAATATTTCTTAATGAATGGAACCTTCTTTTCCACGTTATCTTTTTTTTTTTTTTTTTTCATACTGCGTACGATGTCCTAAATGCATTGCACTCAAACTAATCCGCATCGAATCGGATCGGTCTTTTTTCGGAGAGAAAACTCTCCCAAAATTGCTCTTTCCCAGGTTTTCTACTTAAAAACACTAGATAAAATCATGATGTAGTCACCTTCCTAAAAAACAATTAGTATAAGCGAGATAAGAACATCGTGGTTGTCAATAATGTTAAAATAATTTAGACCAAATCACACAAACTTTTCAGCCTTGTCTCCCGCTGCTGCTTATATACTTCTAGAAGCCAAAAATACCCAAAGGAAATTGTTAACAACTTTCGTAAACACCACAAGACTGCAAAATGTCTTTTTTTTTCTGCTCATCTAGAAACCATCCCTTTCACTTAGAATATTTTTTCCCTTTATCTTTTGGGTTGGTTTTGAATCCGTACTCTTTAACTAGAATCAAACTTTTTCTATAAGTCCAAATTCCAATTCTAAACACTACTCTATAAAAGTATCAGAGAATGATGCATTTAGCCTAAACAGCCAATATTGCTAATTAACAGCTTCATATCTCTCTCTCTCTCTCTTCTCCTTCATCATCATAAACCTTCATATCAGCATTTTTCTTAGGAAGAAGATGATTTTTCTTCACGAACCGGTTGTAGAAAAAACTCAGACAGAGGAACATGGAATGATGTTATTAACAGATGATGATCAAGATGAAGATGATGAAGAAGATACGCTTTCATTTTGTGAATTCTCAATCAACAGCGACTCAGACTCGTGGGTAAATTCTTCTTCTTCTTCTTCATCCCAGAACTCAAGCTTCAAATCATCCAATGAGGAAGAAGAAGAAGACTCTTTTGAGTTCTTCAGCCATGAATTGGGCATAAAGGGCGGAAGTTGTTTACCACCATCATCCAATTATCCACCTCCAGAAAACATCATTTTCTGCGGCAAACTCATTTCTTACAAACAGCCCACCTCGGAAAACACTGATCCAAATGTCGAAAACATCAAATTGAGAAAGCACAGAAGAAACAATAAAAGAGGCATTCTTAGATGGAAATGGAAGAATTTCTCTTCACCCCACAACATAAAAACCCCATCCAAATCCGTTGGACTCGATCAAAAGAAGGAGTACTCATCATCACAAGTTGTTCCGGGCAGTTATAAATCATTGACCGCAAAAACAGAGTCCGCATCAGAACAGAGAAGCATTGCAAGAAACAACCAAGAGAAAGACAAAATGCCATTGTTCACTGTATCGACACCATCAAAATGGTATTTACTTTTCTTCGGAGTAACAAAATACAATCCCAAAATGGATCTGAGGGAATTGAGATTCAGGCAAAGTCGCAGTGGAAGCAGCTCATCATTACACAAGGAACAGAGTGCTCCAGCTTGCATAAACAGAAGTAATGGATTCTGGGCAGTGCTCAGAGCATTGAGTTGCGGTAATGCTGGCACCGGCGCCGCCGCCATTGTCAGACCTTCAAACATGGCAGCAGCCGGCGGATGCATCCCTTCAATAAATGTGAAACACTGACTTTTTCTTCTTTTTGAGAGCTTAGGTTGATGAATGATGTTACTAGCATTTGGACTAATGCCAGTTTCTTAGTTCAACCTTCAAACTTTCTAGTCAAGGCCTAAGTAATGCAATTTGTCATTCATCTGGCGAATATTAGTGGTCTAGAAAAATATAGAACTTTATGTTAGGTAGTGATTGATTTTGTAGCCACGAATCACCAGTAGTTAAAATTTTTGGCACCATTTTTGTGTTTGGTGACAAAAGCAATTTTTAAGCGTATTGTTTTGAGCCTAACCATAGCAATGAGCACAATGTCAAACCAGAGGTACAGAAAATTTCCTTTTCGGTCTTAAAAGGTTTCCTAAATTTGCCTAATGTACTGTTTTTCCGGGTCTGATGATATAATTCATGAATGAAGAAGTACCCGTACGGCGGTTCAATTTTGACCATTGCGGAAATGAAGTCAATCGGCACGTATACGGAGAACCATCTTAGTTTTTTTTATATCTTCTTAGTGCAGTATTGTTGCATTTCAATACAACCTTTTACAATTGTGAGATCAAAATCATTATACAAGGCCTATGTCTTGATTTTTGTTGTACTAAAGATGGCAGAGAAGTTGAGACTCAAGTCTCAAGGCTCAATTCGTACGTTATGGAGAAGAAGATACATATTACAGAAACAACATAATGCCATTAATAGAACATATTTTTTTGTTTGTCTGATATAAAGAATTTTGATTTTAGTCCATCGAACCGAAGAGTTTGATTAGCTTATCTGATAGATTATTAATTACATCTCAAACGTCAAATGAAATACTACTACTAATAAAGAGCCTTATGCAATAACTTTATAGTACGAATTGTTGATGAAAAGACTGAGCCAGATGCATTTTGAGGTATAAACCATAACAACGAACAAGGGATCTTCGGCATTGATGATTTTACCTTCTGCAAGTGGTAGATCTTTGGTTTCAAGTGGTTCCATCCATCATTGCACTTGATTTGCGAATATTCCTTATACACTGAGCAACCTAATGGGCTAATTTCATTCAATACTAGCTAATTCTTCAAAACTGATTGTTCTTCCTCTCCATTGATTAAAATCTCTTATAAGCTTATTGTCCAGGAAAAGAATAAATGAAGGAAAGTTGAAAAGATATTAATCTAGCAGGTTTCCCCAGCTGGAGAATATTGATGCTCCTGGTAGGTATAACAGTTTAATTTGGTGATCAACGAATAAGCTATTAAGGCCAAAAACAGTTTCATTTTCCTACACTTATGTTGCGCTAGAGAAAAAGGTATTTCCACATGCAAGAACGGGGAGTATCTTTGTAGTACAGTTTTATTCTGCTCCCTCCGTCCTATAATTATTGTCCAGTTTGAGTTTTCTAGTTCAAATTGTACTAAAAGTGAAATCTCAAACTGGACAATAATTTTGGGACGGAGGGAGTATCTTTTTTGAAACTGCAGTTTTATAGTATTAAAACAAAACAAGAAACTCAATTACATGAGAGTGGCCAACGCTAGCGTTGCCTTCGCCATCCGGTGGGCGTTTGCAACTGATAATGTAGATCTCCCTGCAGGTCGGGTATGAACAAAATCGAGAAAAAAAAAAACCCACTGATTTGGGTTTTATATATGTTGTCTTTGTGTCATCAGGGATTAAGTTCAAAGATCAATTACGTACAATGCCAACGACAAACTATTTGATGAGGATGGTTATACGGTGTGTACGTAATTCTAGTTTGTGTTTTGTTGTCATTTGACTAAAATGGAAGATTATTTTTTTATTTAATAGCATCTGATTAACTGAGTTTATTTAGGTAAAATAATTCCATGCCAAGTTTGTTGAACTATTAAATTTTACGTAATCCAAAACCAATACTTGTCGGAAGAAGAGCTGAATCTGAAATCAGTAACAACCAAAGGGTACATATTGATCTGCTTCCGGTGGATAAATTTTTCAAACATTAAAATACTGTAAAAATTGCACCTTAATCACGAGGTTTAAAAGAGAGAAGAAAAAATCTTGCTGAGCTGAGGGACAATTTTCGTCTGATACGTGATCAAGAAAAGGTCAAAACCAATTTTGAGCATAAAAGATCTCCACCCTGATATACATAAACAACATGAAGTGCAGGAAAAGAAGAAATGAGAAATATTGTGCTCTTTAATTGGTTTCTTTCTCATATTCAGAGTACAAGTTCAAGATGCGCATTCCTTTGAGTAGTGATATCACCCTGATATACATAGACCTTCACTGCTTGCGCCAGTTCATCTTTTGTTATGTCCGTAGGCAGATTTTCGATATAAATCGAGCTAGCTCTTGAATCTTCCCAAGCCATTTTGTTTATGCCAATAGAAGCAGCATTAGTCTTAGAAGTTCGTTCTTTTGCCCCTTTAGCAATATTTGACGTGGTTGCTGATTATTAGAACTTGGAGCCACTGTTTTTGGTTGCTGGTTTGCACTTGGAACCAGCGATATATGCGGCTTTTCCCTTTTTTGACATCACGGATGCATACGAAATTTTCTCGACCTCGAGTTTGTCGTTAGAAGCACTGGGAGGTATAGCATTCTGAGTTGAGGTAACGGGCGGAACATCATCAGTTGGTACCACAGTTTGTAAACTCTTGATCCTGGATCGTAGGATCGCACGATTCTACGATCTCAGGTACCTAAATCGATCCTGGATCGATTAAACTCGAATTTTGCAGTGGGATTGGAGTAGGATCGGTCAGGATCGGTTAGAATCGTACAAGATCGGTCAGGATCGTAGAATCGGTCCGAGTTTACTATTCATCAATTACAAAAAAATTAACTCGAATTTCGCAGTGGGATCGGAGTAGGATCGGTCAGAATCGATTAGAATCGTACATGATCGGTCAGGATCGTAGAATCGGTCCGAGTTTACTATTCATCAATTACAAAAAAATTAATTGAGCTTATTGAGATTTTTCTTTTCTCTTACTTCTTTTGGTTCACATTAAATTGAGGCAAATATTCTTTGAGAAAACTTTTATTGCTTTATATTTTAGAAAGTTATTCTAATAAAATAAAAAGAAAAACTATAAGAGAAGAGTTTTTCTTAAAAAGTTATGAAAAAATTCATATAAGAAAATTGAATTTATACAATTCTTTTTGTTTAGATGTTAAATACTTTATATAAAAATAATTAAAACCTAATTATCAAAGAAATTAATTATATAACATGTATAATTAATTTTACGATCCTACTATTCCGATCTTACTGATCCTGTTTACGATTCGATCCTATGACCCCATTTCGATCTTACGTAAGATCACGATCCTGCAAACATTGGTTGGGACTGCGACTTCTAGGGTTTTATTGACATTTTAGTGGCTTCTGCGGATGTGACTTCGTTTATGGGTTCAGCAAGAACATCAGTGTATCCAGACTCTTGAGCGGAAGAAACATGTGGAGCAACTGAATCAACTCTATCACTTTTATCAGCGCTGTCATCAGAACCAAAAGAAACCCTCAAAATTTCATGTGGGTTGATCACGCGCACCACTCGTTCCCTGTTTGGCTAGGAAAAATGTTTGAGAGATTAGCTTGTGATGTTGTCTTTCCCATGTAAACAGCTAGTAGCTGTGAGAATAACTCCCTCCGTCAAAGAAAATTGGGCATCAACGTTCATAACTTTGACCTCGCAACCCTTGAAATCCGAACCCTCAATAATTCCTTTTATACCATCAATGGTTGTCGTTGTTGTTGATGACTCAACGCCCCCCATGTTACTACGCTCTCATCTTGATAAAATTCGTGTAAAAAATGAGGGAGTTTGTGTAAAAACACGTAATACTTCTCCAAAAATCTATGAGAGTTTTGGCATCTGGCTTGCCCCCAGATACAGTTTACAGTTTTTGTTTTTTTTTCTTGATTTGCCATTTCTTGAAGAAGATAAGAGATCTAGATGGACGAAAAAAATAAAATAAAATAAATCAGAGAATAATCGGATGTAAAAAGAGCACAAGGAGGCAAGGTTTATATAGGAAGTGAAGGGACTCCTGGAAGGAAGTAAATTATAGGATTTCCTTTTCCTATTCGGTAATTGTAATTACTTTACCTTTTCCTTTTCTTTTTCGGAAATTTTCTTCTTTTTTTTTTTTTAAAAAAATCTTTTGAGAATCAGATCTGTTTTGTTTCTTGGTTTGGAGTTATTAGGTCGTATGTTGTTGCGCTGTTAATTTATAGACGTTTTACATAATCTTTTTTAATTTAATTACTGATGAAAACATATTAATTAATATTGGATTTTGTTTTCTCGATATTGAGAGAAAGATGATAATTAAAATCAGTTGTATAATAATTTGGGGAAATTTATGATGTATTAATTATTTAGTCCATCCTTCTTCTGAAAAAAAGATTATGTAGTTAACAAATTCAATTATTTTAGACTTTTGGTTATACTCCATGCATGCATTATGATGTCTCATTTAGGAAACTTTTGAGTCAGTTTTAGAATTTCAGTTCTTTGTTCCGAAAACAATCTGATTAACTAATCAAATTATGTTCAAAGATTCGAGCCTCTACCTTATATTTGTGCGGTAATATTAATAATCTAATAATTGTATCTGGGGTAGTGATATTACCAGTGCAATTATTAGCTGTTAGAGCAAATTTTGTGTGTTATGTCTAATTTGACCTCACTCAAGTCAAACAAAACTCCTCCTCCTTCCATGCTCTCTTCTAATCCAGATGACCTGAGTATCGTCCACATGATTTTTCTTCCTCTCTGCCTCATTGTCATAAATTTAAGGAAAAAAAGTGAGATTCTCAGAAGGTTCCGTTGATGAGAAGGGCCATCGACGGCGGGTGGAATTTTGCCGCCATCAACTTGATGGTCTTGTGAGTTTTTTTTTTTGGCATTCGTTAGATGATTAAATTGTTAGCGAGTAGAAAATATATAATGAATTTGGGATTGCTATTCTTCTTGTCCCAAATAATTATTAGTCAGCTTTTTATTCTAATTTTATTTGGCGCGGGTAGAAGACTCCTTTTAGAACAAATTGATCACATGTTGGAGGAAGATTCGTAAAAACAGGAGGAATATATATGAGCATATAATACATTGATACTTGAAAACTGGAATAAGAGCGAAACTTTACTGTTCGAGATTCAGGGGATAAGGCTTATGGAATAGAAGATAAAGATTAGAAAGGGAATAACAATTAGACTTAAATAATGGTAAATTAGGAAAAACATATGAGATTTGCTCTGGCAGCTATTATTTGCACTGTCATTATCACTAATTAGGGCTATTCTTTTGGAGAAAACCGACCCGGATTGATCCGAACCGAACCGATCCGTTATTTTGGTTCGATTCGGAAATGAGTCAATTTTTTTGGATCACAAATGGTTCGGTTCGGTTTGGTTCAGTTCAGTTCGGTACGGGTCTAAACCGAATTGACTCAAAATGAACCATTTTGCTAGTGATGACATCATTAAAAGTGACGATGATATCATCACGTCGGAGACGGTCACCAATCATCGAAAAAACAAATTTTCCGGCAAAGTGACCGGCTATGGTCCTTCAGATTCTATGCGGGAAGGTACATTTATAAATTGAGTACATTTTTAATTATGCTGTATTGAGACAATTATAACAGCATTAAATAAAACATGCAAGATTTGGTAGTTTTGGATTAAAGCGTCAAGTTTACACGCACAAAATATTACTAATAGCTATAAGTCGATTCAATTGACCAATTACACGCACAACTCTGCTGATAATTAGTACCACTATATATATATTTCACTTTGATTCAATACTATTTTAGATACACCTCAAAGTAACATGGACCTTGAATCTTTTTTTACTCTTGTCATCTATTATGTGTACTGTTGCATAAGACCTTTCCCATTTTTAGCTTTAGGATAAGAATATTACATAGTTATTCTTGAACAATTGATGCATGAAGTTATTCTAATTAATTACATTGAGGCTTAGGTTTTTTTTTTTTTTTGCTACTGATGTTGCAGATTAATTTTAGTTTAATCAGTATGTTTAAGCACTAATCTTATGATCACAAACATAATCATCATCTAGCAAAATTCAAGGAAGCGGTGTGAAGGAGATCCTTCAATCAAACGTTACGAGACGGGTCGATAGCAACATGAACTGGAACACTACGAGGAAATAGTACCGAGTTTTTAAATTAAACAAACAGCAACAACTACTAAGTCCATATAAATTTTGCTATTCTTCATTCAATTTTTTTTTTTTTTTTTGATTTTCAGTTTAGAGTAGTCTCTTGAATGTTTTGTAGCTGAAAATAGTCTCTTGAATGTTTTATATATTTATTACATGTATTTCTTATTCACGTGCAATGTGTTTTTTAAAGATTCAACGTTTGGAGTGTAAAGTTTTGAAATTTTAGGCAAACTTTCAATCTTGTAATATGTTACTAATGTATATGTCTGAGAGAACCAGTTGCTTCCTCTATCTATAGTTTCCTCGAGTTTATATATATGGTGTTGCTACACTTTTTTATTGGATAAGTTTGTTGAATAAGGATTAATCTTTGCTTCCTTAACACATTTCTTCTTGTCTAATGATGAACTCCCTCATATTTATGAGTTGGAACTAATCATAATAATGATAATATTAAAAGGACATTGTCATCATTTTACTTCACTAACAGCCACTATTCCATTGATGTAGGAAATCCAATATTATGTCATCATTCTATTGGTTTTTTTTAAATATATGGAAAAAAATCCAATATTATGGACTCCAAACTCACGAAAAATAAAAGAAAAGAAAAGATGTAAACTACAAAAATTTGCACAAAAAAGGATAGAAAGGTTTAGAAGATGTAGAAAGTGTTTAAAGCTAGCAACTCAATCGGTCATCTCTTTAATAACTCTATCCTTTCGATTTATGGATAAAACGGCTAGCGAAAAGGCTCCAATGAAAAACTAACAAAGCTCCACAAGTCGAAAAACACCTATTCTACTCGCATGCATCAACAAAACACAAGCTTGTGTGCAATGCAACTAGTCCTCAAAAAGAATAGAAAAAAAACAAAGAGTTTCCTCTCGTCTCGTATTGAAATATCAATTTCATCAAAAGGTATCTTTAAAATGCTGGCCAAGCACCCCTATTTATAGAAGAGGGGGCCGAAAATTCTCCTAACAATTAGGAGAAGAGTTTGATCTCTAACTCTATTCCTATTTTAAAGAACTAGAAATCAACTTAACTTCTAATTAACAACTTGTGTCTTATCTAAGAAGGCAATGTATCTAGACACCTTTATAGACTTAAGAAACACTAGTCTAATGAAAATAAAACTCCAAATACCAAGAGATATTCTATCAAAAGAATCTTATCCTTATCTTGAAAAGGATAATATATTCCGAGTGCATAATATATTAAAAAACAGAAAAAAAAAATCATACGACACTCTTAATTTCAGACGATGAGTCTATAATATACCAAAAAACGAAAAGAAAAAAAAAATCACATAACACTTTTTGCCAAAAAAAATATGATTATTGAATGTCACATAAAAATATCTTAAAATTCGTACAGTGCGGGCATAATTAGTAGCAGACTTTTCAACAATAACAAATTCTAGGAAATGTTAATTATATAATCTTTATCCGGACATCAGCAAAATGCTACCCACAACACGATCCAACTCCACCCACAAAAACGTGATATTGAAAGAAAAATATTGAACAAAATAGTTTTAACCCTTATTGTTACATAGCAAACGTCCGTCAGTTGTGCCATGAATCATCTTCCAACATGTCGTAGTTCATTTGCAACAACGTTCCAATGTGAAACATGTCGCAGAGGAGGGTGTGCCCATTTTCTGTAATACAGTGCACCATTAAGTAGCCCCCAGTGTAGTAATCATACAAAGCAGCCATGCAAATAGCAGGACTCGCTAAGTCTGCTACTTTGTCAAGGCTCATTCGAGGCTTGGAACTACATATAACAGGGTGAGCCATCTCACCACCACTTCCACCAGCTAAATGGACCCTTGTTATCGGGGGAATAATACCATCCACCAAAAATACTTGAGGTCCTTCTGAGCCCCAACCGGCAACTAAAATTTGTAGTTCCTTCTCAATGTGATCCTTATGTGCCAATATGCTCTTCTCTCTTTCATACTTTCTCCATTTGGATACATGCCGGTGCAGTATTTTTTATGCCTGTGAGGCGGGCAAGTCTTCCCCATAACTCTCATAATATGTCCCGCAACTCTTACGCAATTCTAAGATGAACTTTTCACACTGCAGAAATTCTCCAGAAATTGCACAAAGCAAACGGCGTCCGAGACATTTGATTTTGGAATAGGAGGAATTGACCAGTTCCAATTTCCTTGATTGGGTTTCAAAGGCGGCTCGTGTATCAGCGCCAACGATGATCATTCCATTATGAATAAATGCCAATGCCTCCCTTAGCTCTGCGTGCATTGGAATTTTGAGAAGCATAAGCTCCGGTTGCATTACCTTTCGGGAGATACATGTCATCCAGGCTTCTTCCATGACGAAGAAACTCCGACTTCTTAATCAAATTCCCAGTCTGCATAATGAAATACACCTTTGATTAAAATATAAATTTATAGGAACCTGAAATGGTGACTAGGAAGTAGGGCTGTTCCATCTGACAGAACCCATCAAAAACCAATCAGAACTTTTAGTCAGTTGAGATAACTTTGAAAAACGGAATTGCTTCGACTGGTTCGGATCAATTGTCAATCCCAAGTGAAACAAATTGATCCAGAATTAACTAAATTAGAAAATAAATCAATTGTTGAAATTAACACCCATATGTCAGTCACTATTTACCACCAACCTCAATCAACGAAGGTGGTTAACTACTAATTACCACCGACCTCAATCAACGAAGGTGGCTAACTACTTTTCCCGGCAGAGTTGACGGAAAATTGGCAAGAATGAGCCAACCAATGATCCGCTGGCCAACGTCGCCCACATCATTGAAGGGAATGATAATGCCACCAACACTACAGCGATGGCATCATCAAAGTAAGGGCAGGCTGACGACATTATGGTGGGAAATGGTTTGATTAGAATCAATGTTGCTGTGGTCTTCAGCTAAACCCACAATGATCAAATTCTAACCAAAACAGAATGGAACAAAAGAAGAAGGAATACTAAGTTGGACACATAACAAAGAAACGTGCATGAATGCAGTAATGGGCAAGATTCAATAGAATGCAAAGGAAGCTATTTTTCTGGTTTCACACAAGAGGTAAACCTAGACTGAGGTACTAACAGGGGGTGTTGGGTTTCTCATCTCCTCCAACAAATATAACTATGCCTGTTAAGAATTCTGGAGTAAGATAAGGAATTATCCAAAAATGTCCTTGTCGCAGGTAAATGGACCCAGGAGATAGCTAGAGATAGGTAAGAAAACTTCAAGAACCAGCTACAGGAGATAGCTAGAGATAGGTAAGAAAACTTCAAGAACCAGCTACAGCAGAATATTACGAGATGCAGGTGTGCACGTGCAAGACTTAGTTTACGAAGCAATCACGATTCACAAAATTACAGAAAAAAAGAAAAAATTACATAAAGACAAATAAAAAAAACTACAGGTGACCAAAAACTGAAAAAAAAAATGGCTCAATCTCGTCCAAAGAATTTATCAGTATAGAGACATGAGCTGAGTAAAACTTCAGACAAGATATTGCGATGTACTAAATGCATATTCATCTTATCATCTTATAAGCATACAGGCAGGTAAGAAATTTTAAATAACGTCATGTTCCAGGGAGAACAAGGAAAATGACATACCTCTATCATCTCATGTTCTTCAAAATCATGGATCTCTGGTACAGGAGCTAACTTTCTTTGCTTCCCTGTATTCTTCTTCTCTCCAATGTCGCTTGAGAATTTTGGTTGCTCCAGCAACTCATCTTTATTGGTGACATCTGGTTGCTCCAGCAACTCATCTTTACAGGCGACATCATAAAAACATGAGGAAGGCTTCACCTCAGAGAGGATTTCAGCAGTGTATCCAACTTTCTTCCTCCTACTCTTTTTTCCCTTAAGCGACTTGGACCTCTCCGAAACAACTGTAGCTTTACAAGCCTTTGCTTTTCTCACTCTCTACAATACACAGTTACAGACATCCTAGTAAGAAAGGTAGTTTGATAAAATACAGAACAGGCCAAAAAAGAATAACAAATATAAATGGAGATTTTAGTTCATCACTTGAATATTCGAAAAGGAGAAATTGGGAAATCCTCCTCCTACAAATGAGCACATAAAGGGAAGGAATGATACCACATACAAGTAAGTAAACTAAATTTGTTAGAAATCATGGACATTGACAAATCAAAGAACATGTGAAGTTCCCATAAACATCGAGAAACAGAACCCATGTGATTAATGTATCATTTACCGCCAAAAAGTGAAGTTTTGCTAAAAAAAAGTTTGTTAAATTTTACTTTCTCCGAGTTAAACTCTGAAACCCTTAGTTATCAATTATGAAAACAAACCCACAAACTAGAACATGGATGCCTGCCTTAGAAAAAGGTACGATTTTGACTCGGCTAGGAATCACTGACTAAACCAGCAGGAATTCTTAAGCATGATGAGCCAAACAACAGAAAACTTATAGATTTCAAATATAATAGATTGATCGTCCAACATCACCAATGTCTCTAATTAAAAACAAAAAACAAAAAAAGAACAATAACAACACCATCAAAAACTCACGAGGTTACCTCTTCACTGTAAGGATCAAACGGCTTACCCCAGCTTAATCTGGGTCGCTCATCTTTCGATCTGCAAGCAAGTTGGGAAGAGAGATGCCTCATATTTTTTTCGCAGGAATTCACAAGAGATCTTAGCAGAGACCCAATGGGGATATTTGTAACCCTAGCAAACTGAAAACCGAGCGTTTTGTTCCGTGCGTATTTATTATTAATTATATACTAGGGTTTGAGTTTCATTGACAGAATTGCCCTCCCTTAAATTGCAGGTGGTGCGACGACGAAAGTTCCTGTAGCTATTGAGGCTCTCCCTTTATATATAAGTAGTAGATATCTATCTAATTATGTTAGCCTTTGAAATATCGGAAAATTTACTTATTTATATTTCAAAAAAATTTTGAAGAACAAAATAGGTCTAGGGTTTTGACTGTCGCCAAAACTAATTCCTTCGCGCTTCAAATACGCGAAAATAAGCAAAATCGCATTTTGATAACGCTAAAAAACAATTTTCGCATTTTGAAAACGCTAAAATTCAATTTTCGCATTTCAGAAACGCTAAAAATAAGAAATTGTAATTAATTTAACTTAATCATAATTAATTTAACTTAATCGTAATTAATTAATGGTAAAAAATTGATTAAATACAAATTCGCGTTTTTAAAGCGTGAAAAAAATAAAAACGAATATTTTATTTAAATAAAAAAAGGAAATAGTCATAAAAATTTGATTAATTTGCCTAGTTTAAAAATTTCTATGGTCAAAAAATTATTAAATTTTAATAATGAAATTAAAGGAAAATTTTAAAATTATAATCGATAATCATTAATTTTTGAATAGAGCTATAGAGAGGAAAATTATATTGATAATTTTAATAATAGGAAATTAAATTTTTGAATAAGAATATAATATTATAATTGATACTCATTAAATTAAATAGAGCTATACTAAATATAAATTATTAAAAGTATGAAATAATTATTATAATGTATTAAATTTTTAAAAATTTATATCAAAAATTTAATAATGATTATATAAAAAAATTATATTAAATTTTAAAAAAATTATATTAAAAATTTAATCATTATTTTATAAAATAATTTTATATGAAAAATTTTCAATAATGATAAATGACGTAATTTTATGGATTTAATTAGATGTAATTTAATTTACAAATTTTTTTTATTAATTATGACGGTTTCAATATAAGAAAAAAGCTTAAAATATGAATAAATTTTATTAAGTATTTATTATAATTTACCAACGCTTAAGATGAAGCAACTATTTTCTCTTCTTTGGAAACCTCATAGGGGAGACAGCAAAAATGTCGAAGCGAGGACGCGGAGGATCGGCGGGTAACAAGTTCAGGACGTCTCTGGGTCTTCCAGTGGCTGCGACGGTGAATTGTGCCGACAACACCAGGGTAAAGAACCTTTACATCATTTCAGTGAATGGGATGAAGGGCAGGTTCAACCGTCTCCCTTCTGCTTGCGTCGGTGACATGGTTATGGCTACCGTCAAGAAGGGTAAGCCCAATCTCAGGAAGAAGGTCATGCCCGCAGTCATTGTCCGCCAGCGCAAGCCATGGCACCGAAAGGACGGTGTCTACATGTACTTTGAAGATAATGCTAGAGTGATTGTTAATTCCAAGGGAAAAATGAAAGGTTCTGCAATCAGTGGTCCCATTGGAAAGGAGTGTGATGATCTTTGGCCTAGGATTGCAAGTGCTACCAATGCGATTGTTTAATGCACCGCATCTTAATTTTGAAGAGAACTATAGTTTACTGAATGTTTATTTTAGGTATCTGGTACTATCGTTTTGTGGATGTGGTAATTTTAATAGACGGTTGGTATGTAAGAGCTAAGAATTACATCTTTTGTTTGGATAAACTAAATACTTTTGTTGTTTGTTTAAAAAAAAAAAAGATGAAGCAACTATTAATTATTAAAAAAATATGAGAAAGTTTGAAGATGTGTTTAGATTTGATCGGCGAAGATGTGTTTGATAAATATTAATAAAGTAGCAATGATGCAGGTGAAATCAAACTATTAAGAATATTAATGCAAGTCATAACAAAATACTACAAGTCATAACAAAAGGAAAAAAAAACAAGTCATAACAAAGGAAAAAAAAAACATAAATGAACAAAAGGAAAAAGAAAAATACAAGTATAATAATACTACATAAAAAGTCTAGTACCCTACTTCTTCTTGGGCTTTTTAGCCCGAAAATGGCTATAAGTCAATCTATCGGGCTCCTTTGTCACTCTCTGGCCTTTACTCACAGCCAACGGTGGAGTCCTTAGAGTCTGACTCGATCCCTGCTCCTCATGGCGCTGATAACCCTGACCCTCAAACTGATCGTGCGGGTCTGCATCCTCAACCTCATCCTCATCCTCATATTCACCCTGACTCTCACGCTCACCTCCAGCTGGGTCATCAGCCTGATGCTGACTCGCAACACCCTCGAACATACTCGAAAAAAAGTTACTTGTGTAATGTATCGACTGACCATCTAGAGAACTTTGCTAGAACCCAGAAAAGTCAATAAAAGAATCTCCAAACTGAGGCTGAGAAGTCTGAGGGGAGGAAAACTGAGTGAAGGCAAAATGGGACTGCTGGTGCTGGGGAGACATAATGGGACGGTAAAACACCTGTTGGTTCGGCGAAGAATGATGGGGAGACTGATGTGGAGACTGACGGGATGAATGATGTGGAGAATGTGGAGACTGATGGGATGAATGTTGAGAAGAATGGTGTGGAGACATAAGTGGAGACTGATGGGATGAACTGTCAGTGAAAGGGATATGAGACTGCTGATGCTGGGAGGACTGATGTGGCTGAGTGGGCGTGATTGTCTCTTGCCCCCCACGCCCACGCTGAGACCTGCGCGAACGCCTCGGAGGTCTGGGAGGTGGATATTGCTAGGTCGGGTCACAGGTGCAAGTTCTTGACTCAAAATGTCATTAACCTCAACCTGCCTCTCGAGATCGTGACGTACAACATTTGTTGCATTGACGGACAACGCCCGCTCAGCAACCTGGGCAATCTCGCCTAAGCCATTATAACCAAAGGAATCCTTGTCGAAAGTACGCTGGCCTATAATACTCAGACTACGAATGTCCTCCATCAAAGTGGCCTGAAATTTTTGTTAGAAAGAATCGTAAATCGATAACAATGAAAATAAATTACATAATGGACTGTAGGCGAAAGAAATTGTACGAAAGACTCACCATGAGGCGGAAGGTCTCTGCAGAGCCGTGAAAACCCCTCGCATTTTCAGAGTCCGTCAGATCCGTAACATACTTTACAGTAACCTGATGGTACCACAAGAGATACTCCGGATCTGCTGTAGGCTCACCAACATAATCATCATCAGTCCCGACAAGTCTGCCGTGGAGATCATTCTAAACCTGGAGATATATCCCTAGTTGTTGTATTCATCTCCTATCAGATCCTCCAAACGGCTTCCTCTTGAGCAGGCTAGTAATTTCTCCCGCAGTCAGAAGCAATGCGTCGCCGGGTATCCGCCAGTGATAACCAAATTGGCAAAATACCCTACTGGGGTTGTGTGGCGCAACGACATCACCGCAGATGAGCCATGTCTGAGATCACCAGATGCCCTGTCCCACAAGACAAACTCTGGCAATACGACCCAGAAGAGTCGTGTACGGCATCCATACAAACTATAGAGGTAATATAGTAAGAGATGCGTAATTAAAAGTCCGGCACCATTAAAAAAATCCAATAAAGAATATGTTACAGTAATTGAAATGAATACTAACATCTGACTCTGCGAGAACTGCAAGCTGATCCCGGTAGGTGGCCAAATTGAACCACGTGATACCTTGAACTTTTTTCTCAGGGGACCACCTGCACGGAAAAACTAATATTAAATTGAGACATGACAGTACAAATCACAATGTCAAAATGTCTGGAGGTTTGATATATAAGATTACCTCATGCCCAATGGACAATGAGAAAGATCGAGCTCCCCACCCAATATCTTTGGCTGAACCGTCAAAATCCGCTCCCAGGCCCAGAGCTAATTCAGAATTTAGGGATCATTAGCTAATATCACAAATAATTATGGGAGAATATAAAATGAAAAGAGAGAGAAATGAAAAGATAACATACCTGAAGAAGAATCACACAGCCGGTAATAGCCTTTGCAGAAGCGGCCAGAGATGACTTGGACATGCTGCGGTACAAGTAACATAGTGTCGCGCTACCCCAACTGTACTCCGAGAAAATCTCGGGAGTATGCAGAAAATGCACAAGATCGAGTGGAAAACTGTTTCTCGTAGTGTTAGAGAACAGTAATCCGCCAACTAGCCATCCAACACAACAACGGACTTGTTGTAGGTGTGCCTCGTCGGGGGACTGGTCCATCAAAGGATTGTTCTCTATGTGAGTCTTTATTTCAGTGATGGAAACGCTCGTCAATCTGGACTCCTCTGTCTGGAACCTAAATCCAAACATCCTCTCCAAATAGGCAGCCCAACCACCTTCAGGCATTGTATGATGTCCTGTAACCAGACGTCCATCAACCCGAAGCCCCAAAAGAACCTCAACGTCCTGCAGTGTGATAGTAGCCTCCCTAAAAGGTAAATGAAAAGTATGGGTCTCTGGGCGCCATCGCTCCACAAGAGCTGTAAGCAGGGCATGGTCACATCTTATGGACCCAACTCTAGAAAACGGTCCAAAATCAAATTTCTCAATGTATTCCTTTGTCATCGTCGGTGCATCTTTTATATATTTCCATGCTGCTATATCTACACGCCTGAGCTCCGAAATCCCTATATCATACTTTGCACCATGGAATATATTATGTGACCTGTGGGCGTTTTGGAGGAACAACAAACTATTGTCTCTAGGTCCCTGCCGTAGCTTCTTTGAGATAGATTGGGAGGAAGAAGATAATCCAATGTCCATAGCTATAACAATTTACAAACAATTTTAGTAAGTACGGATTAATATTTATCAATATTTATTATCTTATATTTTAAAAAATTCGACCCTAAATTTTAGTAAATACGGATTAATATTTATCAATATTTATTATCCTATATATTTAAAAAACCAACCCTAAATTTTAGTAAATACGGATTAATATTTATCAATATTTATTATCATATATATTAAAAAATCCGACCCTAAATTTTAGTAAATACGGATTAATATTTATCAATATTTATTATCCTATTTCTTAATATAATTATCTATATATATTTAAAAAATCCAACCCAATACCCAACCTTATAAACCCAACCCCCTAAACCCCCCTCTAAACCCAACCAATACCCAACCTATATACCCAACCCTCTAAACCCACCCCTCTATACCCAATACCCAACCCTCTAAACCCAACCCAATAACCAACCCCCCACACCCAACCCAATACCCACTCCTCTACACCCAAACCCACTTCTAAACCCAACCCAACCCCCCAAACCTAAAACCCCACAACCCTAAGCCCACCCTGCCGCCTTACCCCCTCTAACCCCCTGCAAGTCCCCCCACTCCCCCCGCCGGCAACCACCCTCTAAACCCACAACCCCGACTCCCCCGCCGGCAATCCCCGTCATAACCCACAATCCCGAATTTTAAAAAAAATTCACAACTACACCACCTATAATATTAGATCTATTAACGGAGTATTAAATTGCGACTTAAAAAAAAAAACCAACACAAAATTTTTAGGATTCGGAATTAGAAGCATGAATTTAAAAAAAAAACGATTAAATGAGAGCAAAATAACAACTTACCTCGATATATAACCCACAAAATGCAAAAAATTGACGCCGAAACTCACTTCCGGCAACGATTCTTCAAATTCGCCGGTTTCTATGGAGTCCGCCGGCCACCGGGAAAGAAAGAAATCGAATAAATGAAACGCGAAAACTGTGATTTAACCCACAAGAATTCGCGTTTCAGAAACGCGAAAACATTTTAAGTACCACAAATTCGCGTTTATGAAACGCGAAATGTATTTACACGTGATTTAATTCGCGTTTGTGAAACGCGTATAGTTTGTGGGTTAAATAACTTCACAAAAATTGGTCGAACGATCGAAAAGACATAAATCTCCAGTCCATTATACTGGAGTCCAAGTCCTGGACTCTTACCTATTATGGGTAATTTGGTAATTTTGACAACTAATTTTATTTAGACAACTAATTTAGCGTTTATGAGAATTAAGCCAACTTTGTTTATCATAAAATGAATAAACAAATAACTAGTTTTGTTACATAAACACGAACCCTAAACCCTAATACAAACACTAACTTTGTTTATCATCCTCATTGATTTATTACATGAATATTCAAAACAACACCCAAATACAAACACTAATAGAATCATCACTACGAATTCCATATGGATCGTAAAGTCCTAAGATAATTAGTGCTCACTTCGTCCCAAGATAATTAGTGCTTTATACGACATGTATATAGTAATAATTAGTACTACATTTTTAATACATAATGACGAAGACCGACATTTTTTTAAAAAAAATATTACTAATATAAATTGAAAATAGTTGGTGTTTAAAGTTAATTATATTGGAGTCCAAGTCCTGGACTCTTGCATAAACACAAATTCACGTTTGAGAAACGCGAATTCTATGTAAGGCAGAAACATTTCGCGTTTTAGAAACGCGAAATATATTTAAACCGGCCAAAATTTCGCGTTTTTGAAACGCGAATAGTGTGACTCACCAGAATTTGGACAAGTGGCTGAATCTGGTGAGTCATATACAATATACGTGAATTCTAAAACGCAAAATTTCCAGTTTTCCCTGTTTTAGCATTCTATTGATATAACGCAAAATTAGAGTTTATCACACAAACATCCAAACCAACACACTAACACAAATACAAACGCAAACAGAATCATCCTCTGAGATTTATTACATGAATGTTCAAAACAACACACAAATACAAACACTAACAGAATCATCACTACGCATCATCAGAATCATCACTACGCATCATCAGAATTGATCTTAGGCACACCACAAATTCCACATGGATCGTAAAGTTTATCAATAGCGGTCCTGTCAGCAGGTGGATGAGAAAATGGGCATTCCACAGCATCATGATCTAAACTTCCACATCGTGCCTATTCTCTCAACATTTTCAGGGTACAATTCCGGCCATTTATCAGCACAAAGATAAAGGAACCATACAGTATTATCATTATTAATGTGCACACGAGACCTTTTCCCTGACCTCTCCGTCCATACCAAAGAAAAATCAATATACAGCTCTTCTCTATCAACTTCCATCACACCACATACCTTATCAACAAGTTCCGAGAAATCTAACATACGATCAATGATAAGATAACCGTCCGGCGCATGACGCTGTACCGTGATAGTCCCACCAAGTTCAGTTGTATAAGTAGTATTCCAGTATACTTTCAGATGAACTGTCTCCGTGAAAGACATTTACGGCCTGCAAAATCAATTCCTACGAAATCAGAACACTAGAATACATTTTAAATTTTAGTTTTGCCGAAACAGTATTTACCCCATTTACAGATTTAATAATTTCAAAAGAACAACTATACGCCTGAATTTACAAATTCATTTCTACGCTAAAAATATTTTAAAAACTCAATCTGGGTATTATAAAATTTTTAATAAACCAATATACAATAAATTTCAAGAATCATCTAATTTAATAACAACACACCCAAGTTTTACAATCAAAGAATTTAAATTAATATTAAATCTAAACCTTGTGCCCGAATTACATAATTTATTCTTATGCTAAAAATATTCAAAAATTCAATATCATGTTTATAATTTTATTTTATTTTACAGAAATTGATATACAATAATTTACAAAGCTCATCTAATTTAACATTCTATTAACTAATATTTCTTTCAATTCACTTTATCAGCCTAATTAAGAATCCACCGTTAATTGAGTAAATCATAATTATTTATGAACTAATAATAATGCGTAAATCATTCTATGCTCACAATAAAGCATAAAAAAATTACATGTTTTCTATAACGAAAAATACAACCCTGAATGTTGAAACTTTGAGTTGTAAATTGACTTCAGGACTCAAATCAATCTTCTTTAACTTCGGAGCAACTTCTCAATTTGAAGGAAATGAGAGCTTTCCCGGATTCAGCCAAGTCCTCGGAGTGAAACTCAAATTCGGAGCTCAACAGAACAAAATAAGGTGGGTTTGGGAAGAAATACTGTTATTTTGTTATGTGTATTTTAAATTTCGCGCGTACAAAACGCGAATTCTTTCAAATCTTATCACCAAAATACACGTGGAGCCAAATGAGTGGTTGATGAGATTTTCTGGATATTTTTGCATTTTCAAAATGCTAAAACTAACTTTCGCGTTTTCAAAACGCTAAGACTATTTTTTTCGCGTTTTCAAAACGCTAAAATGACACAATATTCGGTTTATTTTCAAAACACTAAATTGTGCAAAATTAATTTTAAAATTTATTTTAAATATATAGTTTTTCACGTTTTTAAAACGCTAAAGCATTTTCGCGTTTTTGAAACGCGAAAAAGAATATTCGCGTTTTCAAAACGCTATTTTTTGTTTACCTTTTTTAATTCCTTTTTTTTCTTTCTTTTTTCCCGGATCAATTTGTGCAAATAATAATTTAATTTTTTTAATTCTATTAACAGATTTTGCGTTTCACAAACGCGAATTTTTAATTTAATTTTTTGTTTTCGCATTTTCAAAGCGCGAAAAGTATATAAATGTCTACTTTTAAAACTCTAGAATTATTTTCTCCTACAACTTTGGGTTTGAGACCCCCTAAAGTCAAACACCCACTAATATCTTATAACTAATTACTCCGTTATCTAATGATGTTAGCCTTTGAACTAATATCTTATAACTAATTAGGCGCCAGCAGGTTTTGTTTTTACCGCCTTTTCAGCGGATTGTCAAACCAGAGCAACAGAACAGTCTGAAACGTTGCCCTAAAAATGTAGGGGGGTTTTTTTGTGGGCCAATAATTAATGAATCAAGAAGGATCATAGGGCGGCTTATGAATTTAGAACTCCTTTGTCGTCTTAGTTTTGATTTCTTAAGTGTAGTTTTCATAAACCTCAAAAATAAAAATAAATAAACCTATCTTTTCAATGTTTTCATTAATTTGTTTTTCTTCGGATGAACTGCAAAAGAATCTCATTTAGCAAAACTTAAACGCAGCTAAGAGAGAATCTCATTAAAGAAACTCCAAAATTGGCCAGTGTAAATACACCGTCTCAAATGTCACCTCCACAGCTCTAAATAAGAATCAATTTTATGAAATCAATAGCAATTCTTTTTCCCCAAGAGAAGCGCATATACTACCATCTTCACACTTGTCGTGCTCGCTTTTGTTTCCTCCTTAAACTAGATGTTCCACTGTCAACAGCTCGCTTTTGTTTCCTCCTTAAACTAGATGTTCCATCGTCAACAACTTTATTGGCTGAATCAGAGCTCAAACGTTCATTTGCCAGTCCTCCTGTGAGTTGATCTTGTTCCAACTTTAAAGCTTTTTGCTTCAGCATGCTGCAGAAATTTCATGACGAATCAGTATGAGTTTGTAAACAAGAATAATGATGTTAAGCACTTAGCCATTGCTTCATCATACAACAACATGATGGGTAAAACTAAAGGCATCTCGTGACAATTGGTGTAAATGTGAAGACAACTCCTATTTACCTGACCAAATGCATTTCATTACATGAAGATCGGAGTTCAAAAAATGACATAGACATAACTATTTAACTCATGCAATATCTAACTAATCCCCATGCCACCCGAAACTTCTAATACTTGTCATTTCATTTCTTTTCGGTAATCTTGTTTGACCTTCTGCACTAAGCACACAAATTAGGGAGGGAATACTTGGTAGTTATGATACACCAGCCAATATGTGATTTCATACTTGCATTTTCAGCTGGTAACATGCTCAGAGATTGCAAAAACAAAGATGGCAAGTGACCCAAAGGCCCAAACACCAACTGTTAATGGTTACTCTGCTTACAAAAATTCTTGCATTGTTAATGACTACAAGAAACAATGGATATGCTCTAAAAGTGATAGTTCATTGAATAATAAAATCTGGTTTTAGCTCATCAAAAATATGAGAAAGGTGCAAGTACCTTATCTTATCCTTCTTGCATGAAGCTCTTAGAGCAGCTTTTTCCATGGTGCTCCTGTAGAATTGAGTAAATGGAGCATCTTTCCCGGACTTCTCCAGCTGCGGATTAATAGACCCATGAATTGAGAGCAAACTACTAAATGGAAGAGAGGTTCATCTTCAACCCATCCCAGGAAATCACAAGGAATTTCTGATTCTATCTCTCAAAAGTACAGGAAGAAGTTTATCAACAAATAGAAAACGAGAAATACCAGGAGAAACTGTTCGACGGATTGATGATCGTTTGGTGAAAAAGCCACTTCATCTCTTCTTTTCTGAACAAAATCCACATTATGCTCAACCTGCAGTTTAAAAGAAAGTAATAAGAACAGCAGTGCCAGAGAACAAAACCGGCAACTTGAACAGCCAGTTTCTCAGAACAAAAATCCAAACAAAAAACAGGGTACAATTTGAGGTACTACTCCAATGTAATTTGTACCCAAGGCATTTATCTGTTCTCAATGCTGAAAGTATCAAAAAACGTAGAGCCTAATAAGTTCGAAAATGCGAATAGATGAGGCAGCAAAATTCCTTGTTATGTGCAAACATCCGAGAACAAAAGAAAGTGAAGACATGCAGCAATTTTGAATAGGTAGAAAAGTAATTGGTCCAGTCTCCAAGCATTAAATCAATGACCAATCAAATCAATGACGAGAATTTTAAAGTCTGTTTGTGCAGAAAAAATAAAACCAATAACATAGACAACTGAATAAGAACCATAACCTGGTCAATGAAGCGCTTAACCAAACGGCGATGACCTTCATTAGAGGTGTTATCGTGAAACTTCCTTAAGCGAATAAGGGGAATAGTTGCTAACTCTGGAAAAGAAATGTGATAACTCCACTGAGCGAAATGTACACAAAGCTGCTCAATCACAAATAAAAGGCATTCCTCTTGGAAGGCTTGTGATTTTACAAAACTCTTTGGTAACTGCACAATCCAATAATTCAAAATCAGCAATTATTTACTAGACTCGGTAGGATACAAAGTGGCAGCATGTAAATGGAAAAATGAGCAGCAACATAAGCACAGAATAAATTAAATAATCACGAACCTTAAGGGTATTTGATAGGCCTAAAGAAACTTCAGAGTTTCTGTCTTTGACAGTTTTGTATTCTAACACATCCAAAACGTAAGATGCAACAGGAACAAAAATGCCACTTGAAGTTGAGAGATTATTAAGCCACTGAATGCACTTGATTCTCAAGGGCAGATATCTTGGTCCAGTGAATATGCAGGCAACTCCATTTACAAGCTGAATTGTCCTGAACAACAGAGCCTGAAGGTCAAACTCTTGTAGATTGGCCGTTACGAACTTAACCCAAAGATCAATGCAGTTCACAAACTCCCAACTGCATATCTTTTTGAGAGCTTCCTGAGGCATGAATAAGAAACCAAAATTATGAACAAACTAAAAAACAACCACCGCACGGGATAACATATAGTGTTTTGCGTAAAAAGAAAATCGTACATTTTCTTAAGAAAGTGCAGTTGACAAGAGTGGTCAATGGCATATTACAAAGAACTTTAATCAACTCATTTCATACCTTCTTCTTTGTTTGCATTCCCGACTGCACTATTTTGGAAAGTTGAGAAATAGAAGCTTGTACTTTGAAAGATGATTTTGGTACATCCAAAGAACAAAGCTCAACAATGCTATCTGAAAAAAACTGTGTGTTTCTCATGGTACCACTTTCAGAAGCTCTGCAATGATCCATATAAGCCACGAAAGTTTTAGCTAAGCAAGTCTCCAAATAATCACTAAATATAGCAGCCACGTCTCGTACAATAAGAAAGGAAGCTGCGGAAAGAACATCACCACCAGTTGCCCACAAACTGACGGTGATCTGCATCAGATGTATTTATGGTTAGCCAGAATAAAATAAAGAAGAACAAAGCAGGTGGGAAGAGAAAGAAAATGCTGAAAATAGGATCCCAAAACACAGAAGCTATATAAAAAATGGAAACAATGGAATTGTTATAATAGCAATGAGCAATACAATAAAATGGCTTCTAACAGAGACAAAGAATTCACAGCCTTCCTTCAGGCCTAAGGAAATTACCTTAATGAGCCTATGAAGTAGTGTCGGGAAAAATGTAAAGAACATCAGAGAAGCTTTTAGTCGGCTCAAAGCAAACACCAGAATATCAGAATCGGCCACTTGATTCAACAGAAATAGGGTACTCCTCAAGTAAGACTTAACAAGTGGCTTTAACTTCTTCCACTTTGCGGAGTTCTTCAGCTCATTCAACGTTTCCTTCTTGCAACTCTTGGCAGATAACTGCAGTTGACTCCTAAAAACATTATCAACCTCAGAAAGAACGAATACAACTATGCTGCAAAAGGCCTCACGGTTTTGAATTCGATGACCAGATGATTCAGCTCCATAGTGACAAGCTGCTCGATAAGCATTAAGTAGACAAGTAAGAGCAGGGTTGCTATTCTGTTCCTTAACCATTTGGCACCACGAGTAGATCTCAGCGCTTGTAAGAAACTTGCTATGGCCTTCCGCAACATCATTTTCATTTTCACTTTCATCTTCATCAGAGAACTGTGACAAGGAAATGATGCTTCTGTTAGTTGATAGCCATGAACACTTAACAACACCAATCAACAAAAACAAGCCTTTACCCCACTAAGGTCGTCTACATGGATCATATGTCACTATCGTGCTCGGTCGTCACGCATATTTTCATTTAATTTTAATTCCTTCTTGTCATTTTAAACATTTTTTCCTTATGTGTTTTTAGGTCTTCCCATTCCCCTTTTAAATTGAGTTAGCGATTCTACACTTTCAAATTGTCTAACTGGGCCAAGACCAATTAACTAAAAAGCTCAACAATTCCAAGCCAGATTAGCCTATTACACGTGTGTGAGCAGGCTTTATTCACTTTCCAGTGGCAGCCTCTCAGAGAAACAGAGACTATCAAGTAATGTACTTCACTTCTCACGATTGCTTCGAGGCAAGAAACCCATTCATGTCACATAATATGCAATCTGAGCCACTAAAATAAAAGCTTCCTAAAGTTTCTCAAGTGAAAAATCTCGGTGGTACATGATACCACTAAACTCAGACTGAGCAATTTTCATTCAAAACTTGGACTTCTCATCCAGAAGTTGTATTGTATGTACACCTAAAACAATATTTGTCTTGCTTGATGTACTTTATCAGAAATCTTTCCATAAATTGTAACTATCTCAAACATGGGTCTATACATCTACGGTTAAAATGATGGAAGAATAGTATAATAGATTAGCTAGATTGGAAATCTGGGATAAATAATCATTAACGATCAAATAAATATTCTACCAAAGTGAACTAACAATAAGAATCACAAACCGCTTTCACCATGAACAACCACAAACAAAAGCCTACCTTGTTGACATCCCCCCGAGAATTTTCTGTATCTTTGTAACTTTGCAGGAACTTACTGAAATCTGGATCCTGAAATTTTCCAATTGAACTTGATTTTTAGTACAAAAACAAAGTGAATGAGAAAATTCCAAATTTGTATAGGTGGAGGAAGAAACTGCTGGAAGAATTTCCAGCCTTGGAAAATTTCAGCATACTTTCCTTGTCAATATAACAACAACAAATACTGCAATCAAGAGCATACAGATAAAAAAGAACATAAAATTAAGTATATCTATTTTCCTCTTCTTCTTTTCTTTTCTTTTTTTCTTTTTTTATTTGGATTAGCACGTTAAATTTATCCAAACACAAGGATGGTAGGATCCTTAAATTCAGTAAAGAAAACTACAATACTTTTTAAGTATCATATAATCTCAAAATAAGTAAATACTAATAAGATGATGAAACAATATTTCTACCATGAAGGTACCCTTTCTCTTCCTAGTTTCACAAACTTGCATCAGCCAACACAAAACTTGTTCTAGCAGCTTTAAATGTCTCATAGCTCTTTGTTATCAGAAATACCAATATACTTGCTCTCCACATATGGTTAATATGACGGGTGAAAACAACATTTGTTAAAAGAGCAAAACTTTGAAGAGCAGAGATGTAAGTCAGCATTGACCTTCTTCTGTAATAGCTCCAGTTTTTTCTTTTGAATGGCGAGCTCCTTGCGGATCTCTTTATTTTGCAGCGATAGCTCGCCTTCACCTCCGTCCTCTGTGAATGACAACCATCCAGATAATGAAAATGATGAAGAGTGCAACTTATATAATCAAGAACGGTGATATGGGGAAGGAATAAACTCTACTGTGATATAACTTATATTCAGTTTTAAAATGCCTCACCCTCCAGAAAATCTTCCATTGCACTTCCTTCATTCTTTGGACAGCTGGAGTCCTAATTGAAGGCAATCGCATTGATCAGTACTCAATGAAAAAACTAATGCAATATACACTGAAAATATACTTAAAAAAATTACCTCTGATAGATATCCATCACTATCTGAGATATCTCCAAACACATCAGTGTCGTCTTTTCTGAACACGGCATCAAGAGAAGCATTTACAATATCTTCATCATTGTCATTTCTGCTAACAGAGAAAGAAAAATCAGAAATAACTCGTGAACTAGTATACTGGAATCAGTTCCAATCACATTCAACCAAGATTAAAAATACAAAAAAAAAAGGCCAAAAATGAAGTTTTCTATAAAAATCAAGAGAGTAGATGATTAAATAGAAAGCATTTCCTTCTTCTTGTCTAAGGAAAGTCAAAAGCATTTTGTTTCCTTTCCTCCTTTGGTCTCACAAACTGGGCCTTGGCGCATCATAATGGGACAAGGAACATCACTATAACGTACATGGTAATCAAATTACAAAAACCAAATAGAATGATTAGCACCAGCGAAGCTGACTATATAATGACATGTTAATAGCTAACCCAAAGTAATCAGATGGCGTAATTTCAGATACTTGCATTTCTAAAGCTATAATGGGCAAAATCACTTGATTCCAAGATGTGGCCATGTGCTTTACAGATTTGAAGTTTAAGCATTTTCGGGAAGATTCAAAGAAATCTGATATAAACCATCCATAATGAAGTACCCACCCATCTCACGATCAGGGAACAGCATGGTAAGGGAGAAAATGAAAGATATTTATATCTAACTCTTGCAATGAAAAGAAAAATATCATTTTATGATATCAATTGCTTCTACATAGACTGCTCAGAGAAAGAAAAACGTGTAAAGCAGAACATGAACATCTAAAGGTATCATGTGATTCAGCTAAAAATGAACTCTATATAAAGGGAAGGAAAGGTATGATGCATACTCCAAAACATCAAATGTAAGCAACAGCTTTGCATGATCACACAATCGACTGCAAATAAACGATCAAGTTCACCTTCTTACCTTCCACTACAGAGCTCTACTGTGTTGCCAGGTTGGTCTTCCACATCATCCCCATCATTTCCTGCACCAAATCATTCGGGAATTAACATCCTCTATGAAACAGAAACGAAAAAAAGAAAAAGAAAAGAAGCAACAGGTTGGGGTCTCAATTAGTTCTCTAGTTAATCGTCCACTGTATTTTCACCCGTAATTACACCTAAAATAATAATACCATTCTTCAATAAATCCTCAAACTGGTTCAATATAGAGCTTAATTTTCCAAATGCATCAAAACTATATAACCAAGCGGGCAACCAAAAGAACCACAAGCAGCTAAACCCTATCCTCAGCACATCATCCATCATGATTCAGTTGTGTTCCAATTGATATATAACCACGAAAAATACTTGGAAAGCTAGGTTTCAGTTCAAATTGCTCAATATGAACTCGCCGGCGCAAAGTATGTATACACCGGGAAAGACAGAGAGGAAAAAATTACTGGAGTATGATTTCTTCTTGGACAAAAAGGCTTTGTTCTTCCTTCTTTGCCGAAGCACGGATTGGAGATTCTTCTTCGCAAATTTCCTGGCTTTCTTCCCAAGCTTCCCCATCTTCTTCTTCCTTCTCGGTTTTCAATTTCTCCCTTTAGTTTCCAAGGGTTTTTCAGGGTTTAAGATTTCCGGGGGTTTGGGGGAAAGAAATAACAGAAACCTTAATGCAGGGTGTATTCTACAATTTAGAAAGTACAAAAATTGTTTCAAATTGACTATTTCAACCCCTTACATTTGAGTATTGAAAATTCCAGTCACCAATAATTTAGTTAACTGATTATCAAAAACCTCTTGACCATTGCGATTTGAAAGTTAATACTTCCTTTTGGCATTGTCACAATAGTTCAATGATTCTTACGGGGAATGTTTTGGTGGGTGATTTGAGGAATTTCCTTCTTTTGCTTGCAACAACTTTACCGTTTATTTTTACGACGACGTTAACTAAAATAATTAAGTTATATAGTTATAAATGCTCTTATTAGCTAATTTTATAGATACAAACCAAATCAATTTAGTTTATGGTATGATCAATCTTACAAGAAAAGATGGCATGAGGTGGATTTTACATTAAATTACCACGCCAACTTTTTCCACGGTTGATGAAAAATTACATTCCACTTTTTAAAAATTGGTCGGTAGATGAAAAAAATAATATTAGAAACAAAATATATTAATGTACATATTGGATTGAACGGGTTTGAAAATTTTCAAATGAAGAAGTGAGATGAAAATATAACTAAAAATTTAATCTCAACGGTGAAAGATTAATATTGATAGCCCATTTCTTTTTTTTTCTTGGTTAAAAAAAGACAAAAAAAAAAAAAAAAACTGATAGCCCATTTCTGTCATTACCATAATCCGCTTATTAATTACACTTCCCAGTAAAAAACCCTTGCCTTTCAAATGTTACTAGTACTACGAAGCTTCATTAAACAATCTCCCAACTATTATCTTCTGCATTACCCTCCACCACACTATCTGAACTCCTTAAACATCCACCATCGATATAGAGATCATCAACAAAAGTCATCTAATCCAACGGTCAGTACACATTCTCATCTTGCACCTTGACACTCCCAATATTTTTTTTTTTTGATAATATTATTATTATTTTCTCTCCACATTTCGTTGTTTTTTAAGTTCAACAAAAAAGTAATGCTTTAATTCACAAACCCCATTTTCTCCTGCTTCAGCTCACTGAGTCGCCGAGTCCAAAACTCATTGTTTCACTTGGTTTTCTCTACACCATACACACACTAACACACACATTATGGGGGAAAAAACCGAGCTCTGGAGCTATTCGATCTCATTCTGTTGCTCCATTCTTTCGATGATCTAAGCTGAAGCTGACTTTATTCCAGTCGAAATTGGAGGAAGAAGTTGTTTTGGAGGAGAAAATTTGTAGGAATTTTTTTTTATAAATTTTTTTCATTTTTTGGGGGTGGGAAGAGGGTTTAGAAATGTATAAAAACCAGCTGCAAGAGCTGGCACAACGGAGCTGCTTCAATTTGCCGTCGTATTCGTGTATAAGAGAAGGTCCGGATCACGCGCCGCGTTTCAAAGCCACCGTTAACTTTAATGGCGAGACGTTTGAGAGTCCACAGTACTGTACAACTCTTCGCCAGGCGGAGCACTCAGCTGCTGAGATGGCTCTTAACGCCCTTGCCAGCCGCGGCCCTTCTAACTCTCTAGCCGCCCGAATTTTGGTGAGTTTTCCTATCCTTTGCCATTTTTTTATTTTCTATTTTCTGTTAGCTGAGTTATTAGGGTTTTGGTTTGTGTTCATTTTGAGTTTTCTGTGCGTGCGCGTGTAATTTGGCCCGTGATTGACTGATTGTTGCAATGTGGTTGACTTCACGGAGTGACTTCTATAGTCGAAAAATTTGATGAAGATATGAAAGGGGAAACTTTTCTCCAATACGTGTGGACTTTGAAATGTCTGTGTGAATTTCCCTGAATTATGATTTATTGGATATATAGTGTCCGTCTTACCATATATCCAGTCTGCTGATGATAATAAATTGGTAGTAATGCCAATGGATTTTACAGTTAATTTGGGCGGGCAAACGTTCGTTTTTTGCATAAATTGTTATGCTTATTTTGTGCGAGTTCCTGCTGTGTGCATGTATTTTAATGAGTCATGAACCTTTAAATTTTTCGGTAGACACCGGCTTTTATGACTGTAGCCCTTCCAAGATAACAGATGTTGGTAAAAGCCTCTTCCCAATTGGTTGGCCGACATTTGAGTTCAATGATTTGATCCCTAGCATTTAATGATTCGTCTAATTTGACTCGTTATTGAGTATGGAGTTGCAGGAGCTAGGAAGCCGTTTGTCCCTTTTGTCACTGTCACTAGGATATTGTGTACTTGCTTTTTGTAGGGTGACGTTGGTTGAAGAACCCCTTTTGGGAATGTTTGGTTCTATGTATCAATAAAATTGCAGTATAGCAGATATTGTTAACTTTCTTAGCTCATTATGGAAGGATTTGTTATTTTCCTTCAGCTCATGAATGAAACGTGGCAAAGCCGGCAATATCCGTGACTCTTCCTAGTATGCAATCGTGGTAGGGCCAATTGCTTTACGTGCAGAAACAAATTAGTGGATACAATTTTCCGCTTTTAAAGTCCCCCTTAATTGACTTCCACTTCTCATCGGGTTCTTGAAATCTTACATGTAATACTTGGTGGCTTTCATGATCTGAATGTGTTTTAGCTTGTGTCTGGTCTTGAGCTAAGTAGGTGCAGCAATTAGTTGACTTTATTAATTCAGGGGAAGACCTTTTATGGTTTTTGGTAGTGTCTACCTCTTACATTATTGTGCATGACATTTACCGTTGCCTATTGTATATGAATTCATTCAAGGCATCTATGAAGTCCTCCTTTCATTGTATGAGCTACGGCCCATTGTTGTGCAGTACTACCCTTGTGATTGGGGATAAGATTGTTATACATATATAGATGTTGCATGTCAACAGTTTGCCTGTTGTTTTCTTGTCTTGGAGATGTCGTAGCTGAAATAATTTTTTAGATGCGTTGTTGGTGGGGCCATTTAGTACTTTATACACACTAGAAATATTTGCCCACATTTAAAACTATTGGAACACAAAATATTGTAAGGTTCCTTTATTCAGGATTGGATGTATAATTGATGAAAGATGCTTGAGATTTTTGACAAGCGTTAGTTTGATTTGTGTAGTTATGTACAATATTATTCCTTTATTGAAAATCTATTAATTGCTCAAAGTGTTTTCTTCTTGGACACTGGGGCTGCATTTGGCAGTATTCTTGAGGCCGCATGGTAATTTGTTTGGTAATTTGTTTGGTTTAGTGGAAACTATAAGGAAGATTACAAATACAATACAGTATGTGATGAAGCAACTTGTTTGAGTTCGGTACACCTTAGAAGTTGGAAATATTTGCCACTGTCCCGTAATTTGGGCGTGGTTTCTGTCACCTTCATGCCCCTCGTTCATTCGCAGAATTTTCCGTTTTGATTTCTGAAACACACTGTTTTACAATACCCCAAAAGCAAATAGAAATGTGGTCATCTAGATGAAACTCATTGGTTACTTAGTGCATAACCAGCGAGACTGTACATGAAGAATGGCTTTATATTAGTTTCAAAATGTTTAATACTCCCTCCATCGCATAAAAAAGGTTCACTTCAAACTTTTAACATTGTTCACTTCATGAGTTTGAATTTTGGAAGTACAATGTCCAAAACAAGCATTTTTTTCCCCCAATTATCATTTTGTTTGATAGTGAAACATGCGGTTTTTTACTAGATATGAGGGTCTCAGAGGTGACTCTTGTTTTGGGACAAAAAGCTTACTAAATATAAGTAATTTTGGACAAAGGCAGTAAAGCACAATCATGTTTATATTGGCTGGTTATGATAAACTCCTTTTGTTATTAGTTTCTAATGTATCTTACAAAAAGATGTCTAAATTATATTTTGCCATTTAATTGGACATAATATTCTGCAGGCAGTTGTTAGAAAAAAAGGAAGTTATGATGCTGATAATTTTAGGTCCTTTCTCCCTGTTCTTATTTGTAAGATTACTGTGGCCCATTTCCCTTATTGCAACAACAGCAAGCCTTTTTCCTTCTAGGTGGAGTTGGTTATATGGATCATATGTCGATCCTCAATCATTACATAAATCATATGGCCCATTTCCCTCATTGCGAATAAATATACAATATTGCTGAAATTGTGTTATTTTGTTAGTATTTGCGACTCAATCCTCCAACTCTTAGTTAATAAATCTAAATCGTAATCATTCTCTGCCAACTTTGGTATTAGGAAAGTATAAATAGTCCATTTATGTGATTGCTTTTAATTCAAATAAATGCAGACAACTCAGCGTTGCATTGTTACTATTTATTATTAGCCCCGCTCCATCTGTCTGATTCTAGTGCTGCCCTTATCTATATAAAACCCCTGTCCTGGCATCATAGGTATAACATCTGGTTTCAGTTGCTTGAGTTGCTACTCCGAGTAGTCCAAAATACTGAATCGTTAATTTGTTAGCAACAGGATGTTTAAGAACCAACTCCAAATGTTTGCTCAAAAGAGCTGCTTTAGTTTGCCTAAATATAATTTTATACGAGAAGGTCCAGATCATGCTCCTCGTTTCAAGGCTATAGTTAACTTTACTGGTGAAAACTTTGAGAGCCCAAACTTTTACTCCACACTTCGCCAGGCTGAGCACTCAGCTGCAGAGGTTGCTTTGAAAGCCTTTTCTAGCTGTAGGTTATCCAGCTCACTGGCTGCTAAAGTCATGGTGAGTCTCCGGAAACCCCTTTTCACTATTAGTCCTTGATCCTGTTATCTGGGTCAGTGTTTGTGTTCATGTGTGCATGGTCTTATTGTCAGTTCATGAATATTTAACACTTAAAAGTTGTCCGACGGTCCAAAGCCCCCATCTACACGCACGATTCTCGGTTAGCCTTTGTGAGTACATCAAGTATGAGACTCTGTTTCTACCTTGCTTTTGGCCTCAAAATTGCATTAGGATAACAGTGTGTTCACGTGTTAATGTTCTTTCTCATTCGCTCTATTTTTATTTATTTTATTTGTTTCTTCTCTTCTCTTCTTTCACCCTCTCTCTACTCCAAGACCTGCCAACATGCCCTTTGTTTTGATTGGTTCTATAGGAATGTATGCAAGGAAACAAATCCTGCAATTGTGGTACTTCCAGAGGGTTGGAAGTTTCTAAGCTAATTCAACAAGCTTTTCTATTATCAATTTGTTTTTGGAGACTATTGAATTGGGCCAATTCCTCTATATCAAACCTTATGAGAGTGTTGATTGGGCTTAATTAAATTGGATTAGGAGTAAGCTTCCAGAGTCCAGACATTTGCATTTCTTTATAATTGGCTAAGATGTCATTACCATCTAACCAATTTAGTTCAGTTACTGAGCTATTTGTTTGTTTGTTTGTTTGTTCTTTTTTTTTTTTTTTTGAGGAAAAGCTATTTGTCTGTTACTTTAGACATCAAATCTCTTTTTGGTATTGCAATTTCCGTAGTTTAAGAGGGAACGTGTGAGCAATTTGCCTGGTTGACTAGAGATGGGAACACATGCATATAATTGATGTTATTGTAAAGATTTGGGAAATTAATTCAATAGACCTTTAGGATTTGTGGTTTAGCAATTATGATATGGGGCTTCCTTCATTGCCTTCCAAACCTTCCAGTATTCTGTCAGCCATGCCTTTATATTTGCTTGTCATTCCTGTTCCATTCTTTGGCTAATTTAGTGTATGTCTGAAGCATTTGTTCATCTTAAGATTGTATGTTTCATTTTCCTGCCAGCCATTCGAAAATAGGAATAGGGAGGTGAGGGGGTAATGTGCTTTTCCAGAAACTTCCTTTCTAATGATTTAACATTTTCCTTTAAAATGTTGTGACGTGGAATATTTTCTCTGTTGGGTTTTGCAACTTGCAGGACGAGACAGGTGTATATAAGAATCTCTTGCAGGAGGTTTCTCAAAGAGTTGGAGCGTCTTTGCCAGTGTATGAAACTTTTAGATCAGGCTTGGGTCACTTACCAGTATTTACATGTACTGTAGAGCTGGCAGGAGTGATATTCACCGGTGAGCCAGCTAAGAATAAAAAGCAAGCTGAAAAGAATGCAGCCATGGCTGCTTGGATGTCTCTGAAACTGAGTGAGTTGGCCAAATCAATTTCAAATGTTTGCTTATGTTGAAATTTTGTAGAAATGTCACTGTTATTCTTAGAGCGCAAGGGATCGCCATGATGCTACAGATTGAGAGGTCTTATGTGAAAAATCCCCATTTTGGCTGAGACTCTTAAGGTTGTAAATAAAAAGGCATATTTATCGACTTTTACGCTGTAAGGTTGACTAATTAATAAACAAACATCTTAATAGATACATAAACTCTTTTCTAGATTCTTATTTCTTAAAGAAGACCCTAAGAAACATGAAACAGCTAAGTTTTTGTTCCCTATCAGTATCATGCGATCTCCAACCTTGGTTTCATGCTTCTAATCTCCAAGTCTTGTACGCCTTTCTAGCTGTCAGAACAAGAAAAAGCTTACCCTGTTGCAGTTAATAGCTGCTGCTCTCTGTGATCGTATAGGGTGATTACTGATTAATAAATAATAGCTCTATTTTGAGAATTCGCCATTTTATCTGACTTTTGGATTAAGCATTGGCTGTGGCAATCCGGTTGGACTCAATGACCTATCTCCACCTTATGTGCTTGTGAGTTAATTTGTGTTTTCTGCTGGAACTCTGCTGTGATTTGCAACTTCAGTGGTTTTTAAATGATACGTGGGCAAAAAACTTTTCTGTTCCTGGTCTTTTCTGGTTCCTTTCCTATTCTTCTCTACCAACCTTTGGCCCCTCTTGTGGTCCTTTAATTCATTAGCATTACTGAATAATTTATACTTTAGCTCTTCAACAATTTACTGGTTAGTATCTCAAGATCAAAACTTTCTATTTGTTATTATTTTAGCTGTTTTTGAGTGCTGATTGAAATGTCTACTTGTGTTTGTGTCCAGTGGTGCAACAGCAGTCAGAAAAGGCAACGCCAGAAAAGGTGAAAAATGACGAACAAGAGCATATTACTGTGGCACGGGCTCTGCAGAAGTACCTCATTCGGGCAAGAATGGCTAAAGAACAATTCCCAATTAGATTTCCGACACAGAATACAAGACCTCCAAGCACGGTACAGCCGCCTGCTACATCATCAAAGATTCTTCCTTTCATATGTCATAGACAAGCCCGTAGCAAGCCTGTCCTTTCCTCCGGAAATATTGGTTCATTAAGCTCAAAGCCGACTCCTCCAAGCAGACCCGTCATGGCAACCATAAATGACAGTGCAGCCTATCCTAAAATAACTCAGGGCCAGCAAACAGGTGCTGCTGTCAATGATTATTTATCACTGTTAACAGATAACAGGGGCAAGCCAAAGTTTCCAGCGGCTGGAGCAGCACCTTACATACCCATCAGGCATTTTAGTCCTCATCATAGGATGGCACCACCTGTGACGGTTCGAAATGCTATTCCTGTTTTCTCTTCACCACCTCTTCCACCTCCTTCTCAATCTCCTCGGATGATGAGGCCTCCTCCATCTTCAAGTGTGGTCCCACCTGTTTGCTTAAGACCAGCAGTGGCCAGTTACTGCACACCACCAGTTCGTATGGAACGTCTATCCTTGTTGGATTCACCCATTCATGCAGACGAGTCACCATTTTCTAAGCCACCTATGCTTCCCAGGTTTGAAGAATCACTGGGTCCGAAAGTTTCCCAAGCTAAACCAGAGAATCCACCTAGTGTCCAGACGAGTATTGGGAGAGTCGAGGAGCTGCCTCCTAAAACTTCATCGACCCTAGTCGACATGCCTTCAAGCTCTACCATTCGACCTAATCCTGAAGCTTCGCCAGTTCAAAATGAATCACCAATTCAGAAAGTTTCAGTTGTTTCTCCAGTCTGCTCATCTGCACCTTAGAAATCAACTGATTTGACAGCAGAAACAAGATTGCTGGAGGAGGTAAGAGTCTAAGGGGGTCGAAATAGCTTTAAGGTCCGGCACAAGATATTCAGAATCGTAATATTTGTAAGGGATCTATTCATATGAGCCTTAAGTGGTAGGTTTCAAATCCTAGTTCTTGATTTCCTCCTGTGTAGGATTGCCTTATGTTTACATAATTACTAAAGCTACTCCAAATTATCTTAAAACCTTTTTGATCAATTTGGTATCCTATTCATAGGCATGCTAAGTATATTGCCAGTTGTTAGAGAAGTGGGAAAAACATTATATGTATGACTGAGCATAAGAGTTGGCTGGCTGGTGGTGCCTGTGGGAAGTATTGCAGACAGTAGCTTCTCTGATGCTTTTCCTTTAGACATCATAGTTGCACCATTCATGTTTTCGATCAAGCATGTACTAACAAAACACATCAAAACTCAAAAGGCCATTAAAGATGAATAGCAACGGAAACAAAATCAACATTAGGAAAAATGGCTATGTATTCAAGTGCCTCTATGTCGTCTATCACCCAAATTGTGAACTGATTGCTATCCAATTCATGTTTTCCAGAACTTTCATTGGATATGTGTTCCCTTTCTTCCTTTTTGGCTGTGCAATGAAATGAATGAGGCTATTAGCCACCTAATGTATTTGTATGTTATTGGAAAATTTTCAAGGATTGAATTTAACCTTGTACAAATTTAGCACCAAAGACCATTCTTTTCAAAAGATAGAATAAATTACAAGATTAGCTTCATAGCCCAGAGACAAGAAGAAAAACAAATTTTAAAAAAAACACACACACACACACAAATTTATCTGTTCCTAGTTTTCTCAAGGGGCTATAGCCACCTGATTAACAGCTTTTAGTAAAGGTATTTCATTTTCTCTACTTAGCCAACTGGTCAAGTTAGACTCCTAGGAAAAGAAAAAAGCCTAAACAAGACACTTTATGCACATGCTCTACTTTGTACATGTAACAAACACGAATCTGCAGATGTAAAATATACAGAAGGTGGGAGTCCTAGTAGAGTCGCACAACACTAACGAAGGCAGAAGGCATGGATTGACGATTAAGTCGAGAAGGCGGAATCAATTGCACGTAACATAGGAGCTGTATCAAACCGAAAGTTTCTAAAGCTCTTCCCAGGACCATCTGATGTGGACTTGTTAACTTGATTCTCTGGTACCATAGAGCTGCTGCCTATAGAAGAGTTCTTAGCCTTCCACACCGTGATTCCTTACAAAAAAAAAAATAAATTCATCAGCATGAGTACAGAAGTTAATACTAGTTAAAGTCGCTTCTGCATTTCCTTAGTAACACAAGACAAAACCCTTCTGTAAGCAAGAATGAGTGAATTCTTAAAAGTAGATAGAACTGCACAACTGGTAACATTGACTAGCAAGAGAGACAGGGAGAACCTTTCAAAGGCCTGTCTGATCTGTTTGGTACTGGAGGTTGATGTGCTGAGATCCATGCTTTCAGAGAGCTGAAAAGAAGCTCTTTGCTTATTATACTGAATTCGAGTTAAGCGAAACACAAAGACTCCTCCAAAATAAGTTCAGAATGCACTTACGTTAAAAATGGAGCGACCATGTACAGCTTCAAACCAGTGATGCTACGGGATATGACATCATCATTTGCTGGGAAGAGTTCATCAACTCGTTGCCATGCTATTTCCTTCAACGAGAAACACCCAAAAAAAAAAAAAAAAAAATCAACACAATTTGCTTCCAAATCAATGATTACTCTGTTCATGCACATCGGTCGGCGAATCTTTCAATGCATAGCTACAAATACACCGTACATCCTTCTAATATCACATGCACTAGATGTAACCAGGCACACAACCCATTGGTGAACCATAAGGAAAACAACATTATCACCACCTAGGTGCATATTCCCAAGAATATATACTGCCAGAAGATTTAAAATTGGAATTGCAAACTCCAGTATGAAGCATCTCTTAACCATCTTACTATACACATAATCTCCTTCCATTGAAGGCACAAAAGTATAATAACAAAGGTATTTTGTAGTATAATTCACTAGAACGGGTGGTTAGATATTTTGTAGTATAGAACAAAAGTTTCAAATGGTTGAGATGAATAGATCCTTTTGTTCCTGTGCAAAATACTTGCAGAAAACTTATTTCGCCTACATGCATAAAGAGTACTAGAACAAAAGGAGATGATCTGCAGTGCATTCCTTTGCTAGTTTCAGCTTCATATTTCCAGGTTATTATCAAGAAGGAAAACGAATAAAACTAACAAAAACCTTGATATAATGCATATAATATATCCCAGGTCAATGTTACATTCATATGCATAACCAGGTATCAGCAAAGTGTTCAGACAAAAAGATAGCTTTCATATGCCAGCCAAACATACACTTATCTCCTTTTTGGTAAGTGGGGCAAAAGCCGTATCATCCTTTACTCCAGCAACTATATACAGCCGCACCCTTTGTTGTCCAAATATCATTTCAATGTAGTCATCTTTGTTAAGGAATTCTGAGAAATCAAAACCTGTTTCCTCAAGGACCTGTAACCAGGATGGACAACCACAGATAAGAATCTGAAATATGCATAATAAAGAAGCAAGTGGTCTGAGATCATTAACACTCTAAATGCTCATATGAGTTGAGATAAGTGGTGTTCGGTCACATATCCATGTAACAAATAATCAAGCTCTATCTGATGCTGCAACATTCTAACTTATAGTATTGAGACATCAAGAATCATGATCCTAGTTTAAGATGACAGTGGAGCAGTGATTAGTATCATACCAGAAAAAGACAAAGATCCAACCATTCACATGGTTTTCTCTTAACATAAATAGATAATTATTGAAGGAAAAGCATGGTAAAATCTTCTTTTTTTTTCTTTTGAAGGGGCTCTGTCTCTGTGTGTGTGTTTCGGCAAGATTCTTCATACATAACACAGATGACTGAACCAAATTTGGCAAAGCAAGGCCGCTGAGACAGAAATATTGACTCAAAAGCTTGGAAAGACATAAGAAAGCGAAAAATATACTTCTCTGATTGCACATGTATGGTCCTCTTCATCTTTACTTTTCTTCCCACGAGGAAAACTCCAGCTTGTTCCCTTCCAGCCCTTCACTAATAAGCACTGAAAGAACATATTCTCAAATTAGTTATAAAGTAAAACCTATGAACACAGTACTACATAAGCTAAAATCTAAGGCCATATCACAATATCACAAACTTGTCAACAAACTAGAATTCTGATCCTGAGGAGCACTCAGCGACACACACATACAATGTCTATACAAAGAAGGCATAGATATAGCTCAAACCAATCTGTCAGCTGTTTCCTAACTACTTAAATCATTATCCGCACATCACAGCCAACAAATGAACTGGAGTTGCAGAGAATTCAACGGCATGCATCCGCAACATGCTTAAACAAATCTTAAAAAACAGCCACCTCAAAGCCTCAAACACACTCAAATCAAGAAATAAAGCCACCTTGACTTGAAGCTTCAAATATACTCAAAATAGCACATTTTAAGCAATCTAGTTCATACCCTTTCAAAAGATTGGTCCAAGATAATGGCCCCAGTTACAGGAACTCGAACTTTGTATGAGGTGAAATCCTTGAATATGTCATCGATATGCGCAACATAGGGCTTTAATACATCGCAACTATTGAACACTGCAGTAGATTAAGGAAAGTACAGAAACTGAACAGCATAATAAATGAATATGAACAATATCTCGAAGAGGCTGACAGTCAATCAATACAGAGCAGGTGGTTAAGAAGGCAAATAATAAGTCACAGCCAGTATAGGCAAAATAGTCCAAACTTGAGTTGAATCCGGTCAAACTCATGTTTCTACAAAGTACCAACCACAAAAAGTATCATGTTTCAATTTTAGAGCAAAATTTATGCCTTGAGGCACAAACTACAAAACTTAGACGATAAGAGCCTCATTAAAAGGTTTCATCCAAATAACAAACCATCATTCGTTCAAGTGCTAGCACATTAGATTAACCAATGGTTAAGTGGAAAAGGATACTTAAAGAAGTAAATTCCTTCAAAGTGAATGATTTCAATGAAGGATTCTTTTCCACAGAGTTGTCCTCGTAAAACCAATGAGCATATTCCACAAGAAATAAAATTCTTTCAAATGACTGTTGGTCTTCTTTCGGCACATTCAGAACAAACCGACTGCGACAAAAAAAAAAAAAAAAAAAACGCAAAGGTTAGAAAATTAACAGGGACAGAATTAATTCAGATAACTAGTATTAGCTAGAACCACTTTTAAAGAAGGTAAAATTTAGACGCGTAACTGAAAGCATGTAGACTAAACTAATCTAATCAGTGATCATAAACACATTTCCTTAATCCTTTTAATAAGCAATTTCTTTCCACAAAGCAGTAAGTAAAACTAAAGAACCCCCACAGAATTCAGTAAAAAAATAGATATATACTTTGCAGAAGGTATCTACTAACATTCACTCATTTTTTGGTCTCAAATTTTCCACTCTTTTCTGTTTCAAAATCAGCGGCCACATCTTTCACTCACTCACTCATTTAATCTTTTCTGCTTCAAAATTATCTTCACAACCCAGAAAACAAAATTTCCAAACTAAAAAACTTAGACACCCATTAAGGCCCCTAACCAGAAACAAGGAAAAAAAGAAAATTACTCAATGAATTAAGGGTTACCTGCAGAGATCGTCGAGGAGTTCTTGAGGAGGGAGGGCATTCTTGGATGGAGCGCTGGAAGATCGATGCAGCGCTCCTGCCATTTTTATCTTTCAATCTCTTTTTTCCGCAGATATAAACGATCGAAATCAAACTCACAATCTGAAGCCTAAACTAATACGATTAGCTTTCCCTTCATAGCTGCTAGAACAAGAGAGAGAGAGAAAGAACGAATTTCCGAGTCAATGAGCCCAACTTTCTTACGCCTTCCTTGGGCTGAAAATATAATCCAACAGAAATTGACTACTTACAGTTCCGGCTTTCTTTTTCACTTTTTGTGGACAAAATATATGAAAGCCCACTTTATTGACTTGGCCCACTAACAGAACTTTAGAAGGTTATTTGATTTGGAATAGTCCGTATAATTAAAAAATGTTACATTCCCACCTCCAATAGGAAGTTAGTGACCTTAAGGGGGGAGAAAATTATTATTGGCATAAAGAGCTCAATGAAGTTTTATGAGAATATCATAAATTTTTTTTTTTTTGAAAGTTATTTTAGCTGAGAAAGCTACCAAATTGCAACACGGAGTGTCGAAAAACCTCCGCATTTAGTTAAAACATTAATACCTTGGATTCTATGATTAGAGTACGAACTTATCTCAGAAAAAATATACTTTATGATAACAATTAGTAATTTTTTTCAAAAAAATATCTTCGTCAAATAATTTTAAATCTATATATTAAGAGGTGTTAGTAAACAAGCCATAACTTGGCTGGTTAATAGTTTGGATGGACTAGTAGTACTATTGGAGAAATATCAGGGGTTGACACATAAATTTCATTTTGTGCTGAGAATGTATACATATCTCTTTTTTTCTTTTTCTTTTTTTCATAGTGGGATGGAAATTTTTCCAATAATCTTTTCTTTAGTTCGTAACAATTTAGCCAATTGGGTATGAAGAAACTAAATCCTAAGAATTATATCATTATATTCACAAAATAACTTACACCTAGTAAATTCTTGTATAACTGATGTTGATTTTAGATGGATCGCTCGAGAAAGCGTTAATGATCCTTTACAAATGTCATCGATACCGTACTTTCCGGAATAAGATTCCTTTATTTATATAAGCGTTTCGATTCTATCTCTTACTCTCGAGTATTTTCTTATTGTTTTCGACAATACTCTTTTCATCAATACGTAACAATCTTTCTAATCGGGCATTAAGAGACTAAATATATCCTTTAAAACATATTATTATATTCACACAATCGAGGCGGAGCGCTCGAGAAATCGTCAATAGTCTCAGTTCTCGGCAAATGTCATGGAGGCCGTATTTTCCGGAACACAGTTTATTACTTTATATAAGCGTTTCGGTTTTATCTCTTGCTCTCTCAAGTATTTCCTTATTGTTTCAATCAATCAATTTAGTATTCAGAGCGTTCATCTCTTTATTTATGCGCTTATGTTCTTTCTCTTATACTCTTCTGAGTATTTTATTATTGTTTTGATCAATCTAGCATGCGTAATAATAGGTTGCTTACCATGGTCATTTATCATCTTCATGATGATTTTATTGCTAGCTTCACCCGTCAGTTTCTTCGCTTCCATGTACATATAAACATCGTGCTTTAGATATAGTTCTCGTAGTCTTTGCTCTTGTTAATTATCTTACTAGATCGACATTTATTGTGTACGATCTCCATTTGATTAGCGGTTAGGCACTAAGATCTTGCAAAGCCAATTCAATCCATAGATAAAGTTGCGAACAAAAGCAACATGTAAGGCTACAATGAGTCATACTTCAACGACAGATAACAACGTAATTTGATTTGCGGTATTGACAACGGCAGAGGCAGGTAACCAACAGGTGCGTTCGCCTCTTTTTAATTTTTCCCTTATTAAGAATGTGTTGAAAATTTTGATACACCATCAGGAGCCTTAACATGATTGGAACACAATGTAATAGGGGTATCGTACTCTAGAAACGTGTTAATCTAGGCATCTGCCTCCTTCTTTGTAACAAAAAAATAAAATAAAAATTCGATACATGTTTTATTAATTTTTACCGACACAGAATTTCGGTATTTATTTTTGGTCCCTGCTTTCTTTTCTTCTCTTTTTTTTCTGGATCCACTACGCATTTGGGCTTAGATTTGGACATAATTTTTCATTGTATCTCAATTTCAAAGATGGTAACAATTTTTTCTATATCAAATCATCTCTTTTTGGGTTGTCCATTTACTAAAAATACCATAATTAGATGGGGCCTTATTTAATTTTTAACACAACCAAAAAATACACACCACCACAATCAACTGTTCTTTTTCAACAAAAGCCTTTACTACTGATATTTGAAATTCATGTAGATTATCAAGCTACATTCATGACTAGATAAGGATGACGAAAGTCCACAGAAAGAGAGAAAAAACAAACAGAGATAAAAAATAAAAAAAATTAAAAAAAGTAACGGGTGGAGGTTTTCATTGAAGGAGTAATGCCACACAGTAACAGTTGTCAAGGGTTTGTTAAGAGTAAAGCCAAAGAAAATCGAAATGTATTTGCATGTTAGCTTAGATTTCAGCCAAGTAAGATTACACTCCTCGCTAATCTACAGGTTGACGGACTTCACAAAGACCCCCAAAATCTTCTTTAAATTCTTCCCCTAAGCTCCCATTTCCATCACCCAAGCAAAAGATTTCTCTTCTTTCTTCTTTTGTTTTCTCAGCAAGGAAAAGATGGCTTCTTCTCCAATGCATTTCTTTGATGAACAAGTTGCTGTGCTGGAGGCGTTTTATGCCCACTACCCATCTCCCTCAGCTTCTCAGAGGCATCAGATCAAGCTGGACAATGGCATGCTATTCATTGATGTGGATGATGCTCAGATTCATGCTTGGTTCAGAAACCGCAGGTTTTTTTTGTTCACCATATCTACGAAAGATGTACACCACTAATGAGATAAAGATTCGATCCTTTCAGTGCGTGTGCATGCATGGTTTTTTTCCTCTTTCGTCGCGTGTCGTCAATATTTGATGACCTCATTATTATATATTATTATTATTATTTTTCATTGGGTTATGATGAATTGGATTAATTTTTTTGGGACGCAGGAACCTTAGCATGATGACAAGGGAGGTTCTGATTGCTAACAAGAATGTGCTGATGGAGGAGAACGTGAGGCTGAAGCATGATGTGGTGGAACTGATGCATGAGAACCACGTCTTACGTCGTAACTTCTCTAACATCTATGCACGTAGGAACTGAGAGAGACGTGTTGTTCAAGACATTAATCTCTAATGATTTTATGTTTGCTTTTGTTGTTGTTGTTAGTTCAGTTTGTGTCAGTTGTTGTTGGTGTTGAAACCTTTTGGGTTTTTCTGCACTTTCAATTTTCGGAATAAGGATCGATGTTCGAGACGATTAATTTTCTTAATCGGATTGAGCATCCATATATCCATTTGTCTGTCATGTATTGAGTCAGAAGGGTCTGTTGTAATTGTGGTTTTCACCTGGACTTTCATTTGAAAATCGTACATCTATGAGTATTTTTTGTTCCTGTTTTTAAATCATTGAGTTTATTTAATTGCTTAAGTTCGTTCTTGTTTTATTCTGCAACTATGTTCACCCTCGATAACAACAATCAATCATACTCATAAAAGCATACACATCTCAAATTAATTTGCTATATATTCATAATAATTTTCTTTTCAAATATAAGAAATTATATAACAAGCGTTACAACCCCACGATTACATATATTCGTAAGTCATCTATATCTTCCTAAAACAAGAAGTGAAAGTAAAGCTGATCAGAACTATACATCACATTTACAAGAAAATACTAATATCCACGTGTTGATGAACAAATCCCTCATGTCTAACATGTGTTTCAAAAAAGCAAATGTAAAAAAGATAAATAAATAAATTAAATTGTGCTTTAAAAAATTTAAGATAAATTTTGTTTTCCGTAACATCTGCAAATTATGGCACCTGGCAAGCGACAGCATGCATAAAATCTTACGTGTTACAATCCCAAAAAAAAAAAAAAAAAAAAGGAAAGAAAGATACATGCCATTTTTGTTTTACTTCTCGTGTTGAAATTTGATAATTTTGGAGAAATAGTTTGGCTATTGCGGTGAAGACTACGGAGAGTTAAAGTTTTGAGTAGATGATCATATCTTTCTGCAACTCCATTGATTATCAACTCCTATCCTCCCAACCGGGGAAAAAGAACAATTTGATCCAGATTGCAATAGATCATATCTTTTTGCAGTAGCTGCCATTGAACATTCGCAACTCAATTCCTCAATTTATCCTTGATTTTCATGAGTTTTTTTTTTCAGTATTAAATCATTCTCGTGCTTAAGCTCCAAACAGGTCTTTTTTTCATCTTCCTTTTTATGTATATAAACTTCATGCCTCTCATCCATTTGATCACGAGATAGTCTTCTTTTCTTAATTAGCCATATCTCACTCGCTTGTCTAATGTCCAGTACTCCTCCTTTCAACACTACACAAGCGTAATGATTTTTTAAATTATTTTGGTCCATTTTTTTCTGATACATTAACAAGTGTATATTGTCTTGATTAATGAAAAAATAATAATAATAAAAACTAATCCTATACATTACTCATTTCCTCCCAAAAGGCTAAGAGTGAATTTTGCCGGGCTTTTCTAATTATTAGCATCTTATGCTAACCTGAGAGTAATTGAAAGTGTTTTACCTACAAAAATACAAAACCTGTATTTGACAAATGGTAAAATCAAAGTATCATAGTTGGGAAAATTTTGATTTCACAAAGAAATCAATGAGACTCGAATTCGAGTGAATTAGAGAAGTGGTTTCGGTGTGTAATATACAAAATTAATATAAAATTGTGTTGAAATTTCAATTACAAAATCATCTACAATGCACAATTTTCTCAATTTTCATCATATTTCGTCATATGGACTTAAAATCATTATTCCAATAATAAAACTATTCAAACGGGCCAAAGAAAGATCTACTTTATTTTAAGTTTTACTTAAATAACGGGACATTGTAAAAAAATAAATAAAAATAAAAAATAAAAAATAACGGGACATTGTCCCAATGAAACTGTTATACAAAGTGACATTTCAATTTAGTCGGAAAGTAATTGTAGTTGTAAACCCAAAAAAAAAAAAGAAGTAAAATTGTAGGCTAAGAATTTTATATCGATATTTCGTATATAGATGAAGCTTGGACATGGACATGGACTTAATTAAATTCTTGTCCGTTACTCCTTCCGTCCCATAATTATTATCCAATTTGAATTATTATTTCTAATTTAAATTATACTAAAAGTGAAATCTCAAACTTAGACAATAATTTTGGGACAAAAGTATATATGAAAGGCTCACTAAATGCTAAATGCAATAATCTCAAAACTCTATCAAACAGAATTTTTATTATTTATCGGGAGGAAATCTCTCTTCTTTCTCTCTCTTCCTCTCCTCTTCTCTACCCGAACCCCTCCGACCAACAACATCCCCTTAATGGTGGATGGGGGAGGTCAATTTCTTTCGTTTTAGTTTTTATCGGTTAGTCTCCTCTTAGTAGGAGTTTTTGCTCTTCTATTTTTTGGAAGTATTAATTCTCTCATTTAGAGAGATTTGTAGATCTGATGAACGGGAGAAGATTCAAGGTTGATGGAAGAAAAAAAAGATATACATGGAGTGTAAAGAGCAACAAGGGAAGATCTACTACAAATCTAAGTCCTATAGGCATCTTTGATTTGAGATCTCTAGATTTAGATTCAGATCTGCAATGTAGGTTAGGTCGTGAGTAGTTGGTATTTCTTTGTAATATTGGTTTTCTTCGTATCCTTCTATTGAGTGTAATATTTTCTCTCTGTAATCAGGTTAGTTGTTACAACTTAGCTCAAATTAGTTAGGTCTGAAGTTGACTAGGTTTGACATGCTAAGTTGTTTTAGCTCAACCTATGGTTGTTGTATCTCAATCCTTTGTGGTTGTGTATTACTCACCATTTTCTTAATATATTATGATTATCGCTTGTAGCAAAAAAAAAAAAAGAATTTATTATTATTTCTGGATATCAACACAAAATTTGCAAATAAATTTTTGGTTCCATACCAAAAAGGTTCTCCACTGGTTGTCATACGAGGGCTTCATTTCTGTGAAGGGATGAAGGAAACTTGTTCTCTCATCCAACTCCACAAGTTTATAGTTTGGAACTGGTATCCCGTAGTCTTGCCAAACTTCCTTGACAACAATTCCATCGTGAACCAACTACCACCCTTGAGGTCCGATATGATAAACACTGGCGTAATCCTGTATATCTGGAATTAAGTATAGTCCACTGCATATCGCTCTTTTGGTTGTCTCCGCAACTTGCTCGTAATTACAAGAGTCAAGACTTCTACAAAAGAAGACATTATTAGATCATAATGAATGAAAAAAAAAGTGACAAAAGGTTTAATTACTGAATATACAACAAACAATAAACGCAAGATACATTAAGAAGTTGGCTTACATCCCCTCGGCTATGCGGAACCTTAACGCCACTGGTACGGTCTTATTTCCGCGTCCGGTGGCATACATATTCATGTTACGGTCGGTCTTTTTATCATCGACGCGATATAATTCAGCCGCATTATCCTTCAAAAAGAAATTCGATTCATTTATTCATTTCATAGGATTATAAGAAGGCAAATCCAGAAATTGAAAACTAAAAAAATTACCGGGTTTTTGTCCCACCTAGGGCTGTTCTTTTGGAGAAAACCGATCCGACCCGAACCGTTATTTTGGTTTAGTTCGGAAACGGGTCAATCTTTTTGGATCACAAATAGTTTCGGTTCGGTTCGGTTCGGTTTGACTTACGGGTCTAAATTGAATTGACCCGAAATGAACTATTTTGCTAGTGATGACATCATCAAAAGTGACGATGACGTTATCAAACCGGAGACGGTCATTCGAACCGAACCGAACCGAACCGAACCGAGGGAGTACTAATAAAATAAAAAAATTGGACAATGCAATTGAGACAAATTGTTGAATCGGAGCAGACTAAACAACTCACCTGCTTCATTGCTGGGAACGGGACGGGGATGATTAACAGCTACCATAATCCCTCCACCGTAAACAAGGCCCAAAGTTGTGGGGGCCCCCTTTCACGCTTTGCATTCTACAAATTACCCAAAAAAGAATTCAAGCGGGTCTACCATCTACCCATGCAAAGATATACTCCTTCCGTCCCAAGTCCACTTTTGCCCAAAAAATTTTGTCTCAATATTATTGTCCAATTTGACTTTTTATGGATCAAGTTACACATTTGTCCTTAGTAAAAAATATTATCCATAAATCTTAGTGGTTAAACAATTACTTATGTATGGGTATATCCGGTTGTTTAATGTAAAATATAATTAAGTTTGACCAAAAATAAAATCTTTCATTTTAGTAAAATTGGACAATAATTATGGGACGGAGGGGTACATATATACTCTTTGCTTTTGTCTTAAAATGTGATTGTAATTTATTAGTTTTATAATATTGAATGAAACAATTAATCATTCTGAGATTCATTTCTACAATGAGGATCTCCTTTTTCCCATAGAGAAATTAGAAGGAAAAACGCCATTCATTAGTAAGGGAAAGAGGAAAGAGAGGAAACAAACAAACCATATTGACCCAAACCCGGCAAATAGGAACGTCGGTCGATGGGAGATTGGCCAGGTTGATTGGATTTGGTTATGGTCTTCAATTCGACATCCAAAGAAAAATTAAAACAATTATATACAAAGAAATTAAATAAGCAAAATAAAATAGGACCAACCAGGGAAGCGCCAATACCGCCGGGCAATCGATCAAATTCACTGGAGGATTCAGTAGCCTTGCCGCCATCATTATCGACTTCGGTTAACCCAAGCAATATAATAACAACGAAATTAATTAGTGAAAATTAGGAAAAAAAAAAAAAGGAAGAAAAAAAGGCGGGGTCGTCAAATTAATTTTGGTGGATACAAAATAAATATTGTTGTCATTGTTCCACCGATATTTTTTTTTTTTGACAAAGAGTATATTTAGATACAGTATCTACCTTGTTAGGTGATGAATCTTTTAGAGAATTTCTCTTGCGCGCGAAACTACTTTTTTTCTGGAGAGCTTCTTTCCCAAAGCATTTTTTTCCCCACAGATTCGAGGTCCAGAAGATTCGAGAAGCTTTTTTCTTTGAGACCATCTTTTATTTGCGGGCCAAAATTTGAAGCTACCAGTCCGGCCCTGA